ATGACTGTCTGCATCAGTTCTAATCAAGAGCAGATTCTGAGATAGTTTTAAGATTTTGTTCACAGAAGAACTCCAGCATAGTATTTAAGTAAATAATACTCTAACCTGGAATATAAAATTAAGCAAAATCAGACTGGTGGTATTTATATGAAGTTAATTGCTAGAGGAATGTAAGCATAGTTGCTCATTTTTGTCATATTAGAACTTCTAACCATCTTTGCTGTGTATATTTGAAACTTCCCAGCAACTCTGCTTGTAAAATGCACTACCACCTGACAGCCACACTGGTACTGTACTAATATATGCTATTTTCTTATGACAATGACATAAGAAAATAGCATCATATCAGAATAGCATCTTATGACAATGACATAAGAAAATAGCATCATATCAGAAGGAATAGCTGTGATGTGGCCACAGGCCATGTTTCTTCTTAGGCAAAAAAACAGTAGTTTTTTTGGTAAATGTTATGGGTAAACCTTTATAGAGAAGTTCATTTTTCATCCACCTTGGTGATGTGGTAATAAAGAACATTTTAATCATAGAGTACCAGGTTGGAAGGGGACCCCAGGGATCACCTGGTCCAACCTTTCCTGGCAAAAGCACGGTCTAGAGAATACGGCCCAGCACCTGTTCAGCTGAATCTCAGAAGTGTTTAGCACTAGGAATCCATCACTTCCTGAGGAGATCATTTTAGTAGCTGATTATTCTCATTGTGAAAAATGCTTTTCTTGTGTACAAGCAGAATCTCCCCATGAGTAACTTGATTTCAAAATTTTGTCCAGAGTGATGCAGGTACTGGGCAATACTACAGCTGGAACTTGAGGAGGTATTTTTTACCTTTTTTCAGTATTCTCACAAGTAAAGGACAGTAATATACTGTATGCTATGGATTCAAACTTAATTAATGCTACAATTTAAAATAGTTACTTTTTCTTCACCAGATCATCCAAATGTCTTCACCATGCCTGAAGCAGATATGAAGAGAATTTTGTGGGTGTTATCGCTTCCCATTATCACACTACTCTATTTGACTATACCAGATTGCAGAAGACAGTTTTGGAGGAACTGGTTCATGGTGACATTTTTAATTTCAGCAGCATGGATTTCTGCAATAACTTATGTTCTCGTATGGATGATAACAATAGCAGGTAGGTACCCAAAGTGCTCCTGCTATACAGCATCAACCAACCAAGAATCACTGAAAAAACAGTTTTCTCCCTGTGAAGTTTCCCTTTCCACAACCGTCAGTTTAGCAACTCAGACTTCACTGTAAAAAAACACAAGGAAAACCCAACAGAAACTTATGTTTGACTGCTTAGTTGGCCACCCTCTTCCATCTAATGATGGAACACTTTTGAGTTTAGCTGCTTCACACTACTTACCATCACAGGAAGGAGGATTTGTTTCTGTAGCTACAAAAACCCAGCCTATATTTAAAAAGTTTCATTAAACTGCTCACTAAGGGAAACAATTAGATACACAGCAATAAACTTGTCATGCTGAAGGCTGACAAACACAAAATCCACAATGACTGGAATTAAAGGTTAAGGTTTTTGGAAAAGATCTGTTATTTCTGCACCTGTATTTTTCATGAGTGCTATAGTAAGAGATTTGGCATTAAATTAACTGCCAAAAAACGTCCCAAATTTTTGTACTATATTATTTCAACTACAGCATCATGTGTTTATTAACCATTCTTGATGTGTGTGTGTATGTAGATCTCTTACAAATCTGCATCGTCAAAAACTGAAGCAGTGAAAGGATTGTGTTTAAGTGAGGGAAGGGGTATGAACTTGTGTGTAAAAACATTCTACTAAATGTTTTAAGGTACCTTAAGGTATTAAAGTACCTTAAGGTATTAAAGGTCTCCTCATTTCACTATTTCTCCAGTCAGCTTTAAAGAAATCAAGTTTTTAATTTTAAGAACAAGCAGAAAACAAAACTCTAAACCAGAAAGAAATTTTACAAAGCTTGCCATTTCCACCTTATAGTTCACTAATCCTACTCAAGCATTCTGCTAGCTCAGATATGAATAACTCCTTGTTCAGTGCAGAAACAGACCTACACGTTTCGTAAACCTTTGAGAAATAACTAGTAAATGGCTGGATACAACAATCACCATGTTCACCCCTTGGTCAAATAATTTTCCAGTTGTATCTAAAGAGCAAGGGTTCACTGTTCACTGTCTGGATGCTAGAAGCCTTTGAAACAGGATTCAAGTCAAAGTTATTGCTGTTCTACAAGACAAAGCATTAATTCATATGAAAGCAGGTACAGTGGAGATTCAGTAGTGTATTAGTTCACCTTCAACAGTCATCACAGGCAGTACTGGGGTCTTTGGCCCACTATTTCTAGGTAAAATATGTTCTACTTACATGTTAAAACACTAAAAGTTACACGCACATTATATTCAAGTCCAGATTCTTTCATGAAGGTTGACTCAAAGATTCTATCGTCGCATAATCAGCCTATCAGAATTGTCACAAAGGCGTCACAGCTGGGAACTAAACTTAGATGGTCAAGAACAAACCTACCTCAGTACACCTTTCTGCTGCTAGCAAAGAAAATCTGACTACTTATAGCAAGACATTGCCACTGATACACAAAATTAACTAAAGGCTAGAAAAATAATACTATTCTATCTTTATGGTCAGTTGCCAGAAAAAAACCCCACAACCCTACACATTAAATAGAAGATAAATCTATCTAATAAAAAGAAAAATTAGATTCTCCTGAGTTTATATTCTGTCTTATAACCTTCAGAGGGCTAGAAACTACTGTTGGGTACATAAGGCTGGTTCATTCATACTTCACCTTGGTTTGACCCATTATTTTCCAGCCTGGATGGTTTATAAAAGTTGATTTTGTTGGTTGCTCATCCTACAAATCTGTTAGGAGTGATGGAAGGATAAAGAGAGTACAAATTCTGCAACAGGATCATGTTAGTCCCTCTGAACCAACAGTTTCAAACATAAATTTACTGGGCTGCTCTAGACTAAGATGGTAAGTTATAAACAAGCATTGCTGACCTAGCTTAGAGCATTGCCTCTTTTTTTATTAAAATTGCTCTTATTAGAGTTGAAATACTGCAAGTAAGAATTCAGATTTCAACAATAAAAAATATTAAGATAGTTTTTAGTGAACAAAAAAGTTTAAGAAAAACTAATTACTTAATAGCTTGAACAGAGGTGTCAAACACTTCAGCATATTGACCCTTCTGAATGGTACAACTGCTAAAATGGTTTTGATGAATCCCTGTATTTTAACTGAAAAATTAATAGAGTCACAGGACATGTGGGGCTAAGAAAAATAGACAGTGGGGGAAAAATAAGCTGCCCTTTTAGTAACAGTTTAGAACTTTTCTTCATTTAAACAAGTATTTACCTAACGGAACTCACACTTCCAAAGGGTTACTTGTACTTACAAGTCATATAAAAATTCTGCATTTTGATTCTTCCAAATCTAAGCACTTTCTAATTGGAGTGAAATGGTAAACATGTAGTTGAGACAGTTTTCTCCTAATATCTTAATGACCCTCCTACCCAAGAAAATTCATGTGCTTGTAAGAGTTATTGCTTCATAAGTCTTTCGAACGCTAACGAGGAGACGCCCAAAACTGTAAGAGAGACTATATTTTCTAAAGTTGAAAGCAAAAAGAAAGAAAAAAAAAGCAGTTGTTAGATATTTAAACATCTACTTTATCTGCAAGAAAAAATTCATAACTGCTATTTTCTTGACCACTGGAGACATTCTACACAGGTCTTTGAGAAACTTAAGATGGTCATTATACCACAGTTCCTTTTTTATTTGATCGAAGAAAAAGGACAGGATGGTATTTCTTTGTTGTTCCTCTTGTTTTTAACTGCTTTGTGATTTAGTCATTTCATATGTAGTCAAGTTAGCTGACACATTCCATTTGAAATTACTGTATGATTACTAATTCTTTCTTTAGCAAACATAGTGCAAAGCACTTTCTTTGGATGAAACCTAACTAAAAACATACTTGCATTTTCCACCGTTATTTATCAACTGCAGGTGAAACACTGGGAATTCCAGAGTCAGTAATGGGTCTCACATTACTAGCAGCAGGAACAAGTGTACCAGATACAGTTGCAAGCGTGCTGGTCGCTCGAAAAGGTAAAGATTTTAGTATTCCGCCTCATGCCAATGGATGTGTTTAAGAGGTATGAAGAAAAAAAAAGAATTCTAGTCAACACTTCCAGGAATTCAAGGAGTAACTTCAAAATTTGTGCTCCAGATCCTAGAGCTTAAGTTTACTAAAAATAAATAAATAGCTTACCTGAAAAAGCTGTGGCTCAGACATTTCAAAACTTCTCAGAGTATCTCAGAGAAGTATTCTAGATTGATCTATTTGTTGTTGATCAAGTATTACAGTTTTACTGCAGAACACAACTGTAGGTCTTGGTATTTTAAACTTAACTGGACCTTAGCCTGTCTAGCTTATTTTAAGTGCAACTGTGCAGATGCTGGTGATTTAGGGAGATATTTTTATGCTTGTGGTACCCAAAACCATGTTCTGTAGAATCATGACTACAGTTCCTTCGATGCAAAATCTGAAAAGAGTGCTCTGTGAGAAACTGAGGGCTGACAGTCTGTTCCTCCAAAACAGTTTGGTAATTTCATCCAATACAATTAAGCAAACTTAATATGCCTTTCTTCTTTTACAGGAAATGGAGATATGGCTATGTCTAACATTGTAGGATCCAACGTATTTGATATGCTCTGTTTGGGAATACCCTGGTTTATAAAAACTGCCTTCATAAATACATCAGGACCCATAGAAGTGAACAGCAGTGGTCTGACATACACAGCCATTTCTCTCATCTGTTCTGTTGTTTTTATTTTTCTGGCAGTTCACCTGAATGGCTGGAAAATAGATAAAAAATTGGGAACCATTTGTCTTGTACTGTACTTAGTATTTACTGTACTAGCAATTTTATACGAACTTGGCATCATAGGAAACAATCCTACAAGGGTCTGTGGTAACTAGTTTTAATCAGTGATTATACTGATGAAAAAAATTAAAGCAGGAGGAAAAGATCAGTTTCTTCATTTAGTCAAAATAAAATAAAATAAAAAAACCAACTCCAAACTCCCACTGGGCTCTAAGTCTTATATACAGAACTAAATCATGTCATCAAAGTAATATTAAGAACAAAAACATCACAGCTTAACTGGAGCCCTTTCTTTTAGAGTCAGGAATTACAGTATGACTACAACACACATATAAAACCAAAATCCTGAAAAATAAAAAGACATCTACTTTTTACATTACAATGTCGATACACACTGGAGGGCAAAAATAAAAACCAGAAAACACTAAATAAATCCCACTATGCAGTCTTGAGATTAACAGAGAAAATGGCTTATTTTATTAAAAACAGTATAACCATTCATTTAAACTGAATGACTAGAGACACTTGGCCTAATTTTCCAAAGGCACTGAGCATCCAAACCTTCCACGGTCAACAGGGACCTGCAGGTGCTCAGTGCCTCTAAAAAAACAACAAAAATCAGGCAAATTGTCTTTAAAAACCAAACATAGTAAGATTCAGTTAACAAGTATCACAGTATATTAAACACTATACTGTTAAAGGCTGGTGGGATTTAAAAGTTCCTTTTTACATCTTTTGTAAGCATACAATGTTACTAAAAATGACTTGCTAAGATAGAGAAGCTAAACAAGACATAGGAATGTTCCTGAACACAGAGTTTTAAATTATGCATTGCGATCCAAGCGGACATCAATTTCTCTGCCACTGATTTTTATGCCGTTCATTATCCTACAGGCCTTTTCAGCAGATTCTGGTGAGTCAAATCTGACTGTTCCACAGCCCTTTGATTTTCCATTCTCCATTTTTATTTCTGCAAACATTACATGACCTGAATAAATAAGTTAAACAGCAGTTATTTCAAGTCCTCAGTGCACTAACAACTTAGAGAACTCAGAAGTGATAAAAAAACATTTCTAAGTATGATCTAGGGGAACATACGAAATTGGCACTTCCAAACTGATGGTACATTCACTCATTCAGGCAAGGGGACTTGGGACAAAACAGCACTGAAGAATCCAAATTATGATTCACTATTTCGAATCTTCACACCAGCATTAAGATGAAGTATAACTATGCCTGTATTTGACCTCAAGTTTGAAACAAAGTGCCCTGTAAGACTCAGAGAAAGGTCTGTGTTTCATTTACAGACACTGACAGAAGGGTGAGTATTGACAGGCATTAACTGAACTGCAGATTAGTCCAGTCCACTGTGTTCATCACGAAAACATATCAAGCAATAGCAACAATCAAACAGTTTTGTTAAGAAGCTGCAGAGCAAAATTAATGTCTTTAAAATGATGCAGTTACCAGGTTAGGAGTGGTGGATAAGTAACATGCACTATTCAATTCTCACCAAGTTTTCTTGAGGTTGGACACCCAACTCACAAGGCATTATTTTTATGAAGATGTCTTGATACCTCTAAGAGTGTTCAGTTCCCTGGAGCTAATGAGTTTCTGCTTATTGTGTGTTATAGCACATCACTCCTGAGCCCCAGAATGCCACTAGGAACAAAAAACTTTTCCCTAAAATATATGACTTTATTTTTAAGTATCATATAAGACTGGCCTTTCACTGAAAGAAACTGAACACGGGGAGACAGTCTTTGTATTTCCTTATGACACTGACACGAATACAATCTGTTGCTTATAATTCTTAAAAGCAACTGAACATAATTACTACATCTGTTAGCTGAAAAAGAGATGATTAAAAAACCCAAATTCTGAACAATCTGAAAGTTGCCAGGCATTTAAGACTTAAAAAAAGAAAGAACTTGTTGCACTATATCCTCCAGCTACAAAAATAACATCAACACCTTATAATTTTTCATAGTTGAACTGTGAGTTCCATTAAGATCAAATCTGCAAACAGCTGTATTACTGTCTTAGACATCAGCAGTGTTTTACATTATTTGTCTTTTCTGTCTCTCCAAAATAAAAGTCATCCTGTCATTCAGTTAAAGCTTTCTGTTCTGAAGGTGTGTTTTCAAAACACACCATGTATTTTTATACCCAAGCTTTATTTTTTGTTTACTTCTGTGAAAAGACAAACTTTTCTAAATTACATTAAAAAATTACTGAATATTTGTAGCAATCCTTTATCTTATATCAAAAGGCCCCTTATTTCTTAAGATAAAGGGGAACATTACAGCCTTCAAAGATGCTAATCAGGATCATCTATATGCCTAAAGAACCCAGTCTGCCACTTTGGCAAAATTACTATCTCTGATTTGATGCAGCACCATTTCTTGAAGTAATGCATGACCCATACAGCCATGCCTAAAAATTATTTATATAACTCAAGAAAGCTGGGTGAAGTAAGAAAGATTAAGCTCACCAAACTGTCCTTCAGAGTAAGGCAACAGTTTTGTCTTCCTGTCCTTATCTAATAAACACCACATTAAACATGAAGCTGATGGAGCTGAGCAGGGGCAAGATTCATATACATACCACACTGACTGAACTTCTCCTTTAGCTTCTGCCAGGTCAAGTCAAAAGGAAGCTAGAATGAAAACACATTATTGATAACAAAATATTACAAAGAGAAAAAGAGCATGGAATCAAATATACACACAAAATAAGCTTGTGGTTTCTACATATTCAATTGCTTACATTTCTCACAAATATCTGGTTGCCTTTAGAGCCCAATCTCTCTCTTACGCCACTTCCCATGGGGCCAGGCACAAACCCTCGATCGATATCGATGTTCCTGTCCAGGCCTCCACCCATGGCTGGTCCCATTCGATCGAATCCAGAGCTCATCCGATCCATTCCCATTCCTCCAGCCATACTGTTCATACCACCCATTCCACCACCTACACAGAGAAAGAAATGGAGGATAAAATAAAAATCTCTTTTCAGTAATAAACACAAAAGTATTTTGTATAAAAATAAAATAAAATTCTTGCATTAGGAGAAAAATAACTTTATTAGAACTGCTGTAATATAAACCATCACTTTCATACATGCACAGTGATTTATCCAGTAGCATGGCTAAGATTTTAGGACAAACCATTACAAGACACAAAGTGTCAGTTCTAAAATAAAAGACCAAACTGCATCAAGCTGTTAGTCATACCACCTAATGTAGCAAAATGTTGAACACAAGTATTCAGATTCAAAGGCTGTCCTGTTTAATTAATAAAAATGTTACACCCTGTACCAAAAAGATCAAGTAAATAACTGTGGCCATGCTAAGATACAGATAATTTGACCAAATACACTATTGTTTATTTGGCTTCCTGCATTTACATTGAGCTTTAGTTAATGCAGCAATACCCACACTTAATGACAAAATCTTCCACAGAAGGCATTGTTTTGCAGAGAACAGAAGTTACTGCCAAGCACTGTAAAGAGCATGGACTTCCCTATGATACATGCAATGAAATATATTAATATATATTATATAAAAAGAACTAAAAGCAATGGTATTCAAATATTATTTCTGGATTCATAATTAAAAATTAATGTACAGCAAAACTATCAAGATCATTCAGGAGAGACATTCTTTTTAAGCCTTATGCCTTTCAAGATTGGCACTAGCAAAATTTTAGTTTCTCATCTGTTCTAGCCTGAGGAACTCAGACATTTGCTGCAATACAATCTCAGTACTGGAGCTTTGCGCAAAGTTAAACTGAGTAATAATCTGAAATTCAAGCCTGATTTTTTATTTCAATGATGACTGATTACTGAGGTTCAGCTTCATGAACTTTACACAAATAAATGTGCCCATCTCTCTTTTTCCTGGAACACAAGTTTACTTTAATCGCCTTTCCCTCCAAACTAGAAGTTAAAACCATTTCAAAACTAAGATAAGAGAAAGACTATATTACCAAGTTTTCTTCTGAACTGTTACCTCAACAAAAGAGCTTTGAAAACTATTAGACCTGCAGTCACATGCAACAGAACTCTACTTCTTCCATAGACAGTGAGACACTACCCTACAAGGAAATCCTCTGATACAATTACATGTACACCACATCATTACATTGCCTATGCATTTATGTTCTATTGAAACAAGTTAACCTACTCATTCCAGATCTTACTGGGCCCATGCTAGGTGCTCCCATTCCTCCTGCAAAAACACCAATCATTGCACCACCTAAACAGAGAAAAATAATGAAGTGACATACACTGAAACCACCAGTTAGTGACAACAACAAAGCACACGCTGACGAAGTGCACCGATCTCAGTGTTACCTGGCACTACATATCTACAGAGCACTAACCTGTGCCTTTCATTCCTCCCTTTCTACTGTGGGATTTAAGCTACTCTGATTTCTTTCTAGCTTTTCTCCCCTCTGACAGTCTGCCAGCAGCACAAACGTGGTAAAACTAAATGAGCCATTTCCCACATTGGGAAGAACAACCTCAAAACTCAAGGCTTCATCTTATTTGAACTTCACAGTACAAAAATTCAGCAATTCTGCTCCAAATCAAACATCCTCAATTTCACTAATTGATGCCACAGCCCAATGAAAGACACCCTCCTTGGTTTCAAGGTTACTAAAGCCAAACGCCTTCACAGTATTTCTTCTTAAAATACCATTAACCTAAATATTGTACAGGAGTACAGTAGGACCTTCCCTGATTAAACACGGTCTCTATTAACTATTGTATTTGTGAGTGCTGTAATTTATTTAAGGTTAAGTTGGGAAACTCTAATCTTGATTCTCAGAACACTCTTTATATGGTAAGATTGCTGACAGGTTGCAAGATGAAGCTTGCTGGGTCTACTGAATGAAAGACTCCCCCACCAGTTTCTCACAGTGCCCATGTTCGTGCATTTCCAAACCAACGTATTAGCAGAAGACTCAGAGCCCGCTGCTTCCATGAACATTTACAGCTGGAATCACTTTGCATTTTCACTCAGGAAACACTGGATGTTTATCCAATGTTGCAAGTAGCCAGACTGAAAGTATACATTCTAAGACATTAATTCCAAGGCACTGAGCCTAGCTCAAAGGACAAGCTTGTTATGTTCTTATCACTTCCACACAATTATTTTGTGTTTAGTTTTGGGCCTGTCATGACAAGGAGTGTGCCCAAAAAAGGGCAACAAAGCTGGTCAAGGGTCTGCAGCACAAGTCTTGTGAGGGGCAGCTGAGGGAGCTGGGAGTCTTCAGCCTGGAGAAAAGGAGGCTCAGGGAAGACCTTATTGCTCTCTGTAAGGTTGCAGAGATGTGGGGTCAGTCTCTTCACCCAAGAAACAAGTAACAGAACAAGAGGAAATGGCCTCAAGTTGCACCAGGGGAGGTTTAGATTGGATATTAGGAAAAATTTCTTCACAGAAAGGTTTGTCAGTCACTGGAACAGGTGGAGGAGGGAAGGGGTGGAATCAGCATCCCTGGAGGTATTTAAAAGACATGTAGGTGTGGCATTTGGAGACTGGGTTTAGTGGTGGACTCAGCAGTGCTGGGTTAAAGGTTGGACTCGAGGACCTTAGAGGTCTGTTCCAGTCTAACAATTCTGTGATTCATCCAGGTAACAGCACAGTAACAAAGTGCAAGAAGGCTCTACTGTTAAGCACTTCAAGGCCTCTGAAGATAGAAGAGTAACTCCTTCGAGGGAACCCCACTGTCAGCAAGACATCATCTATAAACAAAACAAAGCTGCCTCAGAAGAGGCAAAGAAACACCATTCTGAGCTGCATGAGCTCAGAAGGCAGGAAGAAAACTGAGGGCACCTAAATTCACCATTCCTATCCAATGCTACGTGATTTGCAGTAAAAACAATGTTCCACCATGTATTTGCAAACAGGCTCTGGGGAGCCTGTTCCAGTGCCTGACCACATTCTGGGTGAAAAACTTTTCCCTAATATCCAACCTAAACCTCCCCTGACACAGCTTCAGGCTGTTCCCTCGGGTCCTGTCACTGGTCACCACAGAGAAGAGATTAGTGCCTGCACCTCCTCTTCCTCTCACGAGGAAACTACAACTGTGACAAGGTCTCCCCTCAGTCTCCTCTTCTCCAGCTGAACAGATCAAGTGATCTCAGCTGCTCCTCCACAGTTTTCCCTCCAGACCCTTCACCATCCTCAGGGCCCTCCTCTGGATGCAATTTTCCACAGAAAATTTAACAGTTACCATACCCATCCTTCCAAAAGACTCTCCAAAACCACGGTTCAATGCCATCTCACCACGACCAAATTCTCTTTCCATGTTTGCTCCCATTCCACCACGGAACATTTCTATAGAGAACAAGGCAAAAAACCAGGAATATTCTGTTATTAACATCGAAGTTTATGCTCCTACAATACTTGTTTCACAGCTGCTTGTTTAAATAGAAGTGGGTCTAATGCACAAGTCAGAGGCACCCATTAAATATTTAACTCCCTCACCAGTTACTAGGCCTCCACTCAGGCAACTGTTTCCTCTGGACTCATATATATTACCCATCCCTAAAGGAAGAGCTTTTAATAAATAAATATTAGCAAACTAGTAAGTGTACAGGAACGGTGTTCAACTACCTCCCATTCGGTTGACTCCAAATCCTCCCATATTGGGCATTCCTTCCATTCCACGAAATCCAGCAAGTCCTGTAAAATAAGGACGAGTGTTTTCTATACAGTATTAAAGAAACACTTAAAGCAAAAAACTTCACTGCACGTACCGCCTCCCATTCTACTCATTCCACCAAATCCTGGACCGTCTATTCCCATACCTTTAAACCAAAAAGACAAACAACATTTAGAAGACAGGCAAGATCCTCATGGATTTTTAAACGCTTACAGATAGTTAAAATCTCTACATCACACTATACAAGGCTTCCTTTATCAAAAGTCTGTCATTCTTCCAAACACAGAAGTGACAATTTTAAACTGTACAACTTAAAAATTAAGAATGTGGATTTACCTCCTGGACCCATGCTCCCCATTCCACCGCCCATGCTCAACTGTGTTGCACTGATGGGTTGTCCACCTGGTCCAAGTCCCATACCAATGCCACCAAGACCACCTTGAAAACAACAAAATAAGTATCATCAGAAGAGAGATTTTCTTCTGTACAATACAGAGACCACAGTAAGCAAAAGTACTATTAAACTATGCCAAAAAATGCACTAAATTGTGCCCAAACATGTATCATCACATATTAAGTGCAAGCAGTAGAAAACAGAGTGTACACTCACGAGGTAACTGTGAGCTTTTGCTGTCCGCAACACGGAAATCTTCATGAGGAACTGATTTGTCATCCTGATAAAAAAACAAGGATGTCATGCCATGATCCTTTCAATGTTTTGGCAGAGACATTATAAGGTAGCAAGAAATGTAAGCAACTCACCATTTTTACATGCATGGGTCTATCAAACAGGAATTGTCCATTGAACATGGCTGAAGAAATGCAAGTCAAGGAGTCTAACTACAGAAGGTAATTTTACTATTTAAGAATTAATGTAATAACTTATTTTATTTCTGTACTATAATTAGGACCCTTATCTTTCCTTAGCTGATCCTTAGAATGCCCATTCAGAGGCCAGCGGATGCAATACAAGCTGTTAGGTACATGGAAGTCAGTTTAACAACTGTCATACTCTTAGATATTTTAATTTAGTTCAACACCACCAGGAACTTTTAGACTTTAGCAGTAAACTTAGTCACTTTTACAAATGTAATCTGTACACTATTACACTCTACTCCCTATACACAAGCTACAAGGCAAATAAGCACCGTTTGCAAAACTATGCCATCAGAAGCCATTAAAGACTAATCCATATTTGATCAATTGTTTTCCAAACCCAAGGATACATATGGCCTGAACAGCTTCAATTGCTTGTTCAAAGGTAACTGTTCCCATCCCTCGACTCTTGCCATCTTTATCTTCTTTGATGTCGGCACGCTTCACAGTTCCAGCAATGCTGAACACCTCCTTCAGCTTCTTCCAGCCAACTTTAAAGTCAAGCTGACACACAGAAATACATTAGTGATTTCAGTGCACATCTCTGTTCTGCCATTACATTTGAAGAGATTTCCTGCATTGCTGTTAACTCTTCAGCTTCACAAAATGCTTGAGGAATGTAAATAGCCATGATTTTGTAATATACACACACTACATCAAAGTCTAAAAGCAACAATTTATTCTATGTACATGTATTTTACTATCATTAACATACTAACGTTGAGGAATGGATCCGATCTTGAGAAGAGCAGCTGTACTTCCACAAGCCCTCCTGCAGATACAGTTGTCTTTTGTGCAAGTAAAGAACTTACATTGTTATATTTATTGGAACTTCACTAAGTTAGTCTGAAGTAACTAGCAAGATAAACTGAAGTGTATATTTAATTAAAAAAAAATGCAGTTGTAAATAGCAAAAAGATGTATAAAATATTTTTTAATCAACAAATAACTATGCAATAATTATAAGTGCATACCAGCCTCAAAAGTTTAATGTATCTTTCCATGTCCAAAATATGAATATATACAACCTTTTCAGTTGAATATAGTAATTGTGAACTAATTTCCAACTTCCTCTTTATATTAAAACTGAACTACGCAGGTATAAGACGTCTTACGAAGATCAAGTATTAAAGTTATAAAATGCAGTTTTAAACTTACATTAGCAACAAAAATAGTGGACCCAAGCCTGCCTGCCTGCAAGTTACTGATAACTTCAGGAGGAATGTTTGGATTATTGAGAATAGAAGGTGGTAAATTCATTATTCCAGGTGCTGCATCAGGTCCATGTCCTCCTGGAAACTGTCCTCCCCCACGCTGTAATGCCCTACGAGCATGTTCACCTTCAGGATCCTGAAACATGGGCAAAAATAAAGCCACTTAATGACCAACAACAGGACTGGCAACAAACAAAAAGTACTGTTGAAATTCTACATAAACCCATCAAAATTATCAGCTGATATCCTTGTCCATGTCAGAGGGATCAAAGACGGAATTAGCATGGAGACCTAATTCCCTCACCTCTAGAGGTGGGTCCTTTTAGAAGAGGGTTGAGCCATATTGGCAAAGCACTTGCTGAGGAAGTGTGCACTGCCACTTCACATGCTGCACCTGCCCTATGGACAAGTAGAGAAGATTTCAAGCTAAAGGACTGTCAGTCTGGCACCTTCCTCCAGGAACTGAATTAATTTAATTAGGTGGTGGATTTGTATTATTTATTAATATCACTATTAAAGTTGTAATAGGATAAGAAGAACTGCATCAGATACTGTGATACAGTACACTACAACAGAAATGTTGGTATTATTTCACTTTCCAGGCAGCACAACTTCTCTACTTCCAGCCCCCTTGTTGCACATATGTAGTAGTCTGACAGTTAGCTCCTTCTGTGCCATATTTTGAGGCAGGTAAGCAATGTAAACATAGAATTATTTAGGCTGAAAAAGATCTGGTGACACTAAGGTAAGAATATGAAGTTAAAGCTGTTTCAAAGAAAAACAGCATTAGATTATTTTGACTTTAGGATTTTTGCCAGTTTACTTGGGATAGCTTCTGCAAGCCAACAGGCACTTCAGCCAATTAAGAAAATTTCATAAAAACTTAAACTGGAAGTTACACATCTAAGACTGTCAAAACACTGTATTGTCATCTCAGTAGCTTCAGTACCTTCACTATTTCAAATTCAAAACAGCAGCAATAACCATACCTCTTTAATATTCAGGGGTCTTCCACTAAGATCATATTTGTTCATAGTGTCTAATGCTTTCTTAACAAATTCTTCATCTTTGAATTCAACCACACTTAGAGAGAACAAAACATTTAGAGTATTAAAATAAAGTCCAAAATGCCAAAACAAATAGAATGTTTGAATATCAGTGTGTTTCTACACACTTAGAAAAAGAAACTTACCCACAACCCTACATCCATGAGATTTGTCATCATATGTAAAGAGAAAACAAGCAAACAAGAAGTCAGTCAGCACATATAACAGAGCAATGAAGATTCCAGTTAAAGATCCCAGCTCACTGTTAAATAACTATACAAGTTATTTTCAGCTTCAAAATCCATAATACGTGTTCTTTAGTGGTAGCCAATCTGAATTTCTGCTGCTTTCTCAATATACATACCTTTCAAACGCAAGAGAATACATTGTCTCTTGCTCTCTTAGAGTCAAACCAGAATTGGAAAAATGCCACACAGATCCATGTAAGGACAATTGGGGAGAGGAGGTGGGAGGGAAAGGGTGGAAAGAAAATAACCCCAAAACATAACCAAAAACCAATCAAGACACTCATCATGTCATTAAAAGCTGCCCACTGACTAAAGAATTCAAATCTACCTATATCGAGTATACCAGTACAATGAACAAGGAGTCTGCATACCTCTTCAGTATTACAGCAGAATTGAGAAATTACCTTGTAAGAAAATAACCTGATTGACTGCACCAGAATCCTTCTAATAAAGCAAAGAGTAGAGGATTGCTTTAAGTATAGCAAAGCTGACAGCATGTTTTAGTTTTAACAAGTATTAAAGAAGTAATTTACAACAATTGATACAACCTCAGCTAAGACTCAAACCTGCATTTCTCATGTTCTCACTGCAGGTTCAGAGCTGCTATTGGCCCAACTTTTGACTATTTTTAAGAAGACAGAGGAGCTTTAACAATCTTCACTCCTAGTGCCTCATTGCAGGCACTCTGCTGGCTACCAACCATCTCCATCCATTTAGTTTTAGGAAAGCAAATACATTAATCCAGTGTTTAAAGTACCAACCCTGCAGAGCTGTCAAATCAGGCACTTCACACAGTATATTCTTAGCTAACATTTTATACTCATTGGCCCCGAGAATACTACACTAACAAAATTTAAATAAAATTAGTGGTTTGTTGAACGTCCTTTATATGAAACAATTTGTACCAAAACAAAGGTGTTGGCTAAAAAGAATTAAGTAAATGCCATTTGTTAACATTTACAGAAGTACTTTGTCCTTTACAGCCAGCTAGTGTGAGTTGCATGAAAGTGTCAGACTACTTCTAATACAGAATCCTCAAGGCTACCTTAATGAAAATCAGTGTAAAAATGAAACTTACTTTCCAATAACTGGTACAGGTATTATACAAAAATAAAACTGCTGAGGAACTTTTAAACCTCTAGCAGATTGTTGCCCACGGCACTTACCCTTGATTTTCCTTCAGCATCCTTAAACAGCTCCACGTATGTAACCTCACCAACTACATAAGACATACAAAGGGAAAATACCAAGAGACAATGCATTTAAACACCAGTATCTTTCTTTACTGTGCCCCTGTGCACAAGTCTACAGAGAATCACCTATTATTCACCAACAATCAAAACCAGACCAACATACCTCCTGTCAATGGCTATGTAATTTAGCTAATTTTCAGAAATATGCAGCAGCCACATTCTCAAAAGCTAAAAACAAACAACTATATTTAACCTAATTCATACTACAGATCATATTTTGGCCAGTATGATATAGTTGGTGAACAAATTCAGATATAGAGTCCCTTAACCTAACAAATGAAACGTCAACGTTCACTGGAAAGTGTTACATTTATCATCCTACTCACAACACCTGTTTTAAGGTGACTTTCTACCTGAATATCTTCAGTCATAAGTTTGCCTTCAATAATAACCAAATTTACACATCAAATATTTCACAGCAAGCGACTCACTTTCTAAAGTAGGAAGTTTCAGTGAATAAACCAATCAAATAGTCACGTCACCTTACAACAGATAAACCAGCAGTTACAGAAGGGGTACTGGCATTTTTCACAGCCTAGAAGCCAAGTGTGCTTTGCATTACTTTTGAAGAATCAATTTTTCAAGGAAAACACAGAACTAACTTTTTACAAAATCCGTATATTACCATTATTTTACCCCAAACTTAAAACAAAATTTTGGGGGCAGTAAGATTTCTCTATCAGAACTGCAACAATAGTAACAAGCTTTTAATACAAATCTCCAGACAAACAGTCATGGCAGTAGTGACAATGCAGACAAAGTTAATGCCACAGCCAGATTCCACCAAAGAAATACAAAACAACTTTTGAAAGACATCCCTTATTATTCATGTTAACACACTTAATGTGTTGCTTAAATACAATAGCCCTCGAAGAAAAAAAGAAAAACTACAGAAACTACAACTAGACGAAACACAATCTCTTTAGGAAGTCATGAGGTCATGCATATACTCTCTACTGTCACACCAGAATGGCAGAAGGTTGTGAGCACTTCATTTACCCATCCTACCCTGCAATGCAATTGTCTCGGATGAAAGAGGGGGAAGGGAGATAGATGTACCAAGTAAAGGCCAAAACAAAAAAAGGCAAATCAAATCTGTGTGGCTCAAAGGACACATACACTGCATTTGAGTCCTATCCCTTTCTGTGTGAAGTGTATTATAAGGAATAAGTTACCTTTCTCTCTCATAAGATCTTTAATAGCTTGCCATTTCATGTCATACGGGATGTTGCTAATAAAAACTCTATTACGATTAACAGCCTTCTTGTCTCCAGAGCCTGCATTCTTCTCCTTGGAATAGGGCTGGAATCTATTCTTGTTTCCAAGAGAAGGGATTGCCTTCGCTTTTGCAACGTACTTCTCTTTCACAGGTGCTTTCCCCTCTTTTGCTGTCTCATCATTTTCCCTACATTTAGAAAAAACAAACAAAAATCCAAACAAAAACACTATTAGTCTTGTGTTGGATCATTAGACCATCATAGCTCCTATATATATAAGTGTGTATATATATGTGTGTGTGTGTATCTACCTATCTCTATATATCCATATATATCTATGTATCTGCCTATCTCCTATGCTATTGTAACTTCCAGGATGTTAAATGTTGCTTTTCAAGTTAAGAAAAATAAATTCACATTACAAGCGTAATTCCAAAATACATGGTTTTATCTAGAACAAAAAAAATAACATTACAATACCAAGTAAAGAAAGTACATCTTGCTATTTCAGTTACATTCCATTTCACAGAATCAAAGAATCTGTGAATGGTTTGGGTTGGAAGGCACCTTAAAGATCCTCTCGTTCCAACCCCCTGCCATGGGCAGGGACATCTCTCACTGCTCAGGCTGCTCAGAGCCCCATCCAACCTTGAACACTTCCAGGGATGGGGCATCCACAACCTCTCTGGATAACCTGTTCCAGCGCATCATGTCTGTCAAGATTCACAAACACAGAACTATAGACTACTACAAATACCAAAACAGAATGACTTAGTTGAAAAATCAGCTCTTAGCACCCATGCTTTGGTGCTTCCACCATCTTCACATCACATTTAGCCAAGTTACACAATATTCACCCCAAAAGTGAGAGCTGAAACGGTCTAAGTTACAAAGCAGCTCAGTATGCTTTATTCAATGTAATAATAATATATCAAAATCAACTCCAGCGGGTTGTAAATCAAATTGTATTTTATCTACCACATAAAGAATTTTTATTCACAATTTGTGCCAGATTGATTTCAGACAGAAATTAAAATTCAACTAAGAACAACAATTACTTTTTCAGTCTCACTGCTTAGCACTACTAGAATTTGAAAACTTGTTAAATGCATGGGGAATAGCTGTATTAAGACATGATATGCACCTAAGACTAATTAAGTTACCAGATATTATCCACCAGAAACAACAAAATAGACTTCTGGCCTCAGTCTTTCAAAAGTTTACCAATAGTAGCTGCTCCCCTTTTAAAATTTTTTAGTAGAAAATTTGCTGCTTCTCTTTTAAAGCAGCCCAAATCTCAAGTTCAATGAAACAATACACTTTGACCAGAACTGGATTAAATATCAGAACTCTGTGGCACTCTTGACATTGTTACTATCCCGAGCTGATTTAACCTGCTACCAGAGGCTCAAGGTGCCTGAATTGTTACTTTAAATTAGGAGAACTGCTTAAAAAGTACTTTTACACAAACATTTATTTAAAAAGCTAGCATTATGCACTTGAGTTGGAACAATTAGAAGGTGATGTCCTACAGAAATGACAGAAGTAACTGATTGTGAACCCTCCTTATATTACATCACTGCCTTTACTTTATTTCCCACATTTCAGAAGGCTTAGTTTTTATCTCATTTTGATACTTTGGAAGGTTGCTGGTAGAAAATTAGCCAAAACAAGCATTTCAGTTTTACAACCACAACATATGGTAAGATCACTGATTTTGGATTAACTGAGATGAGTATTTTCAGCTCTCTGCAAAGTTAACCAAACAATAAGTGGAAATCTTGCACTCAAAAGCACATGCAAGTAGCCAGCCTTTCATGTATTACCTACTCAAGCTTGGCCACATTCCAGGGAGGAAGAAATTCAAACACATCCATATTCCTCCCACGACTTTTTCCCCAATTCTGAAATACTCATACGATATGAACTTCACAGTCCTTGTGTTTACCAGTGGATTAAGAGAAGATTAGCAACTGGGAAATGCCTGGACACTCCTCTGGGCCAAGTATTTGTAAAATTTAAAACGTTTCAAGTCAACAACATGTTATCTGGTTCAAGCATCCTCCAGTTTCCCTCTGCATCATCCCTCCTCCAAACCATCCTGCCCCTGTGACAACATAATTCTTGTGTGGCTGGGTAATGAAGTGAAATGGAGGGAACAATGCAGGAACTGGAGAGAGCCAGAGGGAGAGGAGAGGGAAAGAGTAGAGTGTCAGGTTTTCCAGTCAGAGCAGTTCCTTCCAATCCAGTTCCATTTGCAAATGCAAAACTCCTGTCCAATGAAGCTCCTAGCAAAAATCCGAGTTCTTCCTTAAGTTTTAGGATTAGAGCAATGGATTCTCTTTAGCCCTTTAAGCTCTTTCCTGCTTAAAGGATTATGAAACAGCCCCTTGGTGCTCAGTGCAGTGCACAGGAACAGACAGGTCTCCAAACAGGGAATCCACAGGCTCTGCAAGACCTGGCTGTACAAATCAGTAGAGAGCAAAGAGGATACAAGTCTGGCATAAACTCCAAAATCTGGGAAACAAGATGACACTTCACTTAGTCTGGGGATCACAGCCAGTCTCCTGAAAATAGAGGATTAATTAAAGAAACGATTCTTCTTGCAAAACTCATCTGCCAAGATCAACACAGGCCAGTGAACAAGCTGGAGGCAGAGATCCTTTTATAGTTCTTACCCTCCTCCTTGAATATTAAAAATAATTTCAATCAAATAATACATTCAAAGTAATGTCACATTAGTCACCTACAGACCACAGAAAAGACAGCCTCAGAATCTATGACTTGACATTTTCTTGAGGGAAAAACAATAGTAATTTCTAGTCTTCACCTTTTGTATGAGCTACACATTTTATACATTTAATTAATATTTGCCTTTGTAATCACGAGCAAATTTCCAGTATTGGAAAAAAACCCTACAATTATTTCTTAAAAAAAAAAAAAAAAGGCATGTCCTCGTTGATTAGCAAGAGCAATTACACCTTTGGAAAAAAAAAAAAACTTTTGAACTTTCCATAAAGTTTTGGAAACAAAAGACAAGGTTTCCACAAACAAAACTAGCAGCCTAAAAAACAATAACCACAAGATACACCAACATGAAAGCCCTAAAAGCTGATCTTTTAAAACCAAACTTCTACTTCTCTGCTCACAGGTGTCCACAGTAAGATCAGTCGAGATAGAAATGCAAGAAGTTCACAACATGTGATTCCAAAGCACAGCTTTGTTGTGTGGAACAGTTCCCACTGCTCAGTACAATAAATTTATGGAAGTGTGCATGTTGAGACCAGGATTCCTTTCCAATTTAATGAGTGCTAATCAAACCAGGTTACTCATTTATTTTTTTAAGTAATACATTTCACCTGCCCACTGACACCTTCATCCTTCCTACATGTTTTGGGGAAGACTAGAAATGTATTTGAAAGAACAAGATTTGTATCTCTGTCACCAAGAACTCTGCATTACTTTCACACTTCAAGTTGTGATTTCTACTACATGGAATGACCGGGATTTTTCATTTGCTTGTGAGGTTTTGGAGGGAAACGAAGACATTGCTGACAGGAGGTATACAGAGAAATTAAGTCATTACTTCAACAGCAGCAACCCCAAAAGAGCAATAAAATTTATACACCTAAAAGGAGCAAAAGGGTGACAATCTTCCTGTGGAAATTCAGTTCTAATCTGTGTAGTTTGGAAGCTGAGGGCCAGACTCAGGAGGGAAAAAAGCAAAACCACAACTTTTGTTTTATAGTAATGTGAAATTTATAACTTGTAAACTAAACTAAATTTCACAGGGCGTCAAGTAAAGGCATGAAATATGCCTTTATTCCTCCAGCTTGATATTGAAGTTGGTCCCTCATGCATTTTTTAAACACAACAGTATCAGAGCTGGGCTGCTTGGAACATGTCAAAACTTAACAGACCTCAACAGCTTTGATGTACTGCAACAGTAAGTCTACTACAAATCCATTTTCCCTCCAAGGTTTGAATGAGATTAAACGAGATATGGAAATTCCAACGATCTGAGGCCAAAACCTAGTTCATGTAAAGAGTGACAACCCTCAAAGCCTAACATCAAGAGCAACCGCTCACAAAAAAATTTATTCATCGTATTGTTCTAGAGAGCTGGTAGTTCCAGCTCCCTTATACTATGTTCCTTTTAGACAAGGATCTGCATACTCCACGTATAAAAATGTTACAATTTACAAGCAAACTTCGTGCACGCATGTGTGGTTTTTGTTTCTAGAAAATAAATCACTACAGGGCTGCCTTACCACCGTCACGTAAACAAAGAGTAGTTCAAGGGCTCCACAGAACACACCGCTCCGGCCACAAGTGGAAACGTGACCGGCACCAGAAACGATGCGGACACCCCTGGAAACGGGTCCTGCAGCGCTGCCCGCCGGGGAGGCCCCACAAGGCCCAGCCCCCGCGGCCGCTGCCCGAGCGCCGCCGCCCCCCCGTGCCCGTGCCCGTGCCCAGCCCGCGGCCTCCCCGCGCTCCCCGGGCCGGGAAGGGCCCCCAGCCCCGGCGGTGCCCCAGCCCCGCGGGGGAGGAGCCCGGAGCACGGGGGGTCTGGCTGCCTCCCCCCGCCCGCGCTGCCCCCGCCGCCCGCCCGGCCGGCCCTGCCCCGTGCTGCCCTCACACACATTTTGACGCCATTAGCGCTGCCCGCGCCGCTCCCGGGCGCCGCGGCCGCCGCCGCCTCCTCATCCTGCGGCGGCTGTTGCTGCGGCTGCTGCTGCTGCGGCGGCGGCTGTTGCTGCTGCGGCTGCGGGGGCTGCTGCCCGGCCGCCTCCTCGGCCCTGCGCGGCGCGGCCGCCTCGACCCTGTCGCTCTCCGCCATCTCGTGCCGGGCCGCGGCCCCGCGACCGCCGGTTTGAAACGGGCCCCGAGCGCCTCGGCCTCGCCGCCGCCACGGCCAGTCTCGCGAGAGCGGCGCGCGCGGCCGGGGGAGGGGAGCGGCCGGGACGCGCGCGCCGAGGCTTTGCGCGTTGCCATGGAGACCCAGCCCCGGCCGCCATGGCCGCCGTGGGGCGGGCGCGTCGCGTCAGGGACCTCCGCTGAGTCACAGAATCGCAGACACAATCACTGGGGTCATCGAGTCCACACATTAACACAGCACGGCCAAGCACATCGCTAAACCATGTCCCCGAGTGCCACATCTGCACGTCTTTTAAATCCCTCCAGGGATGGTGACTCCGCCACTTCCCTGGGCAGTGTGTTCCAGTGCTTGGCAACGTTTCCATGAAGAAATTTTTCCTAATATTCAATCTAAACCCCCCCGGTGCAACTTGAGGCCATTTCCTATCATCCTACCACTTGTTTCTTGAGAAAAGAAACCAACTCTCACCTGGCTCCAACATCATTTCAGAGAGTTGTAGAGAGGGATAAGGTCCCCCGGGGCCTCCTTTTCTCCAGGCTGAAGACCCCCGTCTCCCTCAGCTGCTCCTCACAAGACTTATGCTCCAGACCCTTGACCAGCTTTGTTGCACTTTTTTGGACACACTCCAGCACCCCAATGTCTGTCTTGTCATGATGGGCCCAAAACTGAACACAGGATTCACAGTGTGGTGTCTCCAGTGGAGGGGGATGAGCCTGATATCCAGTCTAAACCTTCCCTGACTCAGCTTCAGGCCGTTCCCCTCCAAACCCTTCACCATCCTCCCTGCCCTCCTTTGGATGCTCTCTCATCACTTAATAGCTTAATGTCTTTTTCATATTATGGTGCCAAAACTGCACACAATATTCAAGGTGAGGCCATACCAGTGCAGAGCAGAGTGGGACAGTCACCTCACTCATTCAGTTTTAGTTAGAGCATTGGAAGCTTCTCGATGGCAATTTGTTCTATTCTTATAAAAAACAATTTATATATTTATATATTATATTTATATAATTATATCTATTCTATAAAAACCAATTAAATATGAATAGCTGTAATTCTACTATAAAATTTTAAAATCACATAGGTCTGGGCCACACACACAGTACTAAACATCTTGCATTCTTTAGCATTTGTCCTCTAAGACATTCATTTACTTATGAGGTAGAATCTGCAATATATTCTTCTGAAATTCCTTTGGCTTCTTCAATTCCAGTTGTCTCTTGGGGAAAACAATAGGTTTTAAGCAATATTTCTAGAAGAAGTAAAAACATTAATCATTTGGACAATGTTTAATCATTTCACTAACCTTGAGTACAAAACCATTTCCAAAGGGTATTTCCAAATAGTGTATAAACATCTATTATATAAGGAAAGCCATTCAATCCTCTGCAATGAATTTAGATCAGTGGCTTCTGGTTGCTGACCCACTGACCTGGACTAATGTGGGTTTTGGAAATAAACTCCTTATGAGCTGCTGGCACTTTCTTTTGCCTGTCCTCATGACTGTCACAGCAGGTAACATCTGAGATTTCTGAGAAAGCTCAAAGATACTAAGAAATACCTCAATAAGCTACATCCCAGATGAAGGTAGAAAGGCATGTCCAGGGGTCTGATAAGACATGTAATTCTGTTCACACATTAACCATAATTAAATAAGTATCTTGGTATTTGCGATAACAATCATCACTGAAACAGTTAATGTTTACTTGCTATTGCTGTCATTACATTTTACAGCTCTCACTACTACGGGATGAAGGGCAGTAATTCCCATGTTCAGGTTACTAAACCCTGGTACCAGACCTCTGTTCAACTGTGCTTTGTACAAAGCATCTCAAGTGTTGGAATCCTATACTCCCCAACCCAGTATTATAGCACGAAGCAGCTGACATAATTCCTATGCCAACAGGCCCATGGATGTTAGTAACAGGAAGAATTATTGAGGTTCTTATACACAGTTTGCCTACTTGTTCCAACTAACTTACTGGCTATTTCAGCTGCTACCTCCTCAAGTTTGTGTACCTTTTGGGCCAATGGGTATGCCTGAGATGGAGTTAGTTTTCCCCACGGCAGCCCATGCTGTGCTCTGTATTGGTAGCTGGAAAGGTGTAACAAATCAGTGTTTGCTGGGATACATCATGGCTATATCTCCAACATTCCCGCCTCACCAGCAGGCTGAGGGTGGGCAAGATTTTGGGAGGGGACATAGCCAGGACAGCTGACCCAAACTAACCAAAGAGATATTCCATACTGTATGACATCTGCTCAGGAAGAAAAGTCAAGAAAAAGGAGGGGGAATAGGAGCCATTCATTATGGCATTTGTCCTCTGGAGCAACTGCTGTGTGTACTGAAGCTCCGCTTCCCAGGAAGTGGCTGGACATTGCCTGCTGACAGAAAGCACAGAATAAATCTTCTGTTTTCCTTTGCTTCCACATGCAGCCTTTGCTTTATTCAATTGCCTTTATCTTGATCCATGAGTTTTTTTCCATCTTATTTTCTGTAACCCCATCCTGCTGAGGGGGAGAGTGGTAGAGCGGATTGGTGGGCACAGCCAAGGTCAACCCACCACAGCCCAGCACACCCACAGTAAACTCAGGTGTCACACAATGTGTTTTGCAATAAATATTCAGAACTGTACAATCCATACACATCCAGAGATGAAGAGGTGTTTTGTATCAGAGCTGCACTGGGGCACAGTTTAGCTTGAAGCCTGGAGGAGTGATACCAGCTTTGCCCTGTCCCCCTTGCACCCCAACTCTGATTTACAGCATCCTGTTTAGGTCAGTGGCCTGTGTTAGAATTTTTATGGGAGTCTTGCCTCTTTTTCTACAAGTCTCACACATAATCACTCCATATTTCTGTCTTCAAAGAATAATAACAAAATTGGGAGAACAATACCACAAAGAGCTGTTAGAGACCTGACAAGGGGTAAACTGGGATTAAAAAGTGGGATTTCTTTGGTCTACAAAAGTGTGTTGAAAAATGTTTAAGCTTTTTCCTAGGAAGACTTCTGAATATGAAATGATTGAAATAAAAATAAAATAAAAAAACTACTTAGCATAGTAAGTGAAAAAAAAGGAAAACCATTGTCTTTCCATGCCTGTATTTGTGCTGAGAAAGTCTCCTTTGTTACACACTACTGATCTCTCCTGGGAATATTTTAAAATTATCATTTGATATATGGGTTTTCAACATCACTTCCACCTTTATTCATGTCCTTGCAGGAGACAGACGAGGTTTCTGAGGAATGTTCCTGTTACAAGGGTATCCCTCATTTAGTACAACACTGCTACAAGTGTTCTTGGTCTGCTGTCCTAACAAATTCCTCTCATCATCCCCTCATGTAAACAGTGTCTCTCAGTTGTAGGGAGGGTGTATGGCATAATGGCTGTTTATTCTTGGCAAGCAGAGAGTTGACAGCACTGATTCACACATGGAGTTGAGGATAATGGAATATTATTAATGTTCTTGCATATATATGTAAATATAAGCAACTGTAAAGGAACTACTCTTGGAAGTCTCTTGTACAAGTAGCAGTTACAGAGCTAAAATAATTACATGTGTTCTAAGTATCACCATTCTTTTCAAAACAATAACTCCAGTCTGTTAGTAAATTCAAGTCTCAAGTCCTCAATGACAAAGAACACATTGCTTTCAACTTGCTAATGAACAAATATATATCATCCTTTTAGAAAGGACCATTTTAATTGGTCTGTGGTTTATCTCAATGTTGGTTTTAATTTTATTTCCAGTTAAGTCATGATCAAAAGCAGTTCATCAACACTTTCATCAGGTGGAACTTTTAAAACTATTCTATGTTCCTGAAAGTCAGTTTGTATGGAACTTCAGAAAATGGGACTTCTGAGCTTCATAGGTCTTAAATCCATATGACTTTTTTTTTTTGTAAATTACTGTTTTCAAGCAGACATTGTTCTCACCTATATGATGCCTGTATGGTAAATATGTCATACATAATTTTTCTTGGTTTTGTGGCTCCTAAATGTGCTTAGCATTTTCCAGACCCTATCTCCTCTCCAAGAAGCCCTGAGTACAGCTGGAGAAGGGTTGCTTTAACAACAGATTCACTTTGTGAATCATTTGACTTTTGTAGCTTATTTAAAGATTCCTTTTTGCACAGACACAAGTAGTTCCAGACCAGTCTGCATTGCCTAAGGATGCAACCACCCTACACTGCTTTATTTAGTGCTAAAAAAAAAATTAAATTAACCCTACTCTGCAACTGGCACCCTTTTTTGCATACTTACAATGCACCTGGAGTAAAACAATCTTTCCCAAATGCTCTCTTTGCAATTAAACATTATCTTCCTAGTCTGAGAAACAATGTGGGATCAGTCACAGAGGAGACCTGCTCTACTTGATCTGCAGGGGTCTAACTTCTTTGTCCCTCATGGAAGGCTTACATCCTCCTAAGTCTCATAAAAATTTTTTTGGTGTTATGCAACCCTTGCCCACAGCTTAAGAGTCTAAATCTTAATCACCTGGTTTTTACCCCTAAAAGGCTGCATAACACCAGATTTTTGGTAGCACTTTTACTGGTCCTATATTAAAACAACTCACATTACTCTCTCTTCCCTCAGACATTATTCTAGCTGCTGAAGTTACAAAAGAAAAAAACTAAGCAACCTGCTTGTGCTTTGGTCCTTCCTTCCACCCTGTCAGGCTGAGTGCCCCTTACATACCCACCAGCTCCGCTTTTCACAGCGAGGCAGTAAACACCTACCTCCTGCAGATCTAAGAAGAACCCATCCTTCCCTTTGCCCTCTCCCTAGTTGGCCAGGGGCTTGCCCCAGTCCCGGGGTGAAGAAGCTGGAGACAGACCTGGGGCCATTTGCCCTCCTCATGGCCGAACTCTCTTGTCCCACCCACACAAGGTGGCACTGTTGATTTTCACCTTTGCCCACACTAACACTGGTTGGACTTCAAAGTGGTGATTTTCAACCTTCTTCAGTTTCTGAATCCCTACACTTTTTCTGTTTGAAGAGTGGGCCTACTCAGACATTTAACATGGGGAGACTGCTTTGTAGGACTTGTTTTTCTGCCTCATTCTTGGCAGTCATCAAAGGAGTACCCTACAGACTCACAGGGCTGTAGATTCATTTATGTCTCTGGTGAAGTCAGTACCTAGTAAAAGCATGGCCTTTAGCCAAGCACAAAGAGAGATTCAGATCTTTAAATATTACAGAAAAAAACCCATGGTAGAACAAATGTTAAATACCCTGAATTAAATTACTTAAGATAATTCCCACTTGTTACTGTGATCAATACGTAAATTAATATATAATCCTCACATACTTCCGCTGTGCCCCTCTATTACTGCTTTTATATCCCCCTACTTACTATTGCTTTTTGATTATACATATTCTCAAAAACTTGCTTAAATTTGCTTAGGAGGGGAGTTTCAACTTGATCTGTTTTTTCTGTGCACTATATTACTCACTGACTCTGCCCACTTCAGCCCATTTAAAATTTCTAGCAACTGAAGGGAGAGTTTGCTTGGGAAGGAACACTCAAAGAGCTCTTTAAAGCTATATTGAAAAGCAAGTTACAGTGGAGTTAGTTATCCCTCAAAGGAGTTATATTTTCTTAACACCTACACCACTCAAGTGATCCTTAAACATCAAAAGTATCAACCGGCTAACAGCTCTAAGAGTTCCTTATTGCTTCTCCCTCATTGGCACCCATTTGCCCAACCCTAAATTAGGCCAGTTGAATTTGCAAGATCAAAGTAACAAATTACCAGATGATTATAAAATCTCTATGTCTGATCAAGGGCTCTCCTTTGAGGAAATACAACTCCCTAAACAAGGATCAAATTAACAGCAAATATGATTGAAGTCAGATGGAAGTGATAGTTATTGTTCTGGTGAATACAAAAAAGATGGAGCCTGATAAAGAAATGGAAAATTAAGAGTAGTGAACACTCCCTTTGTCTATGTACCCAGTATGGGTCACATACAATGAACAGAAAAACAGTGCTACTTTGCTGACAACTGGTAGCTAAAGAGGGAGATTCATTCCCTGGTGCTGGCTGCCAGTTTCTTTTCCAGTTTTATTTCCATGAAAAGTGGATCTCCAATACATAAAATCAAAAGAAAAGTCTTTAAAATAGAACATGAGTATCAGATTCCTAGAACTAATTACACGATTTCAGCAGCCTCTGCCATGTCATAGTACAAGAGGGGTAATTATTTCAGTGTTAAAAAAATCTCAACATTTAATCCTACAAGAATAACAAAACAAAAGGATAATATTACACCTATAAGGAGTAAGATCCCACAAGTAAACTTTTCCCAGGAAAAATGGTAGTGAAAGGCCCAGCGTCAATGCCCGAATTCCAAGAGAAGAGACAAGACACATCCGCTCAAAATTATTTGTTTCTACTGTCAGTGTTGTCCCTCATTCCCAGAGAGAGCAGACATATTCGTCCTGGCTACTCTCAAGACCTACTTCCAGTAAAGTTCTCCAAGTATAGCAATGCTCAACAATTATTGGAAAAGCCTGGATTTATGTTACTCTCCCTTAACAGTTGTGCCAGGTTGAAGGGGGTACCATGAAATTCTCAGACCTTGTGTTTGATACTCCCAAAATCCCAAACCATAGCTGTTTCCATCTAGTGAGACCTTCATGGGGCCCTCAAGTAGATCAGGGACAGGGCTAAAAAAGAAAACTAGAGCTCCTTAGGAACAGTAGAGGCTCTTTATATACATAATCTGAAAGCACATTCTTATACTATTTAAAACTATCTATTTATAAAGTCTTCATGGATCTTCAAATACGAAAGGCACTTCAAAAATTAGCTTGACTTACAATTTCAGCAATAGAGATTATTTACCACATGACGGGTGCTGCAACATTAGAAGATCAAACTAATAACCATTAGCAAGTACATAGTTACCCATCAGTTTAACCATTAGTTCTACTAGCAGAAGAAATCTGTATTTTGACTCTATCCAATGCTTAGAAGTCCACTGCTGATACGACAGAGGAATCAGGCAGTAAAATGGCAGGCAAAGCAAACCCCTTTTTTCCCAGATTGTATCAGGAAGAAGGTTTAACCTATCCTAGAGTTATTGCATGTAGTGAGAAACATGAGGAGTTTTAAAATTATTTTCTGCACAACAATTCTGCTAGCAGGTCTGCAGTAGTCTCAAAAGTCTCATGATGTATATCAGAGTGATACAGTCCTGTTCCACTGACCGACGTGCATCCCTGCAGGATGGTGTACAAAAATGGAATCACTATCCTTTAAAACAGATTTGCCATTTATTAATGCAATAAATACAGATCCAGCTTTGGGAAAATGAATCTTCTTTCCTAATCCACCTTAAACACCTTCTGTTGTGGCAAATGGAAGCCTCTCTAATAGACAACCACCATCAATTAAACGCAGCTAATGAAAGGATATAAAGCGAGGCTTAAGCTTTAATCGTTATTACTATTGGAGCTATTGGGAGGACCCGAGTCCACCCTGCGGGCGCAGCCCTAAGAGGCTTTCAGGTCCCCACGCCCCGCTCAGATCAGTGTGTCAGCCTCTGCCCGCAGTTCCAGGGCAGCAGAGCGGCCCCGCCGCACCCAGCGCGGCTCCACAGGTCCCGCTCCGCGCCGGCGGCGGGGCTGCGCTGCTCGCCCGGTACCGGCGCTCCCGGCCCGGGAGGTACCGCAGCCCGGTCCCCATCGCTGCGGGGACACTCAGTCCCGGCCTGGGCGGCGGGAGCGGAGCGGAGCGGAGGAGGGAGCGCTGCTCCCGCCCGCTCCGCAGCGGCCCCGGCCCGGCCCTTACCGATGCACCGCACGTAGGGTTTTGCAGGAAGTTTCCACGCTCCTCGGTCTAAGCCGTGCAAAGGGGGGCCGGAGAGGAGCGCGGCTGAATTGCGATGGAAGGGGGCGGGCGGGGAGGTGGAGGAGGAGGCGGTAGCAGCAGCAGCCGTGTTTAATTTTTTAATTAGGGCACTTTGAGCATCCCTCGGCGGGGTCGCATCGCCGGGCGGCGAGGGGAGCAAGGGCGAGCTGCCCCCCCCGCCGCCCGGGACTACCCCGTGCCCGGAGCCGTCGGGACTCCGACCTGGGCTTTCGACAGCCGGCGAGGCGGCCCCGGAGCCGCGGGAGCTCCGCGCTTCGCCACCATGGGCAGCGCGGGCCCGGAGGACACGGGTGGGTACCGCGGCGGGGCCGGCGGGCGGGCGGCGGGCTCTGACCTTGCGGCGCCGCCCGGCCCGGCCCGCACGGCCCAGCGGGGCGGGGGGGACCGAGGGACCCGGGGCGGCGGGGGGAGCAGGGGCAGAGCCTAAATCTGCCCTCCCGGGATAGCGGGGCCGGGAAAGCGAAGGCTGTGCGCGCAATCCTACAGCAACAATTGCTTTGCAGGTGCTCGGTCTCTCGCAGCGTCCGTCCCCAGGGAAGCAGGCAACACTTTTCCAAGTTAAGGATGATGCTAATGAGCGTTTTATTTTCCTGCATCACTGTATTATCGAAATCTAGACTACATACATGAATTCACAGCACAAGAGCTCCTGTCCAATGGAGACTCCAGGCTGATGTATTTGCTAAGGATAAAATCTCATTTCTGCAATTCATTGCTTGTTGGAAGGATGGAGGTGTCACTGCCCGGCTGCTGCTTCTTTGCAGGGGAATGCTGTTTAAGTGGAAAAGTGTTGCTTGCACCCAGTTACCATGCTGCAAAAACACTGCCTGCTTGTGTGGGGCTTTGCTCTCCTTGCAGAACAGTGAGCCATGCCTTCATTTGCTGGGCATCCATGCCCTGGCCTTCCTACCTTCACTTCCCTATATGTTTTCTTAGAACCCTGAAGAGACAGTCTTCTCCTCTGCAATTTAGAGAATACAGGCATGCAGTGTGCACATGAGCATGACAGGTTGGCTGTGTGGTCACAGCACGGCTTTTGCAGCATTTCTGGCCATGTGTTATTAACTCAGGTAGCTCAGGCCCGTTGGAGAATTCCATATTCATTCAAATTTCCATTTCATTAGGACTTCTCCATTCCTATCACCTCCTGTGCCCATTTTTTCTGATAGCATTTCTGGAATACAGTTTAGTTTCCCTAAAGAGATAGTTAAGTGCAAATGAGGTGCTTCCAAAACTTTAAATGTCCCTAACCACACCACCACGTTTTCAAGTTAGGTTTGTTCTTACTCAAACACAAGCTTGGGACTGAAGCTATTAGAAGTACTTTGAGAATGACCACATCCATGAAACAGCAGCTGGGCTGCAGACATCCAAGAGGTGAACAGATGGCCACTGATTTGGTCCATTTTGTTGCACACTACCGTTTATGAAGTGGGTTTTCAGGCAACTGAGGTTTAATCATGCCAAGAGGATGAATGCTCCCAGCTTGAGACCATGTAAAGATACTCCTTTCCAGTACCAAACCATAAGAAAACAAATCCTATAAGGGGTTCTGTGAGAGAAGGACTGAAATCCAAAATACAAGGAAGATTATTCTGGCTACTTTCTTAATCTTCTCAGATTCTCTGTAAACATACGAGTAAAGGCTAGGTCTGAAAAAAGTGGCACCCTGTCACCGCAAACCACCAAAGAACTGGAGCTGGGGTCTTCAATCAACACCAGACATTGGCAGAGTTGGGCTGGTGATGCTCCTAGGATAAGAATTTCAACATCTTTCTTCCAGCTGCCTCACAATACTTAGCACCCATGGTGTTCCCCTTCACCATCCCCCCACAGGTGCAGCCAGCACCCCCAGCTTATACCTCTCTTCTTCTTGGTTAAGTGGTCTATATGCTAAGCTGTTTTCTTCATTCCTATTTTCTTTAGGACTCTTATGGTTCATTCTGACCTCAGATGGGCTTCCAATGGCCTTTTATTTCTCAGCAGGATGTTAAGGAGCCTTTTTTTTGCCAGTGTTTTCATACAGGCAACTCCAAGGAGTAGAGTCTTCACCTGTGAAAAAAAAAGTCGAGCTCAGTCTGGGGCCAGCCCCCACAAAATGGCTCTGCAGATTCTAACTGATACAATGCCTGTCCCCATCACGCTTTTGTAGAGGCTATCTTTGAAGATTTTTGGATCCAGGCCATGTTAGTTAGCATTCAGTCTTCTGACTCAGGACTTGACACATACTCTGCAGCAAATGACAGGGTATCTGACTGACTGGGAGAGGACATCAAACCTGTGTGCAGCACTACAATGTGGAAACAATAAAACAGGCACGCAAGGTCAGACGTGCTGCCACAGTTTTGGGGATACATAATTAGAGCAAAATTTCCTGTGAACATGGAGGCTTCAATTACAATTTCTGAAATTCAGGACAAGGAAGAGAAGAACACAAAGCTGCACATTAGAGTTTCCCAGAACCAATCCCCCCCCCCACCCCCAGCAAAATGCATGGTGTTTTCTCAGGCAGCTGTTTCAGCCAAACTTTTGTTGGATAAGACTAAGATATATTTTTTCATGTTTCAGCATCAGTCCAGCTTTGCACAGAGATCTGTTGCATAGTGTCTCCTGACAAGCACATAATGTACAAACAAATCCCATTCATTCCAGTGTGTAACCTGCAAAATTAGTAAGACTGGAAGTCATATTCTTGGAAAATGACTCTCTATGGTGAAGAAATGTCATGTCAAACACAAACATGTTTGTCTGGACTCAGCTCAGATGCAGGGTTCTCCACAGCCAGCCTATCGCTAAGATTTTTCTCTATGTCTTTCAAGGTAGCAACTGGGGGGTTTGGGTCTGGCTTTTCCAGGTAGTGGCTAGGTATCATTTTCCAGTATAAGCCTTAAATTTAATTTTTATAACCCAGTGTCCTATGATTTCTGGAAAGTAATTTTTTTCCTTGATTGGCTCTTGTTCAAATCAACTGATTTGTGACATAAATTTGTGATATTGAACTTTCTGTGATTTTTTTTCCCTGCAGAAGGTCAAACTTAATAGAAAAATTGGAAGTATGCCCAATGAAAATCCATATAGCAGGTGGGCTTTACCTATGATAGATTTTCAGAAAATAAATATTGCTTGTTGTTGACATTATTTCTAATTCCAATAGGCTATATCTGGATCTTTTCTCCATCTTAACAGGAATTAAAACATTGTGACCCAAAGAGCAGAATATAATTCAAAACAAGGAAGGATCTCATACACAGCTCTATAGATTAAACAGAACACTGGTTGTTATGCTCTGGCACACATGTAAAGACAGTAATAGGAAAACATATTATTTAACATCTACTACATTGAGGTTTATTGCAAAAAGAAAAAGACTTGTGTCTTGCCCTTCTAACCTTTGTTTTAAAATTTTTATTCTTTATAGGATAATTAGTCAAAACCCCCACAAATTCTGAAGTGAGAAAGGAGACACCAAAGAAGATAAAAGTTCTGTCCATTTCTGTCTGCTCAGGAATGCCAAATCTTATTTTTGCTTTTTTTTATTGTAGGGTATGGCTACTTTTAGCCATGACTGCAGTACACAGCTACCAGAGCTCCCTTTAACCTGGCTTAGCAGTGCAGGTACCTGAAGCAGTGTAGCCATGGCAGCACAGAGCTCTGAGTGGCCTAATTACTCTGCCAGGAAATAAATGGATACTGGTAATTCCCTGGGGAAAAAGATGGTTGAACCGTTAACAAAAAGTTTTTCCCTGAGGCATGTTCGTTAAATAGGTGTTAGCAAGAGGCAGGAAACCTCAAGCTCTAACCTCAGAAAAAGTGCCTTTGTCCTTTGGTGCTTTTGATGTCCCAGTCCTTCCAAACCTCCTGCTGTCTACAGGTACAAAAGAAAGATGTGATTCTAATATCTGATGGAAAACCTAAGATAAAGCAAAACGATCCCCACCCCCAATTAAAATCTATACATAAGAGCTCCTTAAACAGGCAAAAATAAAAGGTTTCACCTGCCTGGAAACAAGCAGAGCTCTCCTGGTGGCAGTGGCAGGGTGGAGTTGCCTGAGCCTCCTGCCCTCCATAGGACACACATCAGGGTCAGCCCCCTGAGCAACATCAGGAGGGATTTCGGACCTGCTGTTTCCTATGCCTGTAAAAATGGCAGGATATGTATGTATTTAAGGCAAAGACCAAGAAGAAGAAAAAAATGGGAGCAAGATTTAGGGGAAGGGAATTTAATTCTGTTATCTATTCTCCCACCAATCTTTCCTCATACCCAAGAGCAGACACGTATAGAGAAAGGTGAAGGGGTAATTTTATCAATATGCTCACTTTCTTACAAGCTCAAATACACAGCATTTTTTTTCTGAAACTGGGGACCAAGACTTCACTAAAATTGCACACACAGTGGTTTATTTTACAAGTTGGATCTATTTATTTAGACTCGTGATCTAAATCAGATGGCAAAATCCATATTATTTGGCTGAAATTGCCTTTGAGGTCAATGCAAGTTTAACTAGTTTAAGGATAGAGATTTAAAGCCATTTCAGAAAACATACCTGGCTTCTCCAGGTGGAGACCTCGGTGAGTACTGCCAAATCAGAATCTGTAGACTTGTGCCCAGCCTGACAAAATACTATTTGCAACAGCCATGTGCTGAAATTCCTGTTTTGAGGAGACAGAAAGCCAGAAAATTGTGAGTTTGCTGTCTCATAACAGAGGCCAGTAAGTGGATGGTGTGTAGAGGCTAAAAGTTGCATTTTTTTCATATTAATTTAAATGTGAAAAAACAACAGGACACTGCTAAAATCCGAGCTGGTTTTCACTTCCAAATGTTCATATACTCAGCTTAGATACATGCATTCCATTTAGACCTAACCACACTGATTGGACTTTTCTATGCAGGCAAAGAAGCAATAGAGGTGAAAACCCCACAGAGTCACCAGGATGTGATGCCCAATGATGAGCAGTAATTACTGCAGCAACACTTCAGCCAGCATGAGTGTCAACGAAATGTCTGCCTTCCCTCTGACTCTAGAGCAAAAAACTGGCTTTGCCTTTGTGGGGATTTTGTGTGTTTTCTTGGGACTTCTAATTATCCGATGCTTCAAAATCTTGCTAGACCCCTACAGTAGTATGCCTTCTTCCACATGGGAAGATGAAGTTGAGGGGTTGGATAAAGGAACATTTGAATATGCTCTTGCATGAAAACTCACAGAATATCCTGCCTTAAATTTGATGTTGATTTCGTTTTGGAAACCAACTGTTGTTACATTTGTTATACATCCCCGCATTTTGGAGATATGTTGGTGGCATCCATTTTGTTAAATAAATATTTGTTGCAAACTCAAAAGGCGCTTCACGTTGCTTTTACTTGCCAAACAGTGGAATGGTAGGTAAGAAATGGTTAACAGAAAACAAATACTACAATAATTCAACAGAAAGTGATGATGGCCAATATTTTAAGAGTCAGATGATATCTGCTTCTTCAGAGAAGGATCTCATTTCTACTGTGTCTCATGATACACTGGAGAAGAAGATGAATAACACAAAAGACAGGCTCACGAATGGTGCGTGTTTAAATGGTAACACCCTCCTCTCCTCATCTGACACAATTTTCTGAAACTCGTAGTCTGTGCTTGTACACTGAGAATACAAAAGTGGAGGACAACAAATGTTGAGGAGGTGCCTGCAAGAGGTGTGTGTCTGTGTTGCTGAGGTGAGAGGAGCAAGGGCTAGTCCACATACTACCAATATTAAGAAACTAATGGGAAAGCTAAAGATCACATCCGTTGCTAACTCATCTCTCACCTTCCAAGAAGAGCAGGTGCTCTACTACTGACTGGTTATGAGGAAAGTACATTGCTTCTCTGTGAAAACTTGATGTGGTCCTTTGCAAACACTGTGTAACTCACATGAGTATTTTTTTGATAGATCTCCCAATCTACAGCAACAGAAACTGAAGCAGAATTAGTGGAAGGGAAACAAACATCATTAAGGAAGTTTTTGATACTACAAACATTCAGCCATACAAAATATATTACCTGCTCAGAACTCCAAATCAACATCACCACAGTCCCAGTCCCCCAGCATCTCCTACATTGTTAAAAATTTTAAGTGGAAGAGAAAAATAGAATGTTAAATAACCAATCTAACTCTAGCTGAATTGGTCAATTGCCAGTTTTTTACTACTTGGTTACAAATGTCGATTCAGTTTAAACTGGAACTTAAACTGTCTGGTTAACAGCTCCCAGCAATAATTACACCAGCTTGGCAAGGCCAAAGCAGAGACAATCATGCTGCTTACCCATTTGTACCTAGTCCCCAAGAGGGACAAGGGTCCAGAGCTGACTGCAGAGCTCTGTACTCTCCAGCCCCTCTCCACAGCTGGTTCTGCTGCTCCTGCAACTTTGTACAGTGTTCTGGATCTTTGTACAGATCTGGACTGTCACTGAAGAATTGGTCATGGGAGAGCCTATCAAAGCAGAAGTGAAACAGTGAAAGCAGAGACTCAAATCTGGATATTCAAGGTCACCCTCATATACACAGCTGTTTAGCAAGTGTGACAATACTTGACAGAAATTCAATTCAGTTTTTAAGAAGGCTGGCATTAGAATTTTAGGCACTGTCACTTTTGCTAAACAGCTCTGTTTGCAACGAGGAGCTAAGACAAGGAGATCAGTTACAGCAGCTGTTTTCTTTTTTCATGTATTCTGAAAAAATACATGTTATTTCTTTTGCCCTATATACTAGGCAGAGGCAGAGAGTGGAACAGCAGACCTCAAGCGCCATTTGGAACATGAAATACTTGATTGTACGGGGAAGGACATGAATCTCCTGTCTGAAGAATATAACAGAGGAAAAGCCAACATCAATCTACACCGGTCCAGTTGAATTATAAAACATAAACAGTTTTGTGAATATATATGTACTGCTTCAGATTGTACATAAGAAAAAATGTCAGACCTTCAGAGATTCAGTATATTGCATTTATCCTAGTTAATTTAACCATAAAATCCAAGGTAGATATCAGTACAATGATTCATGTGATCTGTTATTGCTGGATAGGATCATCCACTGCAGAGACCTGACACTGCCATTCTTTTTATGTACATCTAATCAGCACAGCTGAGCTCTGTGCTGTCAGGTTAGAGTGCTGAAGGTACTTAAGTTATCTGGGTTAAATATAGCTCAGTTAGCTTTAAACTACACAACAAACACAGCAAACGTACCCAAAGGACCCCAATATTGTCTTATGACTTTTGTTCTTGACCCAATCTATTGCTGGAAGCAATTATCAAGTTCCCTTATGATTACAAAGCTTCATCATTTCCTGCCTGCCCTTCTCTGCATCCCAAATAGACAAGGAAGTCAGCCTTCCTGGAAAGAATACAGAGAACATAATTTTTCAAAGGTTTTCCTTAAATATACAGAATAAAACTTAAAAAGAGGTCAGAAGTAAATGGTTCAAAACTGCATGTGGGACAAGGGACCCCCCAATGACTTAACTGAATGTCTTCTGCATAAAATGCACCAAGCAGATCCTGTCCTGAACTCATTATCTACATGACTATATATGCAGAACTGAAAAACAGAGAGAACATGATCTGTGCATAGAATCTGGCATAGCTGGGAGGGAAATGGAGATAACAAAAGTATTTTCAGGCCCCCTTAGAAATTTTGCAATGCCATAAAGTCAGTAATTGTAATGGATAGGTACATTTGCTGGTTAATATGTAACAAGCTAGAATGTCTCTCTAAATCACCATCTAGAAATGTTTTGAAAGAGAGGGATTGGATGGTCTATTCAGTGTATTAAGCAGGAGAAAAATCTGGCCAATAAGGCAGAGTCTGTAATGCCTCAAAGAGAGGGATAGACTATATGCATGAATAAAAGAGGCAGATTGTCCTTCCCTAAAAACACAGGATTGAATGGTAAGTTAAATTACCCTAATAAGGTAAACTTGATTATTTATGCGTAATGCTAGAATGCTAAACACAAAATTATTGACAAATAACAGTTGAGAGACCTCTGGAAATACATTGTGAAAACCAAAGTATTATTTTCAAGAACAGCAGAAAGGTAAGAGACTTTACTTTTCCTAGCAAAACAGTAATATTATGGAAATAAGACAGTGAAACGACAGAATCATTTTACTTGGTAGCACAAGTCATCAAAGCAAATTGTCATCAAAGAATTGGGATTTCATTCAGTCAAGGAGATGAAAACAAACGTAGTTTCACTGACCTTAATGACAGAAGATTTGGTTTTGCTCCTTCGTGCCTGCAGATGAAACACTTCCTTGCAACTTTAAAAGGCTGAAGGAAGCAGAATACTATCTACGATCAGAAATGTGTAATAATAATAACACTATTGATAATCCAGAGACAGCAGAAGTAAAAAAAACTAAATAAATGTAACATTGCTGTGAGGCTTACAAAACATTAGGCAGGAAAACCAACATAAATATGAGGGGGTTAAAAAGTGGTATCATAGCAGAGAGGTGACAGCAGAATATTATCTATAGCTTATGGAAGAAGTGAGAAAATACGCTTTAGGTGTATCTCATACTGAAGATGGAGGACTTTTTATTATCAGCTCTTCAAATTATAATTTTGATATGTGATTTTAGAGAAAATTTACATTGCTGTGCTATAAATATTGATGGCAGTATTTACCTTTCTGTGCCAAGGGGCCAAATGCATCTCACAAAATCATTGAGAAATTTAAATTGAAAAAAATCTCAGGAGGTCATCTAGTCCAACCTCTTGTGAAAGCATGAAACTTAAAAAAAAAATGCCTGTAATGGGCTTATTTACCCAGATTTTCAGTTCATATATTGCTTTAAAAGATATATTTTGTTTCTAAAACTTTCTGCTTTTACAATCACTTGCAGAGTTTCCATGTCTAAGCAATGCTCTGGTTTAGTCCCTTTGAACAGGCCCGGACTCCTGCTGAATTATACAGGTCTCTACAACCACACTTTCTAATCTCCTTAGAAATATGTTTCAAGACTTACGGATTGCCATCATTTCAGTAGCTCATTTAAGGGCCATCTGGGCCATACTGTAAATTGCTGAAAAGGTACTTAACCCACTAAAGGCCTTAAACATACATACCCCTTCTTCTCTTGCTGTTTTTGTTTGCTCACTGGTTTTCTTTGATGAGGGTCTGTGTGGGGAAGTGGAGGTGGGAAGGAGATTATACAGCTATATGTCCACTTTTCTGTGGGCTGCGACTCCAAGGGAGCCAGAACAAGATAGAGGAACGGGACAACAGGAATCTCATGACATTCAACAAGGGCAAATGGAAATCCTGTACTTCAGACAGATTTAATGACTGCACCGTGCAGGGAGCAACTCTCCTGGAAGGGACCTGCTGAGCAGCAGGTTACAGAGCAGGCAGTCCCCTGCTTTCCACGTTTTAAATGCATGGTCATGTTCCAATTGCATGATCCATGTACATGGATGCTCACTGTGTCACCCTGCTCCTTTCTGGGTTTCCATAAAACAGATTGAAACTAGAGGAGTTTTTGGCCCATTTAGTGCACAGGCCTGTACCAAACTACTGCTGGTTTGGTTAAGGGGTCAAGTGTGTCAGTCACTGATGGAAACAGCTCCACAAACTCAGTCTTTGACTCAACTATTTTTTTAGTCAGCAAGTCATAGGATGACAGTCTTATGGATACTTGGTGAGGCCAGGGAGAGCTTACGGTGGAAAATGTATCTAACCATGCAAAATAACAGAAATGTTTTATTTATATCTTTTATAGCAGAAAAACAGCAGACAACATTAGGAAGCCTGCTTAGACATTCAAGAGAAAATTCTCAGAACTTCATTACTCAAGGAGTAAAGATTTCATATGAAACAGCAGTAAACCCTTTGCTGTAGCTGCTACTAACTGGCTGCAGCCACAGAAGAGTAAAGGGCTCAGTGACCTGAGTCTGCAGCATCCCTGAAGATGTCCATGAACAATGCACCAAATGTATTCTCGGATCCAAATGCAAATCGGTTTCAAGTTAACATAATTAATGAAGGCCATGACGACAACGAAACAGCCCAAGAGGATGTGGGCTCTGACCCACCACATTATGAAGAAACATCTTTTACTGATGAAACACAGAACAGACTGAGAATCAGTTACAGACCAGGAAAAAGAGAATTATATGACAATTTCCTTCAAAATGCAGAGAAAACAGAAGCTAGTTTACATCCCTATGATACTCACACTAAAATGTATTATCTACAAACTTTTGGCCATAACACAATGGACCCAGTTCCCAAAATTGATTATTATAGAAACACTGGCAGCGTCAGTGGGAATAAGCTCAACAGACCAAGCTTATTAGAAATTCATGAACAACTGGCAAAGGTAAGTGAAAAGGAAAGATACAATTTTTCTCTATTCTATTTCCAGACTGTTAATTCTGCTTATTAATATGAGAAAGTCCTTAGATTCATGGACCTTGCCCAAGAGAAAAAGTACAAGTAATTACCATATTTCCTCTGGTAGCTGCAGTCTGCTTGCTGCTCTGTATCCTGATCAAAGCAAAGATTTTTATTAAAAGGTGGTCATAAGCTACTTGATTAACAGAAAAACATTGCTTAATCTTGTCTAAAGTATGGATCTACTTAATCTCTTCTGTTCCATGTAAGAGTTAGGATGGCAGATGATAAATGTCAATTCATAATTTAACCAGGCTACACAATTCACACTTATTCTAAACTTGAATTTAACATCAATGCATAACTAATTTTGACAGATTCCTCCGCTGTACTCATTAACAAATATAAGTGTTATAAAAAAGATTATGTGCAACAAATGCAATCTCAATCAGAAATCCAAAGCACTCCCTGTTTATTGCTGTAACAAACCATTCAAACTGCAAAAAAGAATCCAGAACAAGGGTGTTGAGGCTGAGAGTGTTTGCTCAGAAGAGGGATAGCAGACAAGAGTTTTCAGGTGCTGATTCAGTGAATGAATTTAGGCCTTCACACTCATTATTCCAATGAATTTGGAACGAATCTGAAGAGCTTCTTGAATGACTACATAGAAAGCATTTATGGAGGAATGATTTGGCTAAATTCCTCCTAATCTGTCAATGGAAGAGCTGTTTAGACTTTGCTCATGTAATAGATGGGGCTATATCCATGTAAAATACACTTACAGAGAGAACTATAAAACAGAATACAACTGTCTAAACTGCCTTTGAATGATTTTGTAGAGCTGTTTCTCCTCTCTCCTTCAGAGAGACCTATTTTTGGTGGACCCACTGTAGGCATTTACTATTGATACATATGTATTTTGCGGGGAAAAAAACCCTTCCCCTTAGCAGACTCTTCCTGTTTGCTCCACTTTTTCCACATATACACCACAGTAAGTGAATAATGAAATACCAAAACATGCCCTTTATCATGATAATCCTCACTTTTGTCACCCCCCATGGCTACTTGCAGAAGAATATACATTTGTCAGGTCTGATCCTCTGGGGTTTGCACATTGAAAACTTCCACTGGAAAGAATTTGAGAAGTTGGTAATATTAAGTCTCAAATACCAGATTTTCACTAATTTCTGTGTTAGTGTCTCAGATAGGTGAATTTTGCTGTCTAGTCACCTATCTAGATATTTTAATGGTTGATTACCCTACGTGGAAAAAAACCAAATAGCATGGAAAGCTGTAATAAGAACTTCTGTGGCAAGAACAAATAGATTAAGCACTTTGAAACAGTTAAACTACTAAAAGACCTACTACAAAACAGTGGAATAACACGTTACTCTACTGACTTCATAAGCCATATCTTCCCCCTTAAGCCACAATACCAAGTTCTCTGTAAAAAGCAGAGACACAGGATACAGCTACTTTCAGAATCAAAAACCTTTTTTGAGGTTCTTAATTGTGCACTTATCAGGGCAGGGCTGGAGAGAGATCATTGCTATAGTCAAGCTGAGACTAAAAGTGCCAATATGCAGCAAAAATCCCCATTCTTTTTTCTGTGTTGGCCAATTGTGAAATGAGAAATTTTGAGAGAAAACAAGCTCTCATCCCCATTCCACTCAGTTTTACATACTTCTGAGGTCTGAATAATTTGGACAAGCATCTGATTTTTGGATGCTGGTGCAGATCTTGTTCAGACTTCCACTCTCTGCAGATTCACCTGTCCTAAGGAGGGTAATATAAAATAATGAAATCAAGAAAAAAAATAGCCATTAGCAAATTAGGACCCAATTCTTTAGGATCTTATTAGGGCAGCTTCCTAGCCTTGGCCTAACTTACCTAAATTAAGGTCTCCACAGACGTGTGTAAAATGGCTTACATGGAAAGGAGAAGCATTTCCAAAGACGAATGCAAAGTGGATATAAAAGGGAAAAAAATATGAATTTGGTATCTGTATTCGTTTCCAGATGTACAAACTGCTGCTCAAGAGACTAAACACATTCTGTGCCCAGAAGAAAACTTCCTCTTATAGAAATAATTTACTTCAGTAGTGGCCAGAGGGGAGTAAAATAGTGTCTTAGCTTTGAACATAATACTGAATGATAAGGTACTGAACATAAGCATATTAAGGAATTTTCAGTTTTGATCATAAACAGAAAATTCCATGTTTTTTACTGCTGCATCTCTCACAGGTTTGTATATTTTAAAAAAAATGAGATAACTTTGTTTAGGTTTTTTTAAGGCTTGCACTTAGAGAAGGTTAAAAAGAAGGCAGATGATATCACAAAATAAAATGAAGGGAGAATTGCTTCACAGGTTGGGACTGTTAAGGAAGAGAAAAGAGCATCATCTAGCTTGGCCATTTCCATACTTTTTCCAGTATTCAGCTTACAGAAGGATAATCTTATGCCTTTCAAAACAGGAAGGTGAATGTCAGAGGTAATGGGATTTTTGTTACACTGGCAACCTGCTGTGCCCTTATGTGAGTTGTGGCCCTGGTGTGGGAGCCACTGACCACAGCCCTGGAACAAACGAGGCACCATTAGCAGGGCTGGAGTCTGTGCCTGGCTGTCCTGGGTCTCCCTTGGTGACCTTGGGCAAATCACTTCGGTCTGCAGAGCTTATTCTGAAGAATAAACAAACACAAGGTCACTAAATAGCAGATTAGCAGGGAAGGGAATTAGGATGGTATGAAAAGGAGAATACATATCCTATCAGGAGGATAAAATATGTATGAGCAGCTGGACAGGGGCCCTGCCTGCAGCCCCTGCCTGCAGCAGGAGCTCTGGCCACCAGCAAGGAGGGGATGAAATGCCCCATTGAGCAGGTACAAGGGTTACACAATAGCCCGGGGTGCAGTTCTGAAGAGGATGCTCTATTTTACTTTAACACTAAAATCTGGGCTTACCACACTACACCCCAAGGCAATCCCACCCCCTTCACCCCCAGTTTGAAACTCAGATTGTTGAAGACAACTATACTGTCACAAGCCCATTGCCAGATTCTGATAAGAAGTGGCATATGTTTGACTTCAGATTGCTAAACATCACATAACTATTCCCATTGTGCTTTGATGTTGGGCTTCACATCAGAAGATAAATATTAATATTTAATACTTTTTTTAATATGCAATTTTTCAAATGTCAGAATGTAAGGCAGGCTGAAAGGAACTTCAAATATCTAGTTTCCACACTGCTGGAGTCAAATGTGTGTCATCTTTTAGCAAGACATGTCAGGTTTTTGCACATATTAAGCCACAAATCGCCAATTAAATCTCTGAAAAATAGTCTAAGTGCTACTTCACAGCTGATGGCTGCTGATAATTACTTGGGCTTAATATTTACCCTACATAAGAAATAATCTAACCTTTCTTCCTCTTGGCTATTCTCCACACTTGTTACGGAGACTTGATGAGCTCATCATCTTTAGCCCCAGGAGAGATGAAGACTAAACCATTCTGAAACAAGAAAGGAAAATGTTTGGGTTAGTTCTTTTTTTTTTTTTTTTAAGCAGTTAACTTTTTATTTTAGTAGCTTTTCAAAATGTTCTGTCACTTTTATTCCACATCCTTAATGCATGAGTAGCACAGGTACAGCTGCTTGGTAAATAACCAATCATTCACTAAAGCACACCAATTTAAAATGCATTTATGGAAGGTTTCAGGCCATAATTTATGATAATGGCATAGAGAGCACAAATTAATTCAAAGTACAGAGGAAACAACTTGTTTCAAGTACAAAGACCAAACCCTTTTAATTTTTTTGTCTTTGAAATTCTAACCACTGTAGCAAAAACCCCTCATATTATTCTGCTGATCTTCCTTAACTCACTTTAATCATTTACCATATTTTGAGCAAACATAGCCATTATTATTTCAGGGTAAGAATTGTCAAAAATATCTAAGTAACTCAGGAGCTCAAAGTCACAGGCTTTCAACAGATCTTGTGTTCCCATTTCACTTAGGGCCAACAGGGCTGTAGGCACCAAGTTTAGTCCATGTCGAAATGTATTATCCAGTCACTTATTTCTCATTTGTGAGCACAGTCCTGGATTTACTGTGTCAAAGGCATTCTACAGCCTTGCATCATCGTGACTAGAGCCCCCATCCATGAGGGGCAGGTCCAGATATTAGTGTAAAAGGCATATTCAGTTGGCCTTTATGTCTGTTTTGGGTATATGTGTTGGGTATTTTTAAGTTCACAGACAAAATACAGAAACAGCCTTAAAGTCAATCAAGATGAAAAATCTCATATGTTTCACAGAATTACAGATGTTTTTCCTCCTTGACCTGCTTGGTTAATCTGGAAATATCTTCATTAACCTCCAAGCCTTAAAAGCACCTTGATTCTTCTCCAGAAGTGCTACCCACTCCTGACTCTGCCAGACTATGGCAAGGGGCTTGGTCCTTCCTGAAGGCCTTTGCAGAGGACCCAGAAAATATCTGGCAATAGCTAACCTAATGCCAGCTGCTCCCAGAACCAGTGAGAGCTCTGAATAAGATAAAAAAAGAAATTAAAAGCAGCAATGACAAAGAGCATAAACCTCAGCACCATGACTAATTCCTATTCAAGCCACAAGAAACATATCATGGTGCTAAATTGCCTCAAAGATTCTGGGGCAGAAGAGCTGAAGAGATAAGATACAGATTTATATTTGTAACCTAATATGAACAATCTAAAATTCTGCACTATTATTCTGGTTACACCACAAATACAGCAATTCCTAATCCTATCTACTATGGTTACACCAGAGGTGGCTAAAACACAGAAAGGATTATTCATTTACTACATTTCACTGGCATTTCTCTAACTGTTTTCAGGAATATGTTACCCATCTGCTGCTGCAGTTATGTTTGCACTTTATCCAACAGAAAACACTGGAGTTCATCACATAACTTCACCATGCAGCACTCAGCTCAGTCTCTTTTCACTATTGAGCAATTATCCCTCCTTCTACACTTGGAGTTATTCATAAATTGTTGCAAGAGCATGCAGAGGCCAACCAGGAGCCTCTCACTATCTTAGATGCTCTACTTACATATCAACACAATATGTATGTGGAATAGTTCACAATAAAAACACTTAAGTACAGATAATAATGTATTTACTCTGCTTAAGCGGTTCTTTCATCTTTTCTCCCTGTTAGCAAGCCTACCTGCTGATGCCTGGTGTAAGCAGAATATTGCTCTCTACTCCAGAGGCAGTAAAACTCGATCTTCTTTGGAATTCCTTTCTCCTGTGTCTCTCTTATGCAGCCAGGTGTCCTCTGCTTTGCACAAAACCGTGTTTGTTTTCTGTGTGATTCTCCAGAACATTGCTGTGAGCACTGGCTCAGTGGAGAGAATGGCTAATGGAGAGAGCACGGCTGGAGAGGAGACAGCAGCCAGCAAGGAAGAGGAAAACAAAGCAGGATTTGTCAAGTTCGGATGGGTGAAGGGTGTGCTGGTGAGAAACTTACCTGCACTTCTAAACAAAAAAATTAAAAGCAAATAAAATCAGTTCTGTTACACTAAGGTCTTCTAAGAATTAAGAGTGGGAGATGGACTTCAGGGATGTTTGGGGTGTTTTTTAAAAGCCTGAAATGTACTCTGTCATGCTGCTGGTTGTTAGCACTACTTTCAACATTGCACTAATGCGGTATTTTTTCTTCAAAACCTAGGTAAGATGCATGCTTAATATCTGGGGTGTGATGCTCTTTATTCGACTTTCCTGGATTGTAGGTCAAGCAGGAATTGGTATGTATCTTATTTAATATCATTTTCAACAGTGAAGGGATAAAGAGGATAAACTATACATGATCATGATTAATATATAATCTGAGATGTGCATTTGCATGTTGAACTAAATAACGTTTTCAAATGCTTGCCAAGGTAAAAGACATTAATCCTCCAAACTATTGGAATTTTCCAGACTCACAGCCAAATTACTGCTTAGAGGCACAGATCTGTTAACTATGCATATGATCATCACATTTGAATATTTCTAAGCTTTAGTGAAATTTGTATTTAGATCCTGTAACAGATGTAAACTTTATGACTCGGGCCAATTTCTAATATGTGAGTACAGAGTTAACCTTTAAGAGTTCACACTTTGCTTATCTGTGAAACCCAAACCTTGTCATCTACATATTAAAAACAACACTTCTTCACACTTCTCTGCAAGGATGAAAACAGAACTGGAAGGAGGTCTCATCTCATCAGGATTTTGTTATTTTTAACTGCAGAACAGTACTAGATACTAGTGTACTATGAAAGACTAAGTTTAAAAAACTCTGCTGTAGCTTTCATATAAATTAACTAAGTACACTTCACTATGTGCTGTATCTTTGCTTCTTCATTGTGTAATTTAATTAATCCAAATTCCAAATGCCAGTCCCTGGGGGACTGGGCCCCGAGGCCTCCATCCAGTCTGTTGCTGAGTGTTCAATGAAACCAGCGAGAGAGGAAAGTGCTCACAACGCTGCAAGAATCTCCAGCACTACAAGAGCAGCTCAATGAGGTGCAATTTCTGTGTGGTACAACTGCCTTTTTAGAGCTGCTGCTCTGGGGAAGCAGAGAAACGTGACCTGCGATGGCACTGTCACTCTGTGATCCATGATCCTGCAATCTGGAGTGTTGGGGCCCTAATCTTTGACTGGCACCCAGATGTTGCAAAAAAATGCAATCCAAAGGCATGATGGCAAGTATTCCAGTTTGGATGCTCACAGAATGGAAACATTAAATAAATTAAGGAGCGTTGACTCTGCTGGGCTTGGATAAAACTCAGTGCTCAAAATCAGATGGTGTAACTGTCATTCACTTCCTTGTTAATGGAAGTGAAATGAAACATTGAATCGAAACATCTCCAAAATTTTGCATGGTTGAAGTCTCATTTCCAATAAAATACAGTAACTTCATAGAAGTTTCACTTGAGCAAGTCTGAGCTTTTAAACAAAGAATAACAAAGGAAACGCTTATTAAGTAAAAAATCCAGCCACAAACTTACAGAAACATAAATAGAAACAAGAAACCCAACAATAAAAGATCCAGAACTAAGCAGGAGAACTTTAGTACTTCTGCAGTGCTCCATGCGTGGCTCCAGCACTGTGCCTGACAAAAGGGTGCTTGCTGATTTTATGATGCATACCAAATGAGCACGTACAGCCCAGGGCACTCATAACTATATGCCTTGCCATGAAATTTCTGCATCTTAATATTGCCAAGACTTTGCTCTGGGGTTTCATGCAAAATTAGTTTTTAAGGGCAGTTTAGTAACTTATTGAGATCATCAAGAAGTATTACTTTGTTTTGAGGTGTGAGAATAGCCATGGGCAAGAGTAATTCATTTTGGAACAACTTACTTAGGAGCCATATGCCTGCTTTTCAATCTAAACTTTAATCAGATTTTTAACATTAATTTGCACCAACATCAGTTACAACCTTTCTGCTTTCACTTTTAATTTTAGCATTTTAACTCATTGATAAGCAGACTCTCTTTCCTTAGAGTTTATTGCTCTGCTGTTGCTTTTTAAAGTTGCATGTGTTACGCAAGGAGGTTAGTTTTACTTCTGAAAATGAGACGTCAAATTCCATATGAATAATTTCTCATTGCATTTTCTGAATGTCTTATTAGCAATGAGCTTTAAGTCCCTAGCCAAGCTGCTTAAGGAGAACAGTGATGGAAGCTCATCATCACCAAGGCTCAGGGATTTCACTGGGTACTGCTACTAACATGGAAATTAAATGAGTCAGTTAAACCACCATCTGGGCACCATTTATATCCCCATCATTAGAGGGCCAAAGAGAGCAAACCCAATTATTTCCATATCCTGATAGGCTGTCTTGGGCAAAAGCTCTTACAGGGGGAAAAAAATACCATTCAACAAAGATCTGTGTTTATCATCAGCTGGGAAAAAAGGGACAGTATGGTCCTGACAAGATTCCAGGTCCAAAACTAGTCTAGTATTTTCACCTAACATCTGAGGACTACATGTACCTGGAATGGTTAGCCAAAGGAAGGGAAAAACACCAAGTTTATGTTACCTGAAAATCTGGCCCTGATTACAATTATGTTATATGACAATGTTTTCGTTAAGTCACTGCTATTTATGCACTTTTATTCTTAAATCTTACAATATTTTTTAAAAATTAACATTGAAGTCTTTCTATGAAGATGTTACTATCAAGTTAACTATAGATTACTATAGTAACAACTACAGATGTTACTATCAAGTTAACAACTCTATATATCTATCATATACATGTTAATGACATGAATTGTGAAATGCAATAAAACATCCTTGAAAAATACTCCTTAGGATGCACATGCACTTACCAAATAATTTTAAAACTACTTTAAGAATAATATGTCTCAATTATTCAACTTAAGAGTTAACAGCTGATTAAAAATCATGTTCAGCCACTTCTCAGACACAAAATTTGCATGGTTTAACCTTCTGTGTAATGGTAGCTGACCAAAAGGAATGACCGTTTGGATTTCTTTTTATACAGACCTGCATACAAAAAGCTGCATGACTAGTTAGAGTTCAGAAATCAATAGGATAAACATAATTTATTAGAGGCTCAAATCACTTTGAATATCCTACACCACATTATATATCATTTCTGTCTTGCCCATGACATCTTTCTGTCTTAAAGGACTGTGATAACATGGCTATAATTTAAGCAGCAAAGAACGTTCACTCAGGGACTGGGTGGTTATAACCATCCAGTATGAACTGAAGTCAGGAATCTGATCTGGAAGCCAGAAGGTAGAAATAAACCAGATGAATCAATCAGTTTGTAGTACTTCTCACTCAGTGATAGTTGTCAGATCCAAGTTTCAATCTGGATGAGCCCTGGTCAATAAATATTGCTACAGGCAATGAATGTTCTCCAGTTCCACACTGAACACCTGTGTACCTCACAGACACAAGGCAGCTAGTGCATAAGCCTTAGCAAGCTCAGATAAAACTAAAAACTGATTGTTAACAGAAACCTGACCATATAACCAAAGACTGGAAGCGTTCTCAGATTTCAGAGCATAACTTAAACTAAAACCCAGTTCACCTGTAACTAATCACCTTTCACTCATCTTCAGATGTTTGATTATTTCTGTTCAATTACTCAAGTTTGTGATATCAGCTAAAAAAAAAAGAATATTCTAAGTTCTCTAAGATTACAGGTCACCCATTAAAGTAAATGGCATCTAAAAAGCAGTATTTCCATTTTCAAATGTTTGTCCTGTGTTAGACTAAAACTACTTTTTGCAGGGAAAGAGGGAGATGAGGACATCACTCAGGTTTTGTCTCTCTGCCTGACTGACTCTTTGTCCTGGTGCACTATGAATCTTCCTCTGACTCACTATTTAATTATCTGATGAAAGACAGCAGTATTCTTACAAGAGCTCTGGTTAATGTGTCAATCTCCTCACTTAAACAGCCAGGATGCCTGTTAAAGGTAGATATAAGTTTCCATGTCAAGGGACACTTGTGTGTTCATTTCCTCCAGCCTTTGAAAATCATGAGAATTTCTGGCTAGAGTACTCCTATCACAAAGAATCACTGCTTGAAGACTGATGGGAATAATTTACTACCATGTCATGGCCTCCGTGAAAATGTTCTGCAAGCTGCAAATGGTCAACAAACCATCTTTTCAGTTTATTGCTCTGATTCTGGCCTGAAAATTCAATTTAAAGAGAGAATGATTTGTAGGAAACATGGAACATGAGTAAAATATTTTATCTTCTTATTACTGACAGGTCTTGGAGTAATCATAATTCTCCTCGCCACGATGGTAACCTCAATTACTGGGTTGTCAACTTCTGCAATAGCAACTAATGGGTTTGTCCGTGGAGGTAAAAATCTTAGGGTTACTAATGCTTTCAAGCCCAAAAAGGTATTTATGTATTATTTCTGTGTGAGACAAACCAGAGGGACGATAAACCAAGTGGTACATCTAAAGGAACTGGAAGGTAACAATTCTAGCCACCTCTCATCACAATTTAAGGCATGTTTGGGTAGTCACTTTTAATAAACCACAGATTTCAGTTCAGTCTGAGAAGTACATTTCAGGTGTTCCTGCCTGCTGGGAGCGAGGGATGGCTGCTGGCTTTCCATGGCTGCTCTTACCTTTCAGCTGGTCTTTCCTATTCAGAGCATTCCAGGTTGGACATCCTTCAACAAACTGAGCATGGAGACACCTCTTCCTCTCATTTTAAATACTGATGCACATCAGTGGATGCCTTCAGTTTAATGCCTTCTTTATAACACTTCTTACATTTCAGCCACTCCTTGGAAGACGAGTAAATGATTTTGCTGTAAAAGTGCATGTCAGGTATTTTATGAAACAAATTTCTAGTGCATTTCAGAGCCTTTAAGTTCTATCTGGCCTGGTCTAACCTCTCTGGAAAATGGCAAGTTCTTACTACGTCATTTAAGCACAACAGGTACTGGAATATACTTGAATATACTTTCTTTTTCGGATCTTTCAGGTCTTGGAATCATAGTTATTGTTCTGAGTGTAGTAGTAACAACATTAACAGGTATCTCCATGTCTGCCATTTGCACTAATGGAGTAGTAAGAGGAGGTAAGTGATTATGATCTCATGAAAAATACAAAAATCTGCAGATTTTACTTAGAGAAATAAATGGAATTGAGATAACTGTGTTATAAGCAAAGAAATAATAAGCAAATATATTTGGAGTGATTTCTTTCAGTGCATCAACAGCAAATTAAAATGTATATGAACTTAATGCAAAAAAGATTAAAGATTTACTGCAGGAGCTTAAACAATGTACCACAGAATATGATCCTTCATGCTAACACTGGGACAGATCCATGTAAGTTAGAACCTATCTGGAAGTGAGGTTCTCTCTCCTTTGTGTTATTATATCATGTATCATGAAAAATTATAACAAGGTCCAGTTTTGCATGTTAATGTGCACTAAAAGATTTCTGCAATAGAAAGGCATACTGAGAAGTCTGAGGGCAGAACCACTACAAAGCACATTGCTTTTCTGTAAGTGCCCTCTATCAACATAGGGCAAGGTTCAGTTATATTTGTGAGGCTGAAAGCACAGATTTCTGCAGTAATTGTTCTGTGGGGAAAAAACAGCAAAAACTGAGCATTTAGCTGTGCCAAAATAACAATCATTTCTGTCTGCAGGTGGAGCATACTATCTTATCTCAAGGAGTCTGGGCCCAGAGTTTGGTGGATCTATAGGACTTATCTTTGCCTTTGCCAATGCAGTGGCAGTTGCCATGTATGTAGTTGGATTTGCCGAAACAGTTGTGGAACTTCTTAAGGTAAATGTAGATGTAGATGTTTCAGGTATATGATTAAGTCAGTTTAGTTTTTTGTGTTTTGTGTGGCTTTTTTTCTTTTTTTAGGGGGTGGTGTTTGTTTTACATAATATATTTGTTTAAGTGGTGATACTTTTTAGCTAAGGCTTGAGGGACATTTTTAGCAGGGAAGAAGCTGGTGTGTCTAAACATGCCACAGAACACTTCTCCATTATTTCTACCTTATGAATATATTTCATACATTTCTTGACAAGAATCTCAAAATCAGAAGAGGAACAGACATCTAATTAGACAGCCAAATAACCCCAACTGCAGAAGGCCAGCTGGAACATGAAATACAAACACTTGGTCTCATAAATCTCTGCAACTTTGACAGCTCACTGCTCTCTACTTCACCTTGTTACTTGATCCCACCAGTTGGGCAGAGAAACACCGGTACTATTAACATTTCTCACTGCTTTCAGGAGAGTGATACTCTGATAGTAGATGAGTCCAATGACATCAGAATCATAGGCACCATAACTGTTGTCTGTCTTCTCGGCATCACCGCTGCTGGCATGGAATGGGAAGCAAAGGTAAACCTTTAAAAGAACATTAAAGCAAGTGGTATTTTAGCCTACTGTACAGAATTTGTGTGTGAGGAATGCTACACAACAGGTAGAATTTTCAGAGGCACCCAGTTTCAGTTTACGCTTAATCTTTCTAAAAGCAAGAGCAGTTTAATCATTACATTCAATGAAAGCACAATTACTCCACACTCTTCCTTGAACATACATTTAAAAGCAAAGAGGAAGTTTGTGTTCTGCAGACAGCTTGGTTATATTGATTTTTACAATTCATGGCTTCATTTAGAGCCTTGGCTAAGTGCCCCTTTTGCCCTTATTTTTGATGCAGTTTGACACAATAAACAGTAGTAAAATATTGTTTTATCACTGTACTCTTTCAAGCCCTGCTCAGCAGAAGATCTCTATTTGCTACCCATTCCTTAATCTCTAATGATTTCTGCTATTCCTTCACCTGTAAAAAAAGGTCAGAATGCAAATTCAAATGGAAATACTTTAGAGGGTGTAATATAGCTGTTGAAATCAGGACCAGAAAACAGATTCAACAGCATCCTTATTTTTACATTCTGCTGTGATGGAGACTAGAACTACTTGAAAAAGAGATCAGAAAACAATTTGATATTACAACCCTTGAAGTCACAACTCACTGCAACTAAACAAATTTTATAACAATATAAAAATGTCTTATACTTGATATTAATGCTTTACTGTTCCATTTGCCTTTCCTTGTATAAAGAAACTAACATAAAATTAAATTATAACTACATATTTCATTACTCCCTTAGTAAAAAGTATCTGCTGTTGTCACTAGCTGATTCAGCTATCTTGATTCCTGGTAGTTTGGAAAACTACAGAAATTAATAACCTGTCATAGGGAACACATACAGATAACTTACTATATAGCCATCTCCACAGCAACACAAATTAAAACTAACAGGAAAATCTTTTTGCTTCTGTTAATAGGCTCAAGTTATTCTTCTAATTGTTCTCCTTGTTGCCATTGCAAACTTCTTTATCGGGACAGTCATTCCTACCAACACCGAAAAGAAGGCAAGAGGCTTTTTTAATTACCAAGGTAAGCAACCTTGCTATCATAAAATTATGATTTGCATTCTTTTGGCTTAGCAGTAAGTTAAGGATTCCACTGAAAAAGGTCACAAGATCAGAATCTTCTGCCCAAGTTTAAGTGAGCTTGCAAACAAAGGGAATTTATTTCATCTTTAATTCTGAGTCTGTCTCTCTGCTGCTGAAGTTGACAGCACAGTGAGCTGCAGCTTGAGTCATTTATACATCAGTAGAGCACAGACAAACTTTAACACAGACCTAAGTGCAAGTACTGCAGTGACACTTCTGTCACTTCCATATGGCTCTGTAGCTCTGAGATGCAGACAACCACATCCTACTGGGGACCAGACTGAGGAAATCAAATTCACTTTGCTTATGATATGAGACACATTCAAATCCAGTCTTCCAGATGTGAAAGACTGGCTTATTCTCCTCATTCATTAAGTAACTTTGGAATCAAATCTTGGTGGTATATTTCATTTTCACCTGTATTTGCAGCATCAATATTTGCAGAAAACTTTGGACCAGATTTCAGAAGTGGAGAAGGATTTTTTTCGGTGTTTGCCATTTTTTTCCCAGCTGCCACTGGCATTCTTGCAGGAGCCAATATCTCAGGAGATCTGAAAGTACGTATTTCATTAACTTCATAATACTATCTGTAGGCTGAGAAAAAGAACAAGAAAACAAATCATGAATCAACTCTGTGTTCAGTTTTAAACCATGTCTTATTTTGGGAAGCAAAACTCTCACTTTTAAGTACCTGATTTATTAATTGAAAACATCAGTTCACATCTTCTCTCATAAGCATTGTGGCTATTTACAGAAATTACCGCAGTTAGATTTGGGTTATTGTATCATTTAAAAGCATGTTTCAATAACCTGTAATAATATATCATTAATGGTCCATTAGCAGCACATGACATAAGAGAAATTATATGTGTATCTCTTAAAGCTTGTATTTTGTAAACATCAATCCAAACATCACCCCAAAAACCATACCTGTAAAGCTCAAGTTTGTACTCACAGGAACTGGCAGAGACCACCTTTTGTATTCAGGGTCATAGCAAGGGCAGAGCAAACAGGGCATTTAAGGAAAGCAAGTATGTCCCAGTCCCATGTCACTACTGCTGCTCAAAGGAAAAGCTGCAAGCTTGCAGCTGTGACAAAAGAAAGGAGTCTGAAGAGAAAGGGGAAGGAGGTCCAAGGGCGACCAACTGTCTTGCTGTGGCCATTCTGTCTGTTCCCCACTCTCCTCTTGCTGTTTAGCAGTTGTAGGGGATGATATTTCCAGCATCTAAAATTACAGGTAAACTAGAGACAGGAATTTAGTTTCGAGTGCCCTCTAGTTTCCATCACAAAAACATCCAACCCCCCTCCAAATTAAAAAGAAAAATAAAAAAAAGTCACCAACAAGATGTCACTCACAGCTTGATAACCCCAGTATGTCAAACTAAGTTCTTTGGCCTTCTCATATAAATCCATTGCCTTGGATACCCTAAGGATTCATCCAAAGGTCTGTTATATCTGTATTGGCATAAGAGTCACACGTTAACCACATCCTACCACACTTGACAGCCAGTTCTCTTCCTCACACTGAGCTGATGTCTCATCTCCTTTGTTTTCAAAGGACTGCTTTTCAAGCCAAGCACAGAGAGAACTACATTGAAACTGAGCCACTGATAGTGTCAGTGAGATTCTAGTTTTAATTTAAAAACCAAAAATCATTGTACTTCTGCCCAGTGAGACTGAATCAGCCTCACACAATCTCCATCCTCTTAACAAACAAAAATAATTCTTTTGCCATATATGGTGCTCTCTCTACATGGCAGCTCCCAAAGCAGCAGCACTTCTTTCATAAGCTGTTTGAAAGAATCTGAGCAGACAGAGTTCTCCCGTTGGATCTCTGCAGTTGTTTCAGTCTGACAATAAGTGGATTTCTATAAGCAAGTCCTCCAGACTGCAGATCCCCACTGAGCATGTTTAGATGCATTAGACAGGTCTAATTAAATTAACCAGCCTCTCCAGAAACCTAAAAGACAAGCTAAGGAGTGTTTAAAAAGTGTAATATTGACCAACGAAACTTTCTTTGGAATTTGTTGCAAACACCTTCATACATGCTCCTGCAGCCACTACATACTCAAGTTGTGTCTTAGTCCAAAGCCTACTTCCAAAAACAAATAGTCTTCCTGATGACTTCAGTAGGGTTTGGAGCAGCCCCTAAAGTGCTAACATCATAGTAAATATGTGTTTGATTTTTGACAGAATTTAAAAGCTGTAAAGCTGTAAGAAGACTTAACCCTAAGATTTAAGGTTACAGAGTTTAAGATAACCACATTAGACTCTAGATGACCTGAAACATGCACACCAGAACTGCATAATGTTGCCAAGGTCTGAAAGCAAAGGGTGTTAAATGCAGATCAAGTGACTTCAAAACTATTTTTCAGCTCGATAAATCTTTACGTCATTTAAAAATTATATTAATTATTAACACAGTTAAGCCATTCATCCATGTTTCACATTGTTTTTAACCATGCAATGACCATAGTTATAAAAAGTCTGTGACTTAAAATGCATTCAACTAATTTTTGATTTAAAAAACCTTACTAAACCAACTTAAGAAGACAATTAATAAAAAATGCTTCCTAGCATAAACAAACACACCCTAAATTGTAAGGTTATCTAGCATTAAAAACCCCTTAAAAATGTATAATGCAGATCTTTGGACTCAGAGTTGCATGATCAAATTGTTGTGAGCTAGTCTGTAAGCATCACAACCCAGCCTTAGTAAATTATCTAAATTAAATGTCAAAACAGTGAAAGAAAGTAGCTGTTGTGAAGACCCAACTAACAATTACTAGTTGCTAATCACAGAAGTCCTGTATTCTGTACAGGGTCACTGCATCCATCTCACCAATTAACCAAAAATGGTCCCATCTTGTCATCCACAGGAGTTTGATGGTTGGTTCAGTAATTATTTAGCGATTACATCATCAAACATTAAAATAAAGCCAATGGCAATGTAAAGAGAGTTTGGAGCTCTCAGAAGTGCAGAGATCAGGACCCTCCTGCTGCAATAAATGTGACCTCTGCTCCTGTACAATATCCTTCACTGTGTCCAGGACAGGAGCACTGCACCACAGGACCACTTCACACTGTCTGCGTGCTGGGACCTGAAGTGTTGGTGTAGGTCAAGGGATAAAAATCTGCCCTCTAAGGGTATCTTCACACCACAGCGTGGCAGGACTCCCAGCAGGCAAATGCAATCAGACTGCAGCACACACAGTCACAGTGCTTTTCGTGTCCCTGCTTTGTTTTAAGGATCCCCAAAGTGCGATACCCCAAGGAACAATGCTGGCCATCCTGATCACCACCATTGCTTACATTGCCGTGGCCATTTGTGCGGGTGAGTACAGAACCTCTGCTTCAGGTCTTCATTTGTACAGTTCAGTTTGGAAGCTTGGTATGCAAATGAATGATTAACCTCACTGCTTTTTAATCCTGTGAATTTATTATGTAGAGAGACAGTAGTTTTGATTTTACTGTATGTAAAAACAGTGAGGGGGAAAAAAAGCAGCAATCAGCAGAAATGAAAGTGTCTTTTTGGTAGCTGGACCTTCATATAACTTGTATGGTTACTTTTGCTGACAAAGACCACTAGCATATAGCATCCATGAGCATAGTAAAGATGAAAGGAACCTCTGATCAATCTGCTGATCTTTTGTTCCTTGTTCACACTGAAATTTCATATGGCTTCTGCTTTCTCTCACTAGTCTTACTGAGCACTCATGAGAATCACAGAAACAGGGTAACACATTTTGTATGTCATATGTCAAAGACACAAATCAGTTCCTGTCTTATAGAAGATACACAACTCCATGCTCTGCAGTATTGGAATGTGAGGTGACAACAAAGTGGACACAAATAAAAAGGAGAGCTGTACTGAAGCCATGAACTGTGTTGGAGGATTATGCAGTTAAATCCTCATTATAAGCAGACAATAAATCTCTGGTCAAGAAAAATATTTTTCTTTATGTATTTAATAGTACTGTAAGAAAGAGGGTTGTAAATGACACCCCTTCTTATGAGCAAATACCTCAATCCTGCATGAAAGCCCTGCAGAGTACTTCCTTTTCTGGGAGATGACTCTCAAGTCTTCTTGACTTTTGTTGTTCTTGTACTTTATGCAAAAGGCAGAATGCTTGACTCAAGCCTCAGCTCAGGTCACTGCATTATTTGGATCTAAATTTCCCCTGCAATTTAAGTTGAAGTAGTCATTCTTCACTTTCTATTATAAATTTCCTTTCTGTTATAAGTCATTGTTGTTTGTTTGAGAACATTGCACAAGCAATAGCTGTATTTCAAATTCAGAGCTGCGTATTTTTCAGGGCACTATTTCCTTTTTTTTTTTTCTGTTTGCATATTGGTTTCCTAAATAGACAATGGTTATTTTGGGACTCTCAATGTTTTTGACATATTTGAAGTTACCATAAAAACTTACATTTTGGCCACTAAGGATGTTGAGATCAGCACTCCAAGTTGCCTCCACGTGTTTTTTCTCGTTTCTGGTGGCAAGCAAATAAAGACAACATGAATATCAATAAACATAAAAAGAATATAGGCAATTTCTCCTGTTTTTCATCATATTGGTATCAGTAGGGCTATGACAATTTGAATAGCTGAGGATCTGGGTCTCTAAAGCAATTGCGTGTCCTTGTTAAACAGAAAAATGTGTATCCCTAGACCCAAGACCCTCACTGACCTGTTTCCTTTGAATACTGGCACTTGTAAAAGTAGTGACAAGAGGACAATATATTTTCTGAGTTAGTTAATTTATTGTTGATTTCTGTCTTGCCTAATCTCAGAAATATGCTAATCCTCACTAGTCAACTGGCTGATTATTCTAAAAGTAACAGAAGGAAATATTTGCCTACAGACACCATGATAACCTAAGTCATAGAACAGGGTAGTAATCTCTGCCCAACACAAAACGTTGCTCTTGGGATGAGTCAAAGGTAGCAGTTGGACAAAATGTGTGCAGATTAAGAGTCAAATGGCAAGAACATTCTTCCAATGTCACAAGGAATGAAAATAATAATATATGATTGTTTCCACAGCCTCCTGTGTTGTACGAGATGCTACTGGGAACATCAATGATACAATTGTACCTGGAATGAGCTGCAATGGATCATCTGCCTGTGGCCTAGGCTATGATTTTTCCAGATGTGCAAGTCAGCCATGTGATTACGGGCTGATGAATAATTTTCAGGTTCTAATGACATAATATGTATAATCATAAGCAATACACGAATACATAAGTACAAACATTCAAACCCGTTATTTACAGACAACTAACTGCAACAGGACAACCACTTTTATCTAAAAAAGGAAGGAATTATAGGAATAATGAAAGGCAAAAATCACCTGCATTCCATAATATCTTCATACTGCCCATCACTAGCCTTCCTAGCACTCTGGTAAAGTCTTTATCTCCTCTTTCAACAAGTACCATGCAGCAGTATATGCTGTAACATCTTCAAACTGAAAGCTTAAACTTAACAGAGACTTCAGGAAATGTTAGATGAGCAACTCACCTCACTGCTCTTGACACCTGGATGTGATTTTACCTCAGGGGTGCTGTGGTCACTGTTAAAGGTTTGTGTCGTGGTACAAAAAACAGAGTTCTGACTTCTTTAAAAAAAGTATCCAAAAATAGTCGAGTGAAAAATCAAGTGAGAAGTAATGGGGTCTTTCTCCTAGGCCAGAGAGAGACTGTCTGCCATTTTTATTCTTCAAAATAAAGCATAGGCAAAGCATCAAAGTAAAGCAGTTCTGCAGCCTGACAAGCACGGCTCCCAGATCTCTGTTCAGCCCCTGTCCTTCATGGCCCGCAAGAGGAACTCACCACCCACCTGCACTTGCTTTTCAACTAGTCATTTGTAGCTTTTAAACTCACTTGCTTTTTTCCCAGCTGGCTCTGCTAAATGACAGGGCTGGGTAACCACCTTAAAAGGGATATGCTGTCCCTTTCACAGACTACTTTCCTTTCCTTTCTTGATCATTTACCATCCTCACTCCCACCCCAGTTCAGCTGCCCAGACCTGGGGCACCCCTTTACATCAGTGACCTCCCTACAGCCATAAACGGAGTTGCACTTGTTGCATTTACCTTTGCCAGACTAAAGTCAGGAAACAATATATCTTCATCTGACAAATCTTCAGGATTAACTGGTTTCTTTCCTGGAGTCTTCCCACACACCAAAAAGCATCTGACAGCCACAGCCATCTATCTTTTAGTTTCCTTGTCTGGTGCTTCTCAACATCCCTTTTGCTTCAGTGGTCACAGAGGCCAGTCCAGCCCCCCAGGAGGGCTCAGGGAGGCCTAACAGGAACCAACATTGCTGTTTGCAGCACTGTGGTTATGCCAACACAACCAGGCACTTTCTCTCTTTTTTAGCCATATTAAATAATCAAGGAAACCCCAAACCAAATCAAACGCCTCCAACCACGTTTCATACTTTGGTGCTTTTTCCTGCCATTTTCCTGCCATTTCCATTTTCCTCTCTTGCTACGAGCTGGCTATTTACTTGTCAAATAGAGGCTGTTACTTGTAGCAATCAGTTAGCAAAGGCAGTGAGAAAATCTCAGAGAGTACTCATCTGCCCCGGCAGACAGCTGCATACTTGAACAAAAATTTGGCCATGCCCCCATTGCTTTTTATTAAAAGAGAAATAATAGTATTTCCTTACTTCACAGTTGTTTTGTAGCAGATTGAATTTAGAACCATGAAAAGCAGAGACACATAGAAAACAAGAGTACTGTCAACAAAATCTGCATCTAAATGTAAGCCTGACTATTCTTTTTACCTTTTTTTTTTCATAAAGGTGATGACTGACTCTTCTTTTTACCTTCTTTTCTTCATAAAGGTGATGAGCATGGTGTCTGGCTTTGGTCCTCTCATCACAGCTGGCATCTTTTCAGCTACTCTGTCATCAGCTCTAGCATCTCTTGTCAGCGCACCCAAAGTCTTCCAGGTAAAATTAAACTATCCATTTCCTTATACTCAGTTTTACTTCAAAGACACAAAATTTAGTTGAAGTCTTCGTGCCAAATGTAATATATATTTAAACAACACTGACACCTGTGGGAGGAAAAGGCAGGGAAAACAGTATGTACAATGTTTTTCAACGGAAATAGGCAGATTTCATCCTCATACAAGGGCAACAATATTCCTTTGGTCAGAGCTCAGCTTTGTTGCAGGAGTGGGGATACACACGTGTCTGTTATAAATAGCTTGAAGGCTACAATAAGCTTTAACTATAAATATTTTGTGCAAAGCACCTGCCCAGCTTTCCAGAAGTTGTCTGGGCAGCAGCAATGTGGAAAGAGTGGGAGCAGAGGGCATGGGACAGAGATAACCTGTACAAATTACACCAAGCCACTGACTTGGACTTCAATTTCCCCCAGTTTAGATTCCATTTAACTATTTAATTAATCTTTTCTTTTAAAGCACTGAATAAGCATTAAATGCCTGTATTTCTGTTTCCCACCATATAATAACGTAGTAGCACATTGTCTTATCACCTTATTTAAATGTTCACGTGCCATGGCATTGATGTATTTGAAGTACTAAGATATATCTAACTTGTTTAGCAAATGCCCAGCAAGCTGCCACTCACAGTGACTTCTGATGCAAGAAAGCACTGCTTAACAGAATTCCATTCTGATTTCTTACCAGGCTCTTTGCAAGGACAATGTCTACAAAGGGCTCGAGTTCTTTGCCAAAGGATATGGAAAAAACAATGAGCCCATCAGGGGATATGTTCTCACTTTCGTGATCGCTATGGCATTCATTTTGATTGGTTTGTATAAAGTAACACAACTGCTATAATACCATGTTCTGAAATTATACAAACTGATATCTTGATACAATTATTAGCTATGGTTAGAAAAATTTCCAGTCAGGTAAGCTCTGACATAAACTCAAGCACACTCAAAGTCCTGGTAGTAGTTCCATTATTCTTAAACCCAACAGGGATTCTTGTGACATCTCAACACCACCACAGCCTCATTTTCAAAGATACATTTTCAATTCCTGTTCACTCTGCTGGCAGTGTTTAGAGCTATATCAAATAAGGCAAAGTCCCAAGCTTTGAAAATGGTTTTTCAGTTTATATTGCACATAGCTCTGAGGTAGTCCTGAGACAATCAGGAAGCCTACTCTGCCCAAACCTTCCCAACAGTCAGGTCCAAAGTAAATCAGTTTGCCAGCACTTGTGGTAGAAAATCCCACCTACCATATTTAGGGGTGTGAGAATCTTTAAATCAGTTTTTCCAAGATTAGAAATTCAAACTGTCTGACACTAAGTAAATAGGATGTCTAGTAGAGATAATTCAGATTTCCATTTAAAAAGCAAAACAATAAGCTTTAACTATAAATATCTTGTGCAAAGCATCTGTCCTTTCAATTATGTATTTAAAATTCTTAACTTTACACCAGATCTACATTGTTAAGAGCCTGTAGAATCACAGTATCAAATATAACCTTGCACAGCACATAATGTTATTAAAATCAGCATTAGCAGACATAATTCATATGAATGTACGTATATCAAAGTGGCCTTCAATTAGTAAGACAGTAAAATACCCAAGCTCTCCCTGGATGACAAATTCAGAAAATGTTCAGATTTAATGCATCATTAGGAAAAAGCCAGCCAACAATCTAGGAACCTGGTGCCTATGTCTGACTTGTGTCTATGTCTTGCAGCTGAACTGAATACCATTGCTCCCATCATTTCCAATTTCTTCCTGGCTTCCTACGCCCTGATTAATTTCTCCTGCTTTCACGCCTCATACGCAAAATCTCCAGGTGAGTCTGCATCCACCAGTGATTTAAATGTGGGCTTTCTGACCTCTGCAAGTTTTTTACTGTATGTCAGAGGAAATTGCAGCACATGTAAAATACCTAGGCTATGTGATCTGATGTTTTACTGCTCTTATTGAATATGAAGACATTTTATTTATCTCCAAAAGATAAAAATAATGGCTCTAGTCCTTACAATCTCTACAGTTGTACAGGATGAAAAATACTTCAGGGGATCCCACTGGAGCAAAAAAAGCTCCTCCTAAGAGTGTTTTCCCCTCACTATCACAAAACATGGGTGGATAAAAGCCTATGCCAACTCTAGCCACATAAAGCAAGGTATAGTGGGGAGTAATCATGTCCTTCTCCTCCAAATCTACAGTGAAGTGTATGGGGAGGTTCATACGAACAGTAATTGCAGTAGAAGTGATCCTGCCTGGAGAGGAACATGTAGAGCAAGAGCAGGTCCCCCAGACAGCACCAGCACATCTCTGCAGTACCTGGAAGCAGAACTGTAAGGTGAAATGCAATGAGATCCTGTTCAGGGGTAACTTGAGATCCTCTCTCTATATTTGTGCAGCAAAGGAACATAGTGGCTTTCAGGCTTACACATTGCCACAGCAGAGTGATTCTCACATCTTCATGAATGAAGGGGTGACACCTTCAGGACTAAAGCCAATCAGCTGAGCAACTCTGGGTTTGGCACATAGGAAAGACAATTTCCTGATGCTGTGAATTAATTATTCAACTCAAGGAGCGAGGAATACATTTTTGATTTCCAGTGTGAAGAAACTGCAATAGCAACACAAATGTCTACATCAGCTTCCTTCCTATAGAGCTGCATAGTGCCATTTGTTCAGAGGGCAGAAAAGATGAGCACTTCTGCTAATTACCTGCACAGCTGAACAAATGCAGATATGCTCCACATGGCCTTGGAGCTGAGTAACAATTACCTCTATAGACTTCATCTGCCTGCATCTGACTCTACCACTACTTAACATTTCAGACAGAACTGCAGCCATTTTTCTTTTCTCATTTCCTCCAGTTAATTTCTGCCAATTCACAGTGATAGATTATAATAATTGCAAGGCTGCAGGACAGCAAATTTCTTCACAGCAGGTCCTTCCCATTCCCTCATTACAAAGATGATCCAAGACAGGATCTTGTGTCTTCTGTGTTTTTTCCCTCTCCAAAGACTGTGCTCCGTAGAACACCTGGCAGAGACCTGCAAACCATGGAGGCTTACTGCTTGCCTCATCATTTAATTGGTAGCAGGGGATGGATTCAGTGCTGCAGCTGAAGAGCAGCAGGAATAATATCTTTTTAAAGTCAATTGCAAATGGTTTTATTTTTCTGCAGTGAGGTCAGGAGATTTCCAATTTCAGACAGGTGCACTTACAGTATTGGGATAAACTCTCCTCTCAGCAAGTGTTCAGCTACCAATAATAAGTTCTGTGTATATGCATCAAAAGGACAGTCACCAATTACCTGGAGTTACAGGAAAATCTGTTTCTGATGTTCTGAAATGTTCTGAACCAGTAAACTTTAATTTGTGAAAAATACCTATAAACAGAATAGCTACTCAAAGCCACGCTGAGCAAAGCAGTAGGAAATAGCAGAAGGCTTGTAAGACCCTATATTCTGTGCATGTTGAAACCTACAGCAGCCAACACTTAAAAGTATCTGTTGATGCAATGCCTGAGAATTTGCACATATCACTCCCACCCCTTCTGACGGAGCCTGAAACAAACTGCACGTGGGTTTGTATACACAAAAAACATGAATCACCATTTCATCCATATATTTTATGCTCTTCCAATTTTCTCAATTGTCTTTAAACAGGTTGGAGACCTGCATTCAGGTATTATAACATGTGGGTGTCACTTTTTGGAGCCCTGCTATGCTGTGGTGTGATGTTTGTCATCAACTGGTGGGCAGCTCTCATCACTTATGCCATTGAGCTCTTTTTATATATTTATGTAACATATAAGAAGCCAGGTAAGGCCAAATCCTGCTATTATTCTGTGTATATGTTATACAGCCAGACTTGATTTTAAAGGAATTCATTCTGCTTACAGAATTAGCAATTACTTTTTCTCTGATATCTTTATTTAGAGGCAAGCCTGAAGCATCCCATTAAATTCCACTTTATATAATATAGATTAAGTTGATAATCTGGTGAATGTTTGCCTATTTAACAAGTACTTCAAGTATGGTTCAGGGCTTTCTGTAAACATTCCAGCAGACTGGTTTATTCCCATCACATCTTTATGACATTTAGGCTTTTACTTGAGTATCACTCATAATTTTTTTTCCACCCACACACAAAACCTTACCTGAATTTTGCAGTGCTGCCAGCTCACTCATCCGGGGTCATCATTCAAAATTTAAACCTGCTGCCCATTATACAACAGCAAAAATGTAATCTGAATTACTCCTGAACTGATCATCCTCCAGCACCTCCTTACAATCCCTCCATAAATCAAAAGAAGATGGGCACACTTTACTGCTGGAAAAAAACTGCTTAGTAGCTCAGCAAATCACAGGAGGTGTCGTCAGAAATCTGTGTGCTAATACAGCCCCAGTATCAGACAAGACAGTCTGGTTATTCATATCCAGGACAAAACTAACCCAGGTCCAGATTTCAGTGCTAACCATCTGAATTACTTCTGCAGTATAAAAAAAATAACAGAAATAAAAGGGACAAGTTTCCCAGGAGAAGATGTGCCTTCACTGCAGCCAGCTGGGGACAGAAACACCTGGTCTGAGACTTATTCTTTTCTGTGTATTGCTGCACTGTTGTGTGTCCTCCCTGTCTGGGTTTTCATACCCATTGGGATGGCCTGTGGTTCTTTCCTGTAAATATATCAGGTGTAGGAGAACACACCTGTCACAAGGCACTTGTCAAAAACATTTACTCGCATGGGGGTTTTTTGCATCACACAAGCAAAACCTATTATTGAGAAGCACAAAGAACAATAGGTCTGTATCTATGAAGTATGAGAGAATATATCCTGCTTTTTTCACAGAGTACCTGATTGCTGACTTTTGCAACAGAATGTAGGGAAAAGCCCATGGTTTAATACGCATTATTTATCTCTATTATATGCAGAAGTAAACTGGGGCTCCTCTACACAGGCTCTTTACTTTGTTAATGCCTTAGACAGTGCTCTGGCATTAACTACAGTGGAAGACCATGTGAAAAACTTCAGGTAAGATTTTCAGTGAACAGTAGAATGGCTTATCCTGGACATGTACATCAGCCAAACATATACAACCTCTTTTCTTCCTAACAGACCTCAGTGCATAACACTAACAGGAGCTCCTATGATCAGACCTGCTCTGCTGGACATCACACACACCTTCACCAAGAACAACGGGCTGTGTATCTGCTGTGAAGTGTTCACGGTAAGGTCAGCTCAGACAGATCTGGAAACTCAGCCCCAGTGGGTGCTGCAGGTCTCCATTACACATTCCACTCTCACTCAGCACACAATGTTCCTGTTGGTGCTGGTCTGTGTCTGTGCAGACCATGACAGAGACTCGCACTGAGAAGGAATTTTGTCATAATTCTTGACATGAAAGCCATCAGCTGATACGGAGCCTGCTGGTAAATGCCTCATTGAGATGCATTTCAGAGTTCATAGCAGATGGACCAAAAAATGGTTTGAAAAAAATAGAATATTACAAGGAAAAATTTTAGGCTTAGAAGACAGAAAAACCCCAAATCACACAACACATAAAATTTGAAGGATTATTGTGCAAAAGTCAAATTACCCAGGCTCCATTTTCGGCTTTGTCACTGATTTGCAGAGTTAGGGTTTGGCAAGTAATTCAGCTCCCTTTGCAGTGGTTCCTCCAAAACTGTTAGAGTGCTAATTCTGAGGATAAACATGCTCTTCTGAGACCTAAAGAGAGGAGAAAAGTAAATGTCTAGTTATAAATACACAGCAAATGATGTATCTTGGAAGATGAAGATCTAGCCTCTCATTAGGACAGAATAAAAATAGATAGGTTTGTAATGTACAGAGAAAACGTATTTTAAATATTACAATGACCTTTTAATTTTGAAAACAAAAAAAACCCCAGCTCATGGCACCAAATGGGGATGCAGAATCTTGATAACAGTGTCATTTCAGGAAAGAGAATGTATTCCTCTACAAGAGTGTAGGAATAATTCATTTGATGCTGCCACATTGCAGAAACGGAGTACAGAAGATCCATATGTGATTCTTCTCAAATCAAATGAATCCATAAAGAGTGACTGGTCCCAGTTCTTCCCTACTATAATTATTGTTAGCTTTCCCATCACATGCAGTAAGTGTAGAATCAATCCCAACAAGATCCTGAAACTATGCAGCTTCCTAAAGCTGTCTCAGCAATGTTCCTGAATTATTAGACATGTTTCTCTATATCAGTACTTTCTAAGGAGAACTGAGATTTCATTCCTGTCCATACAAAAAAACCCTAAGTCTACTGTATTAGTGTAAGCATTGTAATTGTTTTGACGGGAGGAGGTTTAAATTATTTCTTCGGAAACTTAAGTGAAATTTAATTTGCTTGGTAATAAAAATGTGACAAAATGAACCCTTCTGATTTGCAAAACTGTGGTAAAAAATGGATGATAAAATTCCTAGGAACCACATTGAAGAGCAGCCTACAATATATCATAAAATACAGCAAGACTATTCAGCCATAAATATAACACGCAGCATATTTTACCTCAAAAGCTGACATGCTGTTAGCTATGCATGAAGTTTTGAGAAACCATGCCAGAGAGAGCATCTTCCACTCCTTTTTTCCAAAAAGCAGCAAGAAACTTTCCAGGAACATAGTGACAGATAGTTCAGACATAGGCAAAATAAATACGGCAACTGAATATAAAGACAATTTAAAGTTTACTTGTGTCTGAGGTTGTGGCTGCATGTTGGCTTGAACAGTCTGAGTTTCTAGTAAAAAGGGCTATCCTGCTTTTACTCCCTGCCTTCACATACAATATTTTTGCAAGTCTTCAGTCTGCAAATTCACTGGGCTCCTTGTACAATTGTACAAACATTACCACTGGTACAGAGGAGGAGCAGGGGAGGACACACACAGGCTGTCCCCTGATAGAAGGGTGGGACTGGACCCCTGGCCAGCAGAAACATTGTGCAAGCCAGCTGCAAAACCACCTTCAGGTTCTCTCCTTAAAGAGATAGGGAAGAAGGGTAAAACTTGTTTTTCTCCCCCCTTACCCACAAGAAAACTTAAATCTTATTGTTCAAGTTATTATTCCCATCTCTTCAAGCAGCCAAGATCAAATTCTCCTTAAGTTATATCCATGTCTTGTGATTCTAATATGCACATGGATTTTTGTCCCATTAAATTACCAGATGACCAGTGAAACAAACTGGTGTCAAAGGCATTTGCATCTTTAATTGTATTGCACAACTCTTTTCTCTTACTGTTAGTAGATAGGAGCTTAAAAAAGTATATTTAGATCTGCTGAGACTCTTTTACGTAGTCAAGTCAGGGAGGGACTTTATTCACTCTGAGATGCTTTATCATACCTTAGATTTTTTTTAAGATGTTACAATCCATAGTAGTTCTTCTTTCTGTCAGAATCACTATATTTAAGTAGCATTAACAGCCTCAGCCTCTCAAACAGAATGTGAATTATGTTAGCAGCACACTTCTTTTCAAAGGGCTGAATCTCTGTGGACCCTTTTTGGAAATGTATTTTTCTGGCTCTCCCGTTTGCTCACAGGTAACTGCTTCAAAATCACTGTGTGATGTACAACACAAAACTTTAATAATATTTTATTGTATCATGCAGGGCCCACGCAAGCTGTGTGTTAAGGAGATGAACAGTGGCATGGAAAAAAAGCAGGCCTGGCTCACAAAGAACAAAAGAAAAGCCTTTTATGCAGCAGTGGCAGCTGACAGCTTCAGAGATGGAGTCAAAAGTCTTCTTCAAGTAAGCTTTTTGTTTACAAAACACACAGAAGAGTGTTACATCAAAGCATCCCTTTATGTGAAGCATTACTGTTTACTTGTTAAGAAGCCCTGTGTATGTATGGATGGATAATGTTATAGACAGAAGGGGCATTCTGGGGGCAGAATGCAGAAGGGGCATAATATAAATGTATATTATATTACAGATTATTTCATAAAGATCTCGTTCTGGGCTATGGCATTATGAGACAAGGCAGACTGATTCTCTCCTAAATGAACAAGACACTTATGAAAAAAGAGAGGCATCTGCAGGGCAACATATGACTGTCTTTGCAGCTGACACTTGATACACTTCAAATCAATTCTATTGTTTGGTATTATGCAGCATATTAAATATATGAGAATGTTTCTGCATTAAATGAAAACTGAAAATGTGTAATATACATTTTCTGCAAACAGCAAGAAGGCCATTTAAATAAAAGTGCAATATTTTTCTATTACTCTAAGAATACAGCAGATCATTTCCAACAGTCCATTTAAAATGGCTTTAATGAAGGCACAGAGACACTGTTTCCATATTTCCCATCTCCCCCCCTTCATATATATGAATATTTAAACATACAGGTACTGAGGCAAAATGTAGAGAAAATTCACATCTTTTGCACAAAATACACTGCTGAAAAGACATCAGTGCAAACTGAGACAGTAGGGAACCAACTAAAATACTCTGGGTAACAGTCACCCACTGGCAGCCTACCAGGGCTCTTTGTACACTTGCTGAATGGACAGTACAATTGAGCAAGATGAAATGCTATTAATAAAGGTCCCTTTGTTCTATCAAAGCCTCACAAAGACACTTCATCTTGGGTTTATACACTGTCTCAGTAGGAGATCCCTCTGATGTTTTTGAGAACTGTTACAGTCGGATGATCTCTTCCTTTCCATTACTACTATTGCCAAAGTCAACTACTGGACCACAAATAATTGCCTTCCAACAAACAGAAGGAAAACCATATCATCACTATTGTAACCTAAAGTCATGTGCAACGATTATTGATTTCAATGTAAACAGTGCAAACCCACCAAGATTCCAACAGTTTTTACCTCTTTTCTGCTTGCTAGTAGTAAAACTGGGCAAGTGTAACAACTTGATAAGCTGGTATTTTTTGTGTCTCCTCCTGAAGGTTCCCAATACACTGAGTGTTTAGATTTCTACAAAAATTGAGTCAGCTGAATCTAGATCTCACTACTCCTACTTGTCCAGGTTTTAGCATCCAGAACCAGTTCTGGAGGCAATTTAATATCTTGACAAACCATTTCTTCTTCCTGTTTATAAACTATAATTTAACAGTAAATAGTAATGCTTCACATAAAAGGATACTTTGACTTATCTATAAAGCATGCTCACCTGATTTTGGATAATCTTTTGAAAAGAATACAGTAAATGGAACAGCGACAGTTTCCAAATTCAAGGAAAAAAAATATTCTTAGGAGGCTACGCCTTCTCTGTGTCTCTGAGGTGTTTTAAGAGACTTCAGACTCAGTTCATCTATGGAGTATTCCAAAGCTGATAAAAGCTTTATGCTATAATGTTAGAACGAGCATACAAACAGTTCTGAACTCTCTCTTGATTCCAAGTTATTGAACCATTTTAATGAGAGCATGTCAGAAGAAATGCAAATGAATGCTAATTTAGCAAAACTACATTTATGTCGTCTAAAATCATTTACAGTTGGAATGATTTAAAACTAATCTTTCTGATTTCTGCTTGGCTATGAGCATGAAGGGCATTTATGAAATGCAATCTAGTTGTAAGTGTCTCCAGAACATTACTTCAGTTATCTTTTGCCATTACTTTTCATTTACAGTTAAAAGCATGTGTGTGTGTGTACCTTTCTAAGCAGTGTTTTAATATTGTTAGGCCTCGGGCTTGGGTAGAATGAAACCAAATACCTTGGTGATTGGATTTAAGAAGGACTGGAGAAGTGCACCTGCCACACAAATTGAAAACTATGTGGGCATTATACAGTAAGTCAGCTCAGCACCTCCCTTTTCACTCCTCTTAGACTGGATTAACATAGCATTTCCATACAGAATTTGATGTGTAGAAACAATGTAAGTACCTACAAATCTAGGCTCACACATCCTACCTCTGTAACAGAAGTTACTGCCCATTATAAAAGGCTCCTTGGCTTCCCACACCCAGTAGGATCTGCCTGTCAAACATCTGCACTGTTGGAGCTGATGTGGCTTGACAGCACTAAAGGAGCTGCTCTGCCTTCAGCAGGGCTTTTGCAGAGCTGTATTTTCCCATTTTTAGTGGGCAGGAGCTCAGAGAAAAACAACCATCACGTACGTACTTAGGGAATAAGAGAACATCATGGAATTCTTCTTTTAAGCCTAGGAGACAGAGGAAGAGCCTTGCTTCAAATCTCATGTGTGCCTAAGGCTCAGCAGCTCTGTGGGTTGGGATTTCACTGGGAAACAGTCATTTAGAAACAGGCTTCTCATAGATTTCTGCTCAAAACTCACCATAAGCGAGTTACAGAGCAACAAACCCCACCTCAGCTCTGTTATTTCCTCAGAGAAGGGAGAAAAAAATTACCCAATTGCAACCTGGTTCCTAAAAAAGTGTTGTCTGAAAGATCCATTCCAGGAATAGCCTATCTGTTCCCATTTCCACTCATACACTTCTTTTAAATAAGGGAAGAAAATTTATAGTACTTAGCTTAATCTTGGGCGATTCCTTCTGCAATTTTACCTAGCCTGTCCTCCCTGTGAACAGTAACACTTCCTCTGATCTTCTCAAAGTAGCTTTCCTCACTGACGTGCATGACGCAAAAAGCATATTTATTCTTCTTTTTCTTTCTTTCCAGTGATGCCTTTGATTTTGAGCTTGGGGTGATTATTGTCAGAATTAGCCAAGGATTTGATATCTCTCAGGTCCTTCAGGTTCAAGGTAAGACTCCACAGCTGAATATCTGTGCTGGTTACATGCACAGCACAAGAAGTACCCTTAAGAGTCACCACCTGCTTTCTAGGATAGTTCCTACACTCATGACTTCTACAGTTCCTCCTTGCTTCTGCAATTTAAATCCTGCCCAAAATTCTTGCTGATCATTGGCAGTGACAGAAGGAGTTCAAGCCTAACACATTAAGGGGCTCTGCACTCCAGAGAACTCAACTCCCAAAGCAGTTCCAGCACAGGCACAGACTAAAGCAGTAAAAAAATCATGCTGTGCCACAGCAACCTGTCACTCTGCTGCACATTCCCCTCCTGGTCTGACACATCTTCCTCCTTCTGCTTACCTGAGATCTCTGGGACTGGCAGGAATCAGGAAGCTGCACTTTTGGTACCACCTCTGCAGAACTCTGGGGCCCAGAAAGTTCCCACTCATGCAAAAATTTGGAACCCACAGGAAACATCAATTCTTCTTCACCTTTTTGTTCATTCTTCCTTAGGTTAGCAGTGCATATCTCAGGGGAAATGGAAAACCATAGCATAACCTCACGTTGAGTCCTGTGTGCAGTTTTGGGCACCCCAATACAGAAAAAGACATTAAGCTATTCGAAAGCATCCAAAGGAGGGCCGCAAGGATGGTGAAGGGTCTGGAGGGGAAGCTTTATGAGGAGTGGCTGGGGTCATTTAGTTCATTCAGCCTGGAGAAGAGACCTCATTGTGGTCTTCAACATCCTTATGAGGGGAGAATTGGAGGGGCAGACACTGATGTCTTCTCTCTCGTGACCAATGATAGGACCCAAGGGAACAGCCTGAAGCTGAGTTGGGGAAAGTTTAGGCTGGATATCAGGAACAGGTTTTTCATCCAGAGGGTGGCTGGGCACTGGAACAGGCTTCCCAGGGAAGTGGTCCCAGCACTAAGCTTGTCTGAGTTCAAGAAGTGTTTGGACAACATTCTCAGGTACATGCTGTGATCCTTAGGGTGTCCTGCACAGGGCCAGGAGTTTGACTCAATGATCCTCATGTGTCCCTTCCAACTCAGCATATTCTATGATTCTATGAACGACTGGGGAATCCATGCCATCTGGCTGGAAAAGGTAGAGGGACACAGAGCAAGCAGACAGCTGCACCTAAACGAAGGGCTTCCAAAAGCCACATACACAATGGCAGCCTTCGTTTTGCTTTTTCCCCCCTTTAGCACACAGAGGTCTTATTTGTTCCTCAGGTATTCTGGGGAAGGGAACAGCTCCACATAAAATAAAATTCTCTCAAGGTGTTCAGTACGATGATTTCCCCCCCATCTCGTCAGCCTACCCACTCGCTCAGACAGAGCCGGGCTAACCCCGGCCGTCCCTCCCGGCCCCGGCCCCGGCAGACACGGCTCTCTGCTGCCGCCCGCCGCCAGCGCCGCGCACCGCCCCGGCTGATTACAGCCCAAATTAACACCCCAGCAGAGCGGGCAGTCCACAGTGAGGTAACGCTCAAAAGCAAATCACCTCCCCGAATTAAAAGGCGCCAGAGACTCCTTTCAAAAGCAAGGTGGATGAGCGCTCGCTCAGCAGACTGGCAGCTCGATGTGCACGGAGAGCCACGGGGACTTTGGGAAAAATTTGGAAAAAATTCTAAACTAATCGAGATTTCTTCGCCCCCTCATGACACCTGAGAGAGATCTGCCTGTCTCTTTGCTTGATGCAAGTCAGAAACTGAGTGCTCAAAACGTACAGTCATTGGAACACCTGTGAAAATACAGCAAATACCAGCTCTGCGTTCTTACAAAGGAACAAATGTTCTTCAAGGGGTCAGACACAAGGAGTCAGGAATTAATTAGGATTGGGGCGGGGAGAAAAACCCTCAAATATCAAGAAATGTTTTGAAGTAGATACAAAGTCTCTGCAGTGGAAAACAAAGATCATTGTATTCTATTATACTTTATACAGCATTCTGTTCAATGGAGAAACTGAAATTTTAGTTTTGAGTCACCATTAAGTTTGTGACTATCACCGTGTCTGACAATCAGAAGCATATGGCTGTCATGGACTATAAAGTAAAAGAAAGGATATTCTTTCTGCTGGCAACTCAGAGTGTCAGCAGAGTTAATAATGTCCACCTAGTGAGAGTTTATTTTTTTAACACAATTCTTAAATTAACTTTACAGGAACTTTACTTAAGTGAACATTTAGTTCATCTATTACTCAAATAGAAGTTTTCCTTAAGAAAAAAGTTTTCTGCAGGCAAATGCCTGAACCACATTAATTAGTGCCTCATCATACTATATTCCACAATAACATGTGGTACCTTTTTCTCAGCATAAAGCTAATACTGGCAAGATGAAATTGTTCTTTTATATTACTAAATTTACTGGATTGGTTAGCTAAATCTTACATCTTTACAGCAAATGCTTAAAAATTAAAAATATTTCAGCATAGAAACTGATGGCATATTCAGGATCCTTAAATATTTCTGAGAATCTTGAAGTCCAAACCATGTGACTTGTTCATAGAAAAGGGACCCACAGGCTCGAACTCAATATCTGTTCTTTCTCATTATAGGAAAACAGCTTTTCTAGTGTGTTTTCAAATTCTTGGCTAAAGAAAACAACCAAATATCCACTAACGTAACTCAATATCTCATGTAACTATAAAATGTCATAATACTGAATTTGATCTGGAAGAGAAAACCTAACAGCAGCTGAGTAGCACTGTAACACACCCCACTGCTGTAGCCACAGGCACCCTAAGTTAGGGCTTCCACAGGTGAATTCAGCTTCCTCCTCCCTATTAGTTTGCAAAAAAGAAGCATTTTAGCTTTTCCTCCCAGCAGCTTTACATTGTCTACAAAGTACCATAAGAGCAATTACATCAGAACCATTAGTTCAATAAGCGATTTAATTTAAAAAAGAAAGTGATGTGTTACCAGTTCCCTTACCTTTTCCAATATACAGAGGAATTAGAGAAGCTGGAGCAGGAGAGACTGGCACTGGAAGCCACCATTAAAGAAAATGATTTTGAAGAAGGAAAAAGGGGCATCTGTGGATTCTTCAAAAAAGCCAGCACACTCAATATCTCAAAACATGAAACAAAAAAGGGTAAGTTCCAAAATGACAGCTCCTTCCTGACCCTTCAATACACCCTGCTTTCACCAATATACAAACTGGACTTTACTCCAAGCCAAAAGCTCCTGAGCCACACAGAAGCCCCTGGAAAAGGACCTCCCCTGTACAAACATGGTGGCTACAACCCTGTAATGCAGCACAGAGTGACATCCTCTGCCTGTAGGATACACTACCTCGTAAAACACAACCAATTTCCTCCCCTCATTTGCTAGATAAACTTCTCAGCTCAGCTAATGTTCAATTCTATTTGTCAAAAATAGAATATGGTTGGTTGACGAATACAGAACAAGTTGGTTTGGGGATTTTTTGGTTGTTTGGTTTTTTTTTTAATAGGCTGTTTTCAGTTTTTAAATAGAGGCCTTTCTTCCTCCTCTTTAAAGAAAATAGGAACATATTCCCAATATTCAGGGAACAAGCAATCTTACTTTACTTAACACACACACACAAACTTGGTACAGAGCTGAAAAACAGGTAAAAACAGCACAACTGCTCTATATTCTAAGCATAATTTCATAAAAATGCACAAGTGAAGGTGTTAAAAGTACTGGAAGTACATACACAGCATGCTGTCAAATAACTAATTAACACATAACTTAAATGTGTAGGTGATGAAATCAAAATTACATTTCAGATATAGTAAAATGATACAGAAATACAGCCAGAATTTAAGGTCTCATTTCACAACTGCTAGGCTGTAATGGTAATGACCCACCTGAAGCCATGCTTGTACACAGACATGTATTTTCAGAATTTTCACCTGCAGAGACTATTACATCTGGCTGTGCATGCAACTCCCACAGGTATCAGGAAGATCTACAGACTGAAAACATAAAATGTCATTATTCGTTAGTTGGCAGACTTCAGTTCATTTTGCAGGCTTCAGTAAAATATATTTTTATGACAATTCCAACAAGAGTGTGCACCTCTGTTTCAACTACCCTTTTTGATTTAGTTGAGAAAGGCATAAAGGAAATACATATTGCACACTCTGGCTCTCTATATGAGATAGATTATGATAATAAATATCCCTGCCTCTCTCTTTTGCTTTTATATTCATAGTCCCCGGAGTTGTTGCATCTTCCAGCAGAAACGCTAGAACTGCTTTAGAACTATCCTGTGCACACTCCAGAAATACAAGAAAACCAAACAAAGCATTTTCAGAACCTAGCAGATCAGAGTAAAACCTCTGAAGAAGCCTGTCTGCTCCATTTAAAATACTGCTCTGACACCATCTCTTTGAAATCATTGAAAGAGGAGCAGTAATAAAGTCACAGGCTTCAAAAGATGGAATGAGAGAAGACATTGTTAGTGCATAATCAAAACTATAACTTTTGAAGCCAACCAAGCAAACAGAAAGGACCAGAATGTATTTTCAATTAACAAGGACCATCCCAGCCCAGGGAAGCAGCCATATAGGTTTGTGTTTCCTGCCTTCCAGCCTCAGCTTCACCTGTGCTCCCGCTGCACCCTCGTTTCGTCCACCATCGCTGTGCCTTCCAGGGAGCTCTGTGTTTTACAAGACAGCTGAGATTGTAAATCAGGCAAAATAACACATTTACTTCTAAAGTCTATCAGATATTTCCCACTCGCTTTTTAAAGCCCCAGAGAATTTTACATTATGTAAAAAGAGACAGAGAACAAATAATCAGATAACCCTTTTCAAGATGCTATAATCTAGTGACAATATATCCCACAAGCTTCGGTTTCTGTGAGTATTGGCACATTAAAACTCCATAGCATCCACTCTGTAATTTTTTTTCAGATTTAAAGTATAGAAATTATGTCAGAAACAGTTCATTTTCTTGAAGCTTTCTCTCCGTTTGGCTCCCTAAAGCTACTCGTGTCCTCGCTTGTCAGACATCCTTTCACATTTTTTTCCTTTCTCACTGCAGAGAGCACCATTAACACCATGCAGTCAATGCATGTGGGTGAATTCAATCAGAAGCTGCTAGAAGCCAGCACTCAATTTAAAAAGAAGCAAGGAAAAGGTACAATTGACATTTGGTGGCTGTTCGATGATGGAGGTAAGGAATTTGAGTAAGAACCACAGGGAGAGAGATTTCTGTGTTACCAAATATAAAAACAGGCTTGGGAATTCACATGAAACTGTTTTCTTTTAAGATCACATATTCAATTTTATGTCTGGATTAAATGTTTTAAAATTAACTTACATCCAGTGCTGCTGAAGTGAAGGATGGAATTTTTACCACACAATGCACTAATCTGATCTTCCTGTAATTTTGTATGTTCTTCCAGGTCTAACAATCCTAATTCCTTACATTCTAACTATCAGGAAGAAGTGGAAAAATTGTAAATTAAGGATCTTCACTGGAGGAAAAGTCAACAGGATTGAAGAAGAAAAACTAGTGTAAATATAATTTTATTTATCTCACTGTTCAGTGTTTGAATGATGCTGAATATAATGCATACACAGCAGGAAGCTGGGAATTTTCCAGCACAACTGGTTTGTTGTACTGTGGGCAGCAGGAAAAAAAAAAAAGATGTACTTGACAGAAAGGTGTTGAGCTTATGGCATAGCCCTCAAGGCTCTGCAAATGGTCATTACCAAAGGAAACTCACATCCAGCACTTTTTCCCATTAATAGCTCATATTCCCTTCCCTAAGAAGAACAGTCTGCACTTCGTAACGAGAATATAATTACTTTTATGGGATTTACATGAGAGTGTCCAGTTAACAGCAAGTGAAATTGCACATGAAACTCTCATATGCAATACCATAGATAGATAGCTCACATAAATGTGATTAACTGTGGCAAAAAGTAAAGAAGTTAAAGAGCCAGTTAATCAACTTTAAGACCAAGTTGATTTTACTCAGCTTTTTAAAACAAGTCTAGATTTCATAATCATCATTTGCCTTCAAGCAAATGAAAGGTACTAATATTAACTTATTTTTACCATCACTGTATACAGCACCTTTCCTTCCAAAGCACTTTACACACTAGAGGCACAACTATTTCACCACTGGTGGAAGCAGCTCAATTTGGGATGAAAATCAGCAACTGCTTAACAAAGAGCAGTTAAAAACAACATCAGTCAAGTTCAGTTTCAGCCAATTCAGAAGTTAAATTTAGCTGGACTTTTACTAGCATGTAATTCCCCAAATATTAAAACCTCTCCACAGAAGTTGAGACTTTTCTCTTTTTCCTGTTCAAAACAAGGATTGCCCCAAGGGACGTCAAGATTTATAGAAGCAGTATGTTCTTCCTATATATATAAAAAAACAATGAGTAAACTCTCAGGTCATAAACAAATATGTACTTCTACCATGGTTTGCTCCTAGGAACTCTCTGACCTTTTCAAATTCCAAAGCTTACGTACCAAAAAAAAAAAAAAAAAAAAAAAAAAAAAAAAAGGGGAAGGAGGTGTGGGGAAGAACCACAAGATCCCAACTGTGCTTCAAACAAAGGCAAAACTGACCTAAGCAAACCTCTGTAACCTCAGCACAAACACACACAAAGCTATAAACTATTCCTTCTGCCAACCAAGGCTCAAAAGTAAAGTGTTTTCTTTTATGAAAATGTGCAAAACCAACATGTGAGTAGATCACTATAAATTCCTAAATGAAAAAGACTCTTTAAGTATTGTACACTAACTTTCTGGACCAGATTTTCACCAACACATACACTACCAGTGTTGTACACATTCCATGCATAGAATTCTGATAATAACAGAATAACAGAAGCCTTCTGTAAGAATCGGAGGATTCTGCCCTACTGCATTTTGAATAATTTTCCTTTATAACTCAAGCCTTAGGATATACTTAAAGTACCATTTTTTTCCCAAAATGTAAACACCCTGCCCTCTGTCTGCTATTAATTTCCAGTTTTTGTGATTTTCATCGATCATCAGTTAAATGAATTATACTACAGCAATCACATTAATCCAGTTCTGTAATTGCAAATTGAAACACTAAAAGCATTTAAAGTAATTTGTCATATAGTTAAAGATAAGATATCAAATGCAGTTGTCTAACTCATTTATGAGTGTTCTTTGATACAAGGCACTCAGAAGCACAGTGATAAAACATTTCTCTTTTGTTTTCAGGATGGCTTCACTCCTAAGCAAATTCAGAATAAAATTTGCTGATATTAATATCATTTGTGATATCAATATAAAGCCCAACAAAGAGAGGTAAGAAACATTAACAAAATCCATTATTTAGCACTCAGCCTTTATCTGGAGCTTGTTTTTTTTATGTTGAGCATTAAAAACAAAAAACCAAAACACACCACAGAGAACAACACTGTCACTTTATCACAATAATTTTCTAAGTACCAAGAGCAGGAAAAAGAAAAGAACCTTTTAACAATCACAATTCAAAGAGTCAAAACCATAGGCAGCCTTTTTCTTTATGTTGTAATTATAAGAATTTTAATAAAGACTAATTAGACAGCATACTTATGAGCCACTAAATTTAACAGGCATTTTATGATGGCTTTTCATATCTATTTAGCTTGCAATAGACTTCAGTCATAGTTCTGTAAACTTACCATCTATGTCAACTCAACCTTCTGGGTTTTATAATGAATTCATAACATTTTTCTGGCCAAACATACGCATATTTCCTCTTTCCCATGATGACAACATTATAATACTCCCCTATCACTCAAATATAATGAAGGTTCAATTTTTTTTAAAATTAACTTATCTTAGGTAAAGGTTAGGAAGTTGGTAAAACAGTGCTCAAGGAGCTCCACCTCCAACTGTGTCAGCTAAAAAAAAATAATCTTAAAGTCCTTTCTTTCTAAAACATATTTCCATAAAAATCATCTATGTAGACATCTGCTAATGTAGACAAAAGTCTACAGCAGGTTGCTCATGAAATAAATGAATCCTAAACTCAATTCACAGTATTGCTCTTGGTCTTAAAGATCCACTGAAAATGTGCTCACCTTGCTATGCTCTCTTCCATCCCCTCCCTTACTCCACCCAAAGCCCTTCCTCTGAATTCAAGTGCAATCCCAGGTTAGTTTCTCAGTCCTTCTGTGTCCTGTTTTTACACAAACACATAACTTTGCAAAAACAATATTAGATTCACCAGTGTTTCTATGGTTCGTTGGAGATTTTTACTTAAGAAACGAAACTAAAGATTATGAAGATTTTATTACTAGATACCTAAAGTCACCTTTTATTGCCCTCTTGATCTCTGAAGTAATATTTTTTAATTATATAAAGAACTGTGCAGAATACTTCTTTTTTTCCTCCAATACAAAGCAGTGATTTTACATAAGTAAAAGCTAGCAAAGGGAATTCATATCTGGCATTAACATAAAACACACACACACACACACGTGCTGCATCAGCAGTATCTCAACAGAACAAGTGAATATTGTGCCAGACACTTGCTAGACCACCGTATCTCTCTTCCAGCTGGCATCCCACTTATTTCATTAATAATAAGAGGATTATCACTATTTTAAATACTGAAACACTAAATGCTGCATGTCACAGTCTTTAACCCACCTCATGACTTCCTGGCCATAAAGTCCAGCCTGTGCCCAGTCTCCTATTTCACTTCCTAGTGAGGTCTGTCAGCACAAAGTGCTCAGAGAAAGACACACTGACACAAGAGAAACTCCCTCAGGTCTCTGTGGGATTATAAAAAACTTTCAACAATGCAGCAAGCAAGGAAGTTTCTCCAGATGATGACAGTCAAAAGCTTAAAAAAAAAAAATGAAATTCACAGAGAAAGTCTGTGGAGAAGTGGGGAAGTTGGGAAATGAACACAAATCTGAGCCCCCATATAGCAAAAAACCTACAGCATTTCTTTCAGCCCCTCGCCATAGGAAATTTATATCACCTGTTTATCCATTTCATTAAAATGCTCAGTAAAACTGCATCAGTCAAGTGATTGGTCTTGCTAGAGCTAAAACAGTAATAAAACCTTATATTTATTATGAGAACCCATATTCATTGTTAATATTACTAACTAATAGTAATTAGTAACCAGTTTGGAGTTATTGTAGAAGTAATTTTTGTTAGAACCAGGAAAATGCCAAAAATTCTCTGCCAAATGCAGTGTTTAATTATCCTCAAATAACCTTTTAATTATCCTCAAATAACCCAAACATACTGAAGTGGCACAGATATAACTTGGGGCACAATGTAACAAACAATAGTTAAAGATTTTGCAAGTTTTTCAGCTGCAATTATTATCAGCAAGGCCTGTCGTACACAGTGACTGTGAAATAAGTTAGTGAGTTCATACCCTGCAGCAAGGCCTCCTTTGTAATTCCTGTTTCAGCTGGAAATTCTTTGAAGAGATGATTGAACCATATCGTCTCCATGAAAGCTGCAAAGATATAACAACTGCTGAGAAATTAAAGCGAGAGACTCCATGGAAAATTACAGATGCAGAGCTGGAAGCATTCAAGGAGAAGGTAAAGCCTTGCCTACCTTTTTACATATGTACCTTTTCTTACACTCCAGATGTTTGAAGCGATTAGTAAGAAAATGTGAAATACCAGATATGGAATGAGAAACATGACATGTACAAACCTGTATTTGATATTTACAAATTGGATTTATATTGTAAACACTGCAGAGGTGTGTTATGATTGCATTATTCAGCACTCTAAGACCTTGGCAGGTTTACACAGTATTTTCCAGGCTGATGAGAAGCTCTGCCCACATCAGAGCCAGCCAGATGAAAACCCACTGTGAACAAGAAGCCACATAGTGCTGCACTGAGCCTGAGCTAATCGGATCTGCTGAGAGCTTTATTAAATGGCTCCACTGTTTTAGAGCTTGAACCTCTTAAAGACTGCAGTTCCAAAACATTCACCACTTTGGGAAATGCAGGACTGAATCCAGACACCACAACTAACTCTAGAAATTTCTCCAAAGGCAAGATTTAACATGGATTCTTTCCTCGATGGCAGCATGCAGACTAAACCTGTCTACAGCACAGGAGCTCTCCTGCAGTTCGCAGGCACTTAAGGCTGATGTTGGCTGATCCACTGCGTAAATTAGAGTCCAGGCTGCACTTTAATTTACTGGAAAATACCTTTTTAGCAAGGGACTGCCAGGCTTCATCAGGCCAGTACCAAAAGGACACTGCAAACTCTTTCACTCTTAAGGGTGTAACTCACAGAGAATTAATCTAGCAATTGTATTTATGGTTCCTATTGGATTAACCTGAGTGCACTGAGAGTTCAGTTATCTCCACTTTATGACACTAGTAACTTCCTCAGCAGAGCAAGGATTGTGACTCTGAGCTCAGAGCTGCTAGAAGTCACAGCCTGACATACTAACATAATCAGAAATCAATGGTGATTTAAGATAACACACTACACTACCAACTGCAGCAGCTGGGAAGCAGCCTGGCTGCTCACTGTTACCCTTTTCGTGGAGCTGATAACCAGCATAACGTTATGGGAGTCAGCTGTGGGCAGAAAACCTTAGAATTACTCTCAGCTTCAACCATCAAAAATTGAGAGTCAGAGCCCTTAAAACATCTCAGTATAAAAGACAATGGGAATATAATCACAAATATTCTGCACACTTGTGTGCACAACCAGGATACAAGAGAAAGAAAATACATGATTAAGCTTGGTCACTAACTAAAGAACCAGAAAAATACCCCCTTGGTTGAAAAGTCAGCAACATAAAATGCCAAGTTGCTCTATAAAACAAGAACAGCAACAAAAATTTTAGCTTACACACCTGAAAAGACCTGCCCCTTATCTTTAAAAGTAAGGCAGTTCTGGAAATTTCACAGAGGACATTAGAACACATTTAAAATTCAATAGAGAAAAACCTGGCAGCACAGATAAAGGGTGATATTATAGGATGACTCTCATGAGATAACAGCTGGCTAAATTATGAGGATTCTTAGCTATATAACATGTAAAAGAACAGTAAAAATTTCTGTAGAGGAAGAAATGTTAAGGTGTGAACAGAAAAAAATCCAGCTTTTTACTTTCTCCAGGGAAAGAGAAAATAATTTACAAGACCAGTTAAGACACATCTATCTTACACAAACCTGCCCTGGTCTCTTGTTCCCTATGACTCGTGTTAAGTTATAAAAACTTTGAGGGCCTGAGCCTGGCCTGATAAAGGCTCAATATCAAAGTAACAATCATTTACACACTGTGTCAGTACAAAAATAACCCCTATCCCCAGGAAACCTTACACAAGGGTGAACAACTCTGGCCTCAACATAACTACACTAATCAAGAAGCATGGCTTGGCCTCATGTTTTGCCATCTCCCTGAGTCTGGACCACAGAGCATACCACAGGTCCAATACTGCCAAAGCAACAGCAGAAAATCTTCCTGCAAGGGCCAGTGTAGAAGTCCACGAGGCACCAGAACTGAGGATCACTGACTTCACTGATCTTTTTCTTCTCCCCTGTTTCAATCAGAGTTACCGCCAGGTCCGTCTGAATGAACTCTTACAAGAGCATTCCAGAGCAGCCAACATCATTGTCCTGTGAGTGCCAAGATTTTGGTTCTAACTTTGAGAATAGTGTGTAAAGGGATTCTGGACTGGAGCAACAGAAACCCTTGAGTTATTTCATTGAGCACAAAACCAATTTTCAAGTACCTTCTGAAGGACTTGCATCTGGACTGATAATTCTCTGGGACTACACTGAATATGAATCTTTCCTGGTCGCTTAAAAGAAATCCCTACTCATGAAAAACCTGTCAAAAATTTAATCTTCACATCCAATCTGCATGTTGAGTGTTACATCTGCTTGCTTGCCTGCAGAAAATACACATTTTTCCTTTCTTTTCTCCCAACTATTACAAACTCAAAGTTAGAAAAAGGATTCTTTTGGTTTGCATGTAAAAAATAGGGTTGTTAGCCAAGATCTACTTGAAACTTGAGTTAGGATGATGCAATTATATAAAGGAAAAGAGGCCACCAATAAAATTACCAAAAAAGCAAGCCATTTCCAGAATGAATTTTTAGTTAGAGCCACATTTTTTATAAATTAGCTTGCATCTGTGATGTGCAGATAAACCTCTTCAGCTCTATTAATTTAGTCTCCAAAAAGAGGGTGATCACGTTACCATAAACTGACCCACACTTTAAAATGCCCATCTCACAGTAATTACAGATCAGAAAATAGGCTGATGGACTGCAAAACTGTTCATGCACTGTATTTATCCTTTAAAAAAAAAGGATATCATGTGTAGGCTTTACGACACTGAAAATATTCTTTACCAGTTTAAGGTTACAATCACAAACAGTTCGTGTCCAGTACAACCAGGTGAGCAAGAGTTTGCAAATTAAGGCCTGATGGTAGTTTTGTGCTTGATGATATTAAAACAATCATGTGGTCTTATTATATCAGAGTTGTAAATGAACAGTTAAGTTTTCTACTTAATATTGAGTGAGAAGCATTTTACCTGAGCTACCCCTGCCTTCATAATGATAACTTTATTTTTCCCTCTGCCTAAACAGGAGCCTCCCTGTGGCAAGAAAAGGAGCAGTGTCTGATTACCTGTATTTGGCTTGGCTAGAAATTCTCTCCAAGAACCTTCCTCCAGTCCTAATGGTCAGAGGCAACCACAAAAATGTACTGACTTTCTATTCTTAGGAAAACGTCAGAGCCTAGAATATGCCTTGCTTGATTTCAACATCCACATTTCTAACGGCAGGGATGCATTAAAGACACATTTACCTAATACAAATCTAAAAGGTAAATAATTGACAGAAAATTTTTCAAAAATCCAAAGCAACACAGCAAAGAATTAGACAAAAAATGTAAATGGTCCCTGCTGGTTTTACACTCCAGTACAGGCAAAAGAAGGAAAGTCTACCTATATATTATATGAGTTGGCAAATATTTGAATACACAAAGAAGAAATTCCTCTGATTTTATAGTGTTGAAAATTATTTGATATTAATCCTAGAAAGCCAAAATTAACTTCTACAATACAAAATGCATTAAATCTATAAATAAATACTTCTTTTGAATTGCACTATCATAGTTGCTAATAGGCACAAAATAGGATTAAAATGAAATGCACCAACTTGTGAGAGAGAATAAAACCTGTGTGGCATCCATCAGGGCAAAGCCATAAACTAACAGAATGCAAGGAGAATACTTGCAATGCTGTTTGATTGTAATATTGCCAAATTAAGACCTATTTCTACAGCAGATGCTTTTACTTAAATTTTTCTGCTAATTTATATTAACTGTAACACTTCTAATTAACTGACAAACAAAAACCTCACCTTTATAAAAATATGGACTCTACATGACAAGACTTGATATTGAATTTTCAGGCTCTGACATGGAATACAATTTATGATTGCAATAATCAAATGTGGTAGGTAAATTTCACAAAGAAATTAGTAAAATCATAAATATTCTAACAATATTTGCTAGGAAAGTTAGGGTTAATACAATCTGACATCATACTTTGGGATAACATGTACAGTGATTTATGTGATTAGAAAATAACAAAAACCCATTAACTGAGTTGAATGCCTTATTTTTTGATTTATATAAAAGATTTATCTTATTTTTGACTTTCTAAATAATATTCATTATACACTAACTTAAAATAAAGGAAATCCATTAAGTTGTGTAATTTTTCTATTTTCTATTCTGCAACATTATGGTACTTTATAATTTCAGCTGCCAAGAAAAGCAGATTCTCTTTTTAATGGGGAAACCTATATTCTCTATGTAAGCATTATTTAAATTAAAGACCACCAAGGAACATGGTTAATTTATTTTCTGTAGTTCTGCAAATCCTTGACAGAGATTAACTGACATCTAAACCTCATGAAAGCCAGAGAACCCTGAATTTCACTAAATGTATATTTTAAAGCAGCCTCAGCTTCCATCTTGCTTGAATTATTAGAATTTAACTTGGGGGAAGATCTAGCACTGCATCTCCAAAAATGACAAATATTTGATATTCATATTTTTCTGAGTTCAACAGCAGCAATTCAGCAGAACATGGTAATGTAGCCCAGTAATCCATGCTTTATTTTCTCCATCTATTAAAGGCAGGATATGAAATACTGATATTTTCTCATAATGTTCTTCCTTCGCTCCTTCTTACACATTTACAACCAAGTTGAAGGATCATTTTGCAGTTTAAGTGCATTACACAGATATATGAGTTTCCTCCAAACACCAGACTTCCTGCACAGCTCTGAGCAAACCAAAGCTCTCATTCTGCACCTGCAAAAAAGGAGATTATTCTCATCCCTCACAGTGACGTTGGCAGTGATACTGCAGCTTCTTACATGCTCTCAGGTCCTTCCAGCTTTGTAGAACTGCAATGGCCACCATCCTTTTCATCTCACTTCAGACACCACACAGGTGTAATCTGCATGTGGCACCCAGGCAATGCAAAGAAAAGAACTTTTAGGGAGGCTCCACTTAGGCCTTTTGTGTGTTTCTTACCACGGTCCATTAAAGGACCTGGAGGAATTATACACCTCTATTAAGCCATTTAATTATGTACATGAGAGGGGATTGTTTCCTAAGTATTCCCAAGTACTGTCATTCTCAATCTACAGGGAACATTGACCTAAACTGTTTTGGGGGACCTAAGCAGATCCAAAAAGAGAATGAGCACAAAATAAACCAGCAATGGCACTTTCAATACTATTCATACTTTTCTCTCACAAACACAGTGATGTGGGGATTGCAACAATAAACCCCAAGAGGTACTTTTCTAAGTGAACAGTCATCAAAAACTAAGTACTAACATAAACATTCCTCTAAAATTCCTTGCTTGAACTACAGTGATTAATTACAAGATGTATCCACACAACAGTGTTATGGGATTTATAATGAGTAGCACAAACTGTGAATGCAACAGTTCTTAACTACCTGAAAGTATTATTTCCACAAATTCACAAGTAATTTAAACACAGCAGCATTTCTTATTCCTCACTATAATTCCTGAAGTGTGTGCATGACCAATTTGGAGAGCACGCTAATTATGGACTATCTTAAATTGCAACTTTGATTGCAAAATTTTGTTAGTCCACCTACCTCATTTCTCACTCTGTAAGCAACACTTCTATATAAATTACGCATAAAACAAGTGCTGAATTTTAATCATCATGTTAGTAACTAAATTCTAATTACACATTTGACATCTCTAGAAAACATACAGCTCTAATACTGTCTAGTACATTTTGAGCTTATATCACACTACTAGCTCTGTAGGTTTATATAATTTAGGGTTGATTTGATCAGCCACAACAAAAGCAAGCATAGATAAGGTGACCAGGGACATTAAAGTGTGAAAATACTGTTGCTATGAAGCAAGAACAAAGAATATTTTTAATTTTCTTCAAAAGTCCAGGCATCCTGCACAGTTAAGGGCCTGTTAAAGTGATCCACTATTGTCTCTCTCATCAGTGAATCTTACCTTTCCCTCCTAATGTCAGTGGAGCTCTGACAGGTATCACAGAAGGCATTTCATCACAGTTCAGAGACTATGCTTTCCTTATATCTTTTTACAACCACTGGTAAACTGTTCAGCTTGATCACATAACCCCTAGAGCATAGTCCAGATTATGCTGTCCAGAATATCATTCTTCCAATGTGCCTTTCACTAGATTTTTCAGTCCCCAACAGAGATTACTTTTGTGGGGGTGTTTATTTAATTTTAAATCAGCTACTCAACAGTGCAAGCAGAAAAGTTTTCTAACCAAAAAGGCACTCCACTGTGAAGATAAACTGCAGCTATGCAAGTCACACTGCAAAGAACATGCTGCTATCACACTTCACACACAAAGGAGTTCCCACTTAATCATCATAATCACAAGGTACAAAGCTCCAGCCACATGCACAGTAATTTTCACCAGCCTTAAACCTCTGCAATTTTCATTACATCTTTGAAGAGTCCTATCAAAAGCCTTCCTGGATAGACAAAATATAACAGGCTGCCCTTAATTCTCAGAAAACCTGGACATTCATCATCTTTTCCCTCTTCTTCTATGATTCCATGTGGTATTTCAAGATCCTCACGGCAAAAGCAGTTTCAGCAACTGATGAGCAGTTTACAAGCAGGAGATATGGCAACAGGTAACAAGAACTAGCACTGAAGTTGTAGACGAGGGCAAACAGCTGCAGAGTTTTAGCTGTAACTGACTGATTTAACTCCCCTCACCTGTTTGTCACCTCCCCTCAGGTAGAGGTCCCTGACTTATCAGCAAAGCTGGGAGAACAGAATTTGAGTGACCCTCAGCCTTTTCCGCTTGAAGTTCAGGGGTCTCCCTCAGGCTTCTGCTTCTGGTTGTTTGGCTGCCACTGGACTACAATGAAGTGAGTGTGGATCACTCCACACTCTTGCTACCTCTTGCTCTCACTCCCTTGCTACCTCTTTGCAACTTCTGGCAGAAGGTCAGTGAACCCTTGAAGTGCTGCAGCTCTTTGCTAAATGAGTTATAGATGAGGAAGTCAAGGTTTTGTCACAGTGTGCCTCAGCAGACATCAGGCCACCGTTTTAGACACGTGTTGATGCTGGTGCCTGGCTGACCCAGCCCCCTGGCAGCTGTGTGACCCACCATGACTGTGTGGCCAGTGCTGCTGAGGGAACATCTCACACCAGCCTTGACTCTGCAAAGCAAAATGGAAACAACAGATACAGGGAGCTGTAGTTCACATTCTCCACAAATAACAAGAGCAACAGCCCACAGTCATGCCGCTGCTGGAATTTCATCAGAGGAAATTCAGTTTCAAACAAAATAAAACGCCAAGGTTGTCTGGAATGCAGTAAAAAGCAATGGCAAAATTCCACAGCCCCCACACTGTACAGCAAAACACACAATCAAAAATAGAGCTTCATTGTAAACACTCATCATAACAGCCTTTAAAATTACAGACCTTAATCACTGTGAGAGAGACAGCTGTTCTAAGTGAGAGTGGGCTGGGAAACACCTCACTTAAAGCAATAGTTTTCTCCTAATAAAAATACTCATTTTAACACCAAAACTTCATCGGAGAGAATTTTTTTTATTAGCTCCGAAAGAAGCTCTGTGTTTCTTTCTGTGGACAACAAAGCAGCCTCCACTCCTGCTCTCAATCGAGATAAAAAGGTAAATAATTCCAGTTTATTTCAGCTTTATCTTCCAAAGTCAGGAAGAAATGCCCAACGCAGAGCAGGACTAATCAGCAACCAAGAATGCACGAAGGTTGGCCAACTGACTATCTACAGAGCAAGCAACACGCTCCCAGGACCAAGGCAAACTTGCCCAGACTCCAAGCATTGTTTTTTTGTTGTTTTTTTTTTTTCTTGTAAAGACGTGGGGCAAAAAAGTGTCACTCAGTCGAGACCTTTCTCCTTAATAATATTTTTGGATGAGTCCTCCTATCTATTATTCATGGACTTCCAGGCTACCTTAAGCACAGTTTAGAACCCAGTCTGCCTCATCAAGCCTGGCCATTCATAAAATTTTTCTACACTATAATGCAGGATGTGGTTGTAACTTCTATAAAGTTCTGCTTACATTAAAAAAAAATTCATGATTAGATATTCACTTGATACAATTCAATTCTTATAAACTTCAATTTGCGGATGGCTTACATCAGAAGCCATATTTTAAGTAGTGTTTTCACACAGATCTGTGATACATATGCATTCTCATTCAAACACCTCATATTATTTAGACTGAAAATACTGAACAGAAATAAACGGAAGCACAAACTGGGACATGGTTCAAAATATTTTTTTGTAACTGAACTGCATAGCAAAGGTTTCACTGCCATCTGGCTGCACTTAAAAAATGTAACATAGCAAGGAGACAATCACATACACTTAGATCTCAATTTTTTTTAAAAAAACCCGCAAATAAAAGTTGACAAAATTTAGACCAGCAAAGAGAACTCCAACACTCTGCAGCTATTTTGCAGAGAGACAAATACCTCCACCACACTTGTCAGGGACAGCTGAAACTATGAATCCAGTGGATAAGAGTCTTAGCCCACAGCACACAGAGCTATGGGGGAATTTAGGGAATTCCCTACTCCTATATAATATATATATATATCCTACAGATATAGATATAAACGTAGGAAAAATAGAAGGGTAAAGTACAACATAGATGGGATAGCAAAAGAGGGCAGTGAGTAGGAAAATCAAAGACCGTGAAATCACGAGTCTTCTGCAACGACAAAAGAACAAGAACAAGAATAGAAAAGGACGGGCCGAGCATTGATAGGTTTTCCTATCTACAACACCGACAAGGGTTCTTTCCCTTTCATAAGGTAAACGCTTCTCTCGTGGCCTGACCATTCCTGAAGGAGGAGCCTCCTTCTCCCTCTATCCTGTGCAACCTGCTCTAAGTGACTCTGCTTTAAGAGTAGGATTAGACTGGATGATCTCGAGATGCCCCTTCCAGGCCCGACCGCCCCGTGGCCCAGGCGCTGTGTCCCCGCCGCGGGGTTGGGTACCGGGAGCGGCCCCGCCGCCCCTCCGAGGGCGCAGCCCGGCCCGGCCCCGCCCGCCCGTGCAGCCGCAATCGCGTCCCCCGGCAACGCCGCGCGCGCCGCGGGGTCCGCCCGCCCGCCCCGCGGCACCGCCAGCGCCGCGCCCGCCCAGCGCCGCGGGCCGGGCCGCCGCCAGAGGGGCTGCGCTGGCAGGTACAGCCCGGCCGAGGGGAGAACGGGGCGCCGCTGCCTCCGCCCGCGCCCCACGCGGGGTGCGGACCGCGGCGGACAGCGCCGGGCGGGCGGGCGGCGCTCCACACACGGCGGCGGCGCGATGCTGTGCCGGCACCTTCGGCTGCTCCTGCAGCCCCGCGGGCACTGTAAGGGGGGCGGGGGGGAGCACACGCTGCCCGACCCTGGCGGGGATTGCGGGGAGCACACGCTGCACAGCCCACGGCCCTGGGGAGGCGGGGGGGAGCGCACCCTGCCCCGCTGAGCGCCCGCCGCGGCCCGGGCTGACAGACGAGCCCGCCTGGCGCGCGGGAGGGACCCTCCGCGCGAGCGCGGGGCGCGTGGCAGGACCTGGACGAGACCATTATCACAGGGAGGGGGTGGGGTGTGGCGGAGGTGCGCCGCGCACAGAAAAGCTACGGACGGGCCGGTTTTCCCCCTGTCCCCGCCCGCAGTGGGCCGTGCCGCGTTTTGGCGGGCTCTGTCAGTCCCCTCACGGCGTCTCCCCGTCCCCCAGCCATGCCCGCCTCCGAGGCCGTGCCGCAGCCGTCCCCCAGCAAGAGGCAGAAGGGCTCGGGTCCCGGCGAGCACAGCACACGGCTCCGCTTCACCAAGCTGTCCGAGAACGCCTTCGCCCCCTCCAGGGGCTCCGCGCGGGCTGCGGGCTACGATCTGTACAGGTGAGGGTGAGGGGGCCGCACCCGGGGGTGGCGATGCCGCCCCACTCGGCGAGCCCTGGGCGCGGGGCTCCGGCGGCTGAGGGGCTGTCGTGACCGCTTGCTGAGGGGGTCTCGCGGGCCCTGCGGGAGAGGAGGTCAGAGGTCAGAGCTGCCCTGGTAGTTATCTCCCTTGCTCCTCCATCCTTGGCCCTTCATCCCCAGGTATCTGTGGTCCAGCCGTGCTGCATCACTGATTTCATTAGAGGGCGATGCAGTCGTTGGCCAAAAGCCAGGCCTGACACATCATCCAGAATTGCTGTTGGTGCCAGCATTGGTCGGGTGCCTCACTAGTGAAACAAAAAGAAGTGGTAGTGCACGTGGGCCCTCCTTGCCAGCGCTTGTGCTTTTCTGCTTTCCTCTTGGCTGCTGGGTGCGGCAGAGGAAGTTGTGGCAGTTTGATAATGATCTTAGCTGGAAACCCACGTGGGTTAATGTACAGACTTAGGTTTGGGTGAATTTATAACCATTGTTCAAAGGTTTTCGCTATGTTCAGGAATAGTTGCAGCTTGTGGTTGTTTACACAGTGCTTCTGGGATCCAGTACAGTCACTAGTTACATCTGAACTTCACTGTGTCCTCTTCTACCTTTTTTACTATTACTTAAAATAATCAGCCTATGTTTTTTTTCCTTCACCTCTCTGACTTCCTTCCTGAAGATTTGCCTCAGCGCCCTTTTTCTTTGTATTCCTTTTGTCCTACCGTGGTGCACTGTAGACCTGGAAAAAGTCTTGTTTTTTAAAAAAACCTTTCAGTGCTTCCAGTGTTTAAAAATCAGTTCCTTGTCAAGGTCAAGATATAACAAGTGTTGTCACCACTGCCTTTCATTAAGCCTCCAGTTGGGTATTATCAGCAAGTTCTTAAAATGTCTGTAGTTCCAAGGAGAATCTTGTGACTCGTTAACTGTCAGTTTGCTCAGGAACATTGTTGCCTAAAATTTAACTTAATAAATAATTAATTTTAATTACAGTTAGTTCATCTGCAGTAGAAGGCTTAATCAGAGAGTGTGTTATCCCTTAAGTTTGCTTTTGCACAAAAAAATGCACAACCATGTTCACCCAATGGTTACTTTAAAGTTAAACTTGTACTTTCTGTCTGTCTTACCAGTTAAAAAACATTTTAAATTGTCAGTTGTAAGACTGTGCTGTTCAAATGACACTTCCGACATCTTAAACTAGCACTATCAAAATCAGAACATCTTGTATCTTAGGATCTGCATTAGATTTTGCAAATCTGTAAATATTTTTCTGTAAGTTCCATTTTATAAATTCCCAACCAGAATAATTCTGGTAATTTTTTACCTTAAGTTACAGAGAAGAAAATTTAAAATATATTCTCTATAAAACTAGTGTTTCTTTCTTTTCTGTAGTGCCTATGACTGTGTGATACCACCCATGGAAAAGGCAGTAGTGAAAACAGACATTCAAATAGCACTTCCTTCTGGGTGCTATGGCCGAGTAGGTAAGTAAAGAAGCTATAAAAAGGCTGCAGAGTCATTCTAGAACAGGTTTGACACCATCATCAGCTTTCAGAATTAGTCTACACAAAAAAGATGCCACGTGGCTGTGTGATTTATTAAGCCTTGTAGCAGACATTTCTTGTCAAATACATTTGAAGTTTGGTGTCAAGTGACAAAAAGATGATTAGCAAAAATGGTCATAATCTACATACAACTTCAGAGGCTCTGCAATAGCTCATTCTTTCTTTGTGGTTTCAGAATTTGAATTTGAATTAAACAAAGACCAATACGTAATGAACATACAACAAATACATCCCAGGATGTTTAAAAACTAACCCCAAAGTAAGAATACTAGTGAAGTAGAATTTGACTACTTTTTGTGACAGAATACTTGGGAGAACTTTACGAGATATTCTGTTTATTTTGTGCATTCTTTTTATGAATTATCTATGAATTCATAAAGTAAAAAAGCAATAGCCACTCCAGTGGAAGAGCATGATCAGTTTGCCATGTCCTTTTATTTAAAAGGAATATATGTGTGCATTTCTCTTATCCCAAAGAAAATTTTGAAGAGTGTCATCAAAGTAGTCTAAGGGAAGTAAAACCCCAAACCCCTGCACATAATTTATCTGTTTAAAATACTGCTTAGTAAATTGCTTGCCAAATATTGTTTTCCATCAAACTTAAATGGATTGGCCTCATTGTCTTTTGAGATTATGCCAAACCAGTGGTAGTCACCAAAAATAAACCAAGATTGGACAGTCTTTGTCTGTTCCTGTTGCCTTCCTTGGAGAAACCTACTCTGCAATTGTTGGTCTAAACAAAGATATGCTTTATCACTTAAAAACTGCAATTTTATTGTAGCCAGTAGCAGCTTTTATTTTGTTTAATATATATATATATATAAACTAACAATAATTCCTGTAAAATCATGTTTGTTTTAGACTGTGGAAGCAGTTCTTGTTGCCACAACTATGCAAACAGACTATATAACCTATAAATATTGTCTTTTAAAAGAAATAAATTATTACACTTACAAAAAAATTCTTCCTTTCTAGCACCACGTTCTGGTTTAGCTGCAAAGCACTTCATAGATGTTGGTGGTAAGACTTTTGTTATTTTTATTAAGACTTTGTAAATACGGATCACAGAAGTTCCTTAATTTCCCATTGTACTGTGTGTAAATAAATAGTGGGTAGTCTGGCAAAAGGAGATGACTGGGTAACACCTCAGAGAGCCAGTGCATCATAATTATTTTTAAACCTGCTGAATTATAAAGTTATTACTGATTTTTTAAAACAGTAACCGTATCATGCTTTTGTAGGCAGTGCCTGCTATGGAAGTTATTTTTTGCTTTAAGGTGTTAAAGATGACTTTTTATATTCTGCTTTCTCCATTTTGACTGAACATCTCTGTGTGATTCTTTTCAGTCTAGTGTAAGATCTGACTGAATTAAATAAGTAACATACAAATAGTCTTTTACACAGAGAATGTAGGGCAATGATATTGGAAAGGGATGATAGAAAGCACTGGAATAATGTTTTTGCTTCTGGAAAACGTGCATGCACAGCACCCCCTATGTTTTGTTCACTGTTACTTTTGACAGTGTTCTGCAATTGGGATCCCTTTAAACAATTGTGTATCAGTTAAATACCAGCAAGTTAACTTGGGAACTAGTGCAGAGACTGTACAGCAACTATGGATCATATGTACTTCAGTTTTTTCACACAGCTGAAGAAACTAATTAAAAAACCAGTTTGCTATTCTTAGGTGTGCATCTTGTGGTTCAACATTAAAGCTTCAAGGTATAATACAATTCCCTCTGGTGTTTATAATCTCTAAGGGTTGCACTTTCTATAAATCTGGAATTGTCTTGGAATGGCATGTGATTTAATATTTGAATTTTTTATATAAGTAGACTTCAAAATACATACTCAGGTCCACAGGGAGGCCCAAACTCCAGATTTTCTACTGGAAATGTTGTATCAGAGATAAAACCTCCAAAGAAGCAGAATATAATTATATTAATGTGCATTGGTAGATAATCTTCTGAACTATGTAGTTAATACAGTTATACAAAATATAAGAGCAAGCCAGTTTTCAGTCTTGATACTTAAATATAGCAGAATGACAATCAGTTTCTTAAAGCTCCAGTTCTGTTAAGCTGCCAGAGGTACAAGATTTGGATCTGTGCAAATCCATAGCTCTCAGAGGAAATGTTAAAGTTAACAACAGATTTTTGCTTGACACTCAAAGAGCTGAAGTTAGCAGAACAAATGGAGCCTGAAGTTGGTCCAGCTGTCTTGATTTCAGATGGGGTATTACAACTAAAAGTAGTAGTACAGTGGTAAAACACTTCCTGACGTGTGATGGTGGTTTTCAGTTCTTTTTGCAAGACTGATTAGCATTTTTAGAGTTTCGGTATTTGCATATATATTGTTTGATTGTGCATGAGTAGTATAAAGGATGTCAGTATGAGATGCTGTGGTGATTTATAAATCTAAACATTATCTAATCTAGCGATCTAATATACTGACATTTATTAACTGGAATATCCCTCTAAATTCTTTCTCCTGACAGCTGGGGTTATTGATGAGGATTACAGGGGAAATGTTGGTGTAGTACTCTTCAACTTTGGCAAGGAGACTTTTGAAGGTAATTGCTGAGCTTGGCAGAGCCTGTTTTCAGCCATCTGACTGGGAATGAGAAACTAACTTTTTCTTTAAAAGTTTATGCAGAGTCAGAATGAGCTAAGAACATTTTTCTTCTTTCAGTTAACAAAAACATGGATACTTAATAATGTCATGTCAAGGGAATACAAAAAGATTCCACTCATAGCAAATTGAGCAGCATGCAAAAAAACCTACCCCCAAAAACACCCCACCACCACAAAACCAAACCAATAAACCCCTACTTAGCTAAGCTTTAGAGTCACAATCTGTACTGAAGTGCAGATTGTATTAAGCTTCATCAGTTTTAAGCCTCAGTGCCCAGTTAAAATATTGCCAGTGCAGCCTCTTCTGCATCTTCACAGCACAGGCTTCTTAGGGAAGTTCAGTGAACCAGCTTGGGTACTAGTGAGAAATCCTGTTTTCCTTTTATCAGTTCAGTTTTTCCCCCCCAGATTCCTGGGCCTAGTTCACAAAAGGAACCACATTATACATACAGCTGTCTCTCCATCTCTGCACTGCTTATGCTTAAATGACACTTAAGATGCCAGAGGATGGCAGCAGGAATGAATGGAAGTGCCTTGAGCTGATCCAGCTGCTGATACTTCACCTTAAAAGGGCTAAGCACAAGTTTATCTTTACCTGTATTTTTCTGGGGCTGTCAACATCTGCTTAACTAAGTTTCAAATAAGTGCTTTCACTTTTATTACATTCTGATACTCTTTGAAAGGAGATTATCTAAACTCTGTATTGATTATTCACTGTTTTTGAAGGAACTAATAATATTTTAACTTCATTGCAGTTAAAAAAGGGGATAGAATTGCCCAGCTCATCTGTGAACGCATTTATTATCCTGAGCTAGAAGAAGTTGAAGTAAGTTGCCAAAAGAAAATATTTCTTGTATTTTCCATGATTAATAGTTTAAGGTATTTGTATATAAGATGAAATTTATGATGTAGATAAATACTTTGCTAAAATTACTTTCAGTGTTAAAACTGCATAGCAGCAGTGCTACCTAAATGAAAGTCTTGGTTCTTTGCTCACCTCCAGGTGGATTTTTTTTTGGTGTGTAGTTTTCAGAGTTAACAGGTACTTGAGAAATACTTCAGTCTGTACTAGAAATGGTCGTCTCACAATGTGGCATTTGTTTAAACTTGTGCAAAAAGTATTCCAAAGTGTCTCATAAAAAGTTTTTTGTTTCTCAGTTATAGCTCTTGTTAAATGTAAATGTACCTTTCTCCATGGTAGAGAATATCTATTGTATAGAAACAAAAAGCAGGTAAAGGCACTAAACCAGCTTATCCTAATTGATGTCTTTCAGGCTCTGGATGATACAGAACGTGGTGAAGGTGGCTTTGGTTCTACTGGGAAGAACTGAAAATTACTTGAATATGTTTTATATATTTTTTTTGTTACACTGTTTCTAAATTTTCATTTGAATTAGAAGTGGGATTTTAGGACTGCATAAGAACATTTCCAGTTTTATTCCAGCTTCTCTGTATCCTCCTGTCTATTTTTACAGGCAGTGAATTTGCATAATGGGGAAATGTGCACGACTGTCTTGGCTGATCAGTTGATGTTTGGTCCTCAACAATAAGAATGTGTTGTTTATGTGTTGATTATGCTCTAATAAATTAAAAAATAACTTTGACTTGGCAGTGCTGAAACAGTAAGTACATCCATCTTTGTCTGGGGTAAAGTCTTTCCCTCCCATGTGCATGATAAGCTTATTGGTTTTGTTGTTGTTGTTCCCTACCCCTCATCACAACACTGTGCTTGCATTTGTATACCCAGACCTTCCTGAGCAGGCTCACCAGGCCAAAGCAAGGAGCACATCACACCAGTGCACCTTCAAATGAATTGGAAAAGCTGAGCTTGACACTAAGTTTCTTGCATTCTGTAACCTGCCAAAAAGGAACTTTAATTACCAAAGGCTATTTGTAGGTCTTAGAATAACTATGATTCCTTTATGTAAAGCTGTTTCCTCCTGTAAGTCAAAGAGCAAGTTTTGCTGCTCTTTTTTATTCCCACCTCCCAAAGCAAAAACCCAGTGGGGGATACACTGAGGCAAGTCCTTTTTAGAAGATCCTCCAAGATGATCTTGCTTGGAACAGCAACCTATGAGGAAGAAGTTGAAGTTCTGTTGATACTCATTATTTGTTGTGTCGGAAACCGATCCAGTTTCCATTTTTGAAAATAATACTAATACTGCAGAATCTGAGATAAGAAGGAATACTCATTGCTAGAAAAAGCAGCTCTTGAGATAGTAGCTCAGAAACATGACAAAGAAATATACCCATGCCTGCTGTAAGTTGTCAACATAAAAACCAATATCTGTGGTATAGTGGAGTTCCTTTCCACTGTTTCTCAATACTTATCTAGAGAAGCATATAATGAGTTTTAGATTCCTAGAGGGCCCCCAGTAGGACCTTGGAAAGTGTCTCTCAAATAAGAAATGGTTTCAAGCTCACCTCTATACTGACTCCTCCCTGTGCACCAAACCATTGCATCAGGGTAACAAATCTGATAATTCCTGTTTGAGTGTTGGGGGTTTTGTGTTCTATAGAACACAAATCTCACCAGGCAACAGGAGTTACCAATGCAGTAAAAGTTCTTAAGTTGCTACTGCTACTGCAGACCAAGGCCTTCACTGACACCTGTAGAAACTGTCCTGGTAGTGAGGAGAGAATTCTTACAACAGCATTTGCTACGTTCTGGTTCAAACCAAGCTCTACATCTCTTCACCCTTTTTTTATTTAATGTCCCACAATTTCATTAGTACGAAAAGCAATATCCTCCAAATTATTTATTTTAATGTTCCCTTTTTCCTGTATTATCTTGGTATCTGGCAAACATACACAGGAGGCACAGAACAGTACCTGTCACAGAAGGTAGTTTTAAGCTTACCCTTGCTCTTGCTTATAAAACTCACCCTCTCACGTGAGCAAGGGGAAGAAGGTAGACTCACTCCTCAGCAAGGTTTACACATCCCTCTTTATAATGGTAATTTTTAGCACATTTGTTCCTCTTTTAAACAAAAATCAGAATGTTTAAAAATTTTTATATTAGCAAAAGAGAGGGAGGACTGGGAAACACAATCTTGTTCATTACTTTATCTGAGACCTATCCTACCTACATTACCTAGTTGTAAATTACTTTTGTAATTCAGTGAAAAAATGCCTTAGTGCATCATTGAGTGAACATGCTTCAGCCTTAGCAAGGAACCTCAGGAGAAACTGGACACTGGAATGCACAGGGCTTACTTCTGTGTACACAGATTCATGTCTCCAAAACCTGCCACTGAGGTGTCATCCCCAGGGCTCACTGTAGGTAAGAAACAGAAGAGATGTAAAGCTATTAAAGCTATTTGCAAAAAAAACCCTAAATGAAAATTACATTAAATAAAAGTTATGTTGGGATGTTCTCCATTATCACTGAACAGAGTCAGACAAAGCTATTTAAGTTTAGACTGTCAACTATTCTTGCCTCCAAGAGGAATTTCTTAAAGCTTGGGGAATGATCTTGTGGGACATCTGCTGTGTAAATGAAACATAGAGATTTTGTAAATGAAAAGTAATTTGTAGGGAATTCTTGTGTGCAGCAGAAAATGGCATTCTCCTGCAGGGAAAGGAAAAGGACATTACTAACTAACAGTCTGCTTCCTTTCTTTTAGAAATGTAACAATGACTTGTTGCACAGGTAGAGAAAAATCTGGCCTCCCACCCAGGTGCATTTGGAGGAAAGTTCTGATGCTTGGCCCCAGATTCACTCCATGGTTTGGGTTCTATTTTGGGATCTGAAAGGGGTTTATTTTTTGATTTGGACTGAGATACTTATGGTAATCTCTATGTCCTTAGAAAGGCAGAAGCTCATAAGCTGATGAGAGTTTTGAAGGAACATGTGATCCCTATACAATTCCTACTGCTTGAACTCTCCACTTGTGGACAACAATCTTAAAAGAAAAATTATGGCAATGATACTGCTGATCTTTAGTCCCTTTCTTTCCCCCAGAGTATTAACCTGGTCTTTAGTGGCATTTAAGCACTGCTTCTTCAGTTCAGCAACAGTTGTATTACTCTGTGGCATGTTAGGAATTTTTTTTTATCTATTTCGTGTTTTTTAGATCAGCCACTAGATGGCACTTAAAGTTTGCTTTCTTTTCCACTTTTTTTCCAGAGGTATTTTTCAAAGATCTGTTCATCTATAATTAAGAGTTGATGACTCCCATTGGGACTGTGTTGGTGGAAAGCAAGATGCAGCAATATTTGAGTGAAAGCAGGCAAAAGTATAACCATTAAAGCGGGAACAATGACTATAATTTAAATAAGATTTGGGTGGTTGCAGTGTTTGCATAATCCCTCCTGGCATGCAAGAGCAGTAGAGAAGCCTGTGGCTTTGCTCTCCTGCTGCGTTTCAACAAAAATGGAAAATTGTAATGAACAGCAACATTTTTCCTATCTTTCATACTCTCTTCTCACTCTTTCTTCCTCCATTCCTTTAAGTGGATTGCAGTCTACTTAAGGATTGCATTGTAATGAAATTAATGTATAGCTTGGTAAACTCTGCACTGGATTTTCCAAATCAGATGCCTCTGGCTGCAAGTTCAGGATATAAATTCAAACTTAGTATGTGTTAACCCAGTAAGGGCAGGTGACACATAGTATCCTGAATTATGTAAATTTTTACTAAGGTTACCTAGTTCTGTATTGGTTGCTACTCCTGTAATAACATAGTCTGGAGCTCTTGTATTTGTCTTCCCCCTCTTCTAATTTTTTTTTTTTAATAACTAACATTGTATTTTGGCTTAAAGATGGTTAAATAAGTTTTGGTAAGTAAACTTCTATGACCCTGCCTATTTCCTGTCCTGTCAAACCTTTCCTTGTAAGAATAACAGTGTCCTTTTATTTGGTGGAGTGTAGCATGATGTTTTTGGCAGGCCCAACATTTTTGACTTGCATAAATTTGTGACCTCAAGTGCAAGAAAAGTGAATGCTTGCTTCAATGCCTCATGGTTTCTGCCTAAAAAGAAAAGTGTCCACATCGCTAACCATTACAATTTCTGAAGGAAAATTATCAGCACACTTATTCCACCTGATTGCACATGACTGCACTTCCAAAGAAAAGAACCAGAAATAAAAATAAGTATTTTGCACCTAGTTATGTAAGGTACCAAAAAGCCTGAAAATATAGGGCAGAGTGTACTGCCTTCCTGGTTTCTAGAATTGGCACACGTGGCGCTTCCCTCATAACAGCTATTTGGCAATCTCTGCCTCAGTAAGGATGTGATTCTGAAAAGTGTAAATTTGGGGCTGCTGCTGGGCAGAGAATGTCACTGCATGGTTAAAGGTTGCAGGATCAGGTCTGAAGTGAATTTACGTAATTATTTTCCTACACTTTCCCTCCATTAACTGTGGTTATTTAGCTCTTTACCACTGAAGTGATGCTTTTCCCCTACTCAGAACACAGCAAGAAAGCCTTTTACCTTGCCAAGTCTGAAAAACTGACAGATTAATTTTATATTGAGAGCCGTCATCCAGAAAGTAACTACTGTATTTGAATATGTAAAGTATGTTTAAGCAAACATATGTGAGCTGTATATGCCTACTTACTTGTTTCCCCTTAGATTTGGATGGGTTTTTTCATTATGTCACAAAAATTTTATATTAATATTTGGCTTTGTAGAGAACATTTGTTTGGTAAATTTTGGAACAAATACGAGGTTTGTATCAATTAATATTTCTTGTAGTCTTGAGCTGAAAAAAGTTATCTTTTATCTACTATTGTTTATAGCAAAGGAATTAGTTTGCTTTCGTTTTGTAGGAGGAAAAAGAAAAAACAAACGGTCATGAATGTAGCATCTTTGGCCAGATTCTTTTAACATGAGTCTTTTGTGGTTTATGGATTCCTAGTCTGAAAGGTTGTCTCCAAGTGTCCAAGACAAAATAACTGTGTGTCCTAGTTGGAAGGAAATGTCTTTCCTTTGCAGCTAAACTAACTGTGCCATGTCTAGGAAGCATGGCAGAGTATAGTATCCAATGCTGCCTTGCTAACACACCTCAGTCCTGACTACAACCTCCCTGCCTGCCCAGCTTACACTCTGGTCACTGCCAGATTACAGGGACCCTTCCGTAGGGTGCAGGACAGATCAAGGAATCCCCACTTGTCAGGTTTTCACAGCAGCAAACACAAAACACCAGTCTTGCCTTCCTACGCTTCCATGTCACAGCTATTGCTGGCAGGGAGCCAAGCTGTCAGCATTACAGGTAATTCAGGCCATTCAAATTCTGCAGGAATTTATTGTTCATCCTATCTATGGCTGTATCTTAGCAACATAGGCAGGCTGGAGCAGTCAAAGAGAAGGAGGTGATGTTTTGTTAGGGGATAAAGCAGGATATTTCAATCCTGTTCTTACCTTTCTTCTCAACTTGCCTTAAGGCCTCAGTAATGTGAGAAAATTGAAAAAGGAGCTGTAACAATGACAGGAAATCATGCATCCAGCAACATTGCCCTTCCCAGATGTGAAGAGGAGGTGGCTGAATAAGAACAGACTCAGCACTCCCACTTCATTATTTTGGTGAGGGTTTTTTTGATTGGTTGGTTGAGTTTTAATATTAATCATATCAATTAAGCTACTAAAAGTTTTCCAGGAAAAACTGGA